ATTGGGAAACCATGATCAGCTCATATCTCATCATCTGTCTACAAGGTCTGTTTCTGGAATTCCCCAGATCTACCAAAGAACTCTGTCAAATAGGTAAATAAAGTTAGTCTGGTACAGCTTGTTCTTTATGAACTCATGCTGGCTCTGATGATCACCATTTCTCTTTTCAGCTCTTCAAAAGCCATTTAAAAAATAATACATGCTGGAATTTTCTTAGAGTCAGAAGCAAGGTCGCTGGGCTACAGTTTGGAAAATCCACCCTCTTCCCTTTTTTGAAAATTGGTCTAGCATTTACCTTTCTCCTGTCTCCCTGATTTAAGGAAGATTATTGACAGTGGCTCTGTAATTACCTCTGTATGGTTGTTCTGTGCCTTGGGATATCCTTTGACCAGGCAAGGTCATCTGAATGGTATTTCCCAGTCTGGAAGTCATTCTCCTTGGTAGAGCAAAGAAGAAAGCAGTTTTGCTTTCTCTTCACTGTCTTTTAGCTTCCCATACACCCTGATCAGCAGCAAGATAGTATCTCTTCTTTGAGCCTTCTTTTTTTGCCCCTGGCACATCTTTAAAAGCCTCTTTGGTTGTCCTTAGTGTACTTTATCAGCTGTTGCTCATTTTGAACTTTGTTAAGTGCTTTTGACATTATATTACTGCTCTGTTCTTTTGTGTTCATTCTCAGTTTTCTGGTCTTCTATGTTTTACATGACTTTAAAAAACTATGCATTTATCTTTGTAGCAGAGAGTGGCTCATCAGTTAGGAGGTTGGACACTGAATTCCTTACTACTGTTGCTTCCTCTGCTGTAGTCTCAAGTATCATCCTAAGGAGTGAGACAGGACCCAAACATGTCAGAAGTGTCTGTACCAGTTTCCTTGACAGGCCTGCCTATTTGTTCTGGATTTGGATTCTGTTCCTAAAACAGCCTTGCTCTGGAAAGTGCTGCTTGCTGGTGGAGCACCCAGGATCAGCCTTGTCCTTATTCCCCTATCTTACCTTGATTAGGAGGCAAGTGGCAATAGAGTAGGTTGGGAGAGACTTCTCACCTTGGGACTGCTATCCTTCTGGGGTCATTAGTCTAGAAAGGACATCTACCGTAGCAATCACAGATCCTGCCCTTTCTGCCTCGTCCTTCAATCACCTCTACAGTGAGAAAAACAGAGGAGAATGAAATCGTGTCCCTTGCCATTTGTTCAGTCCTGTCCACCTCTTCAGGACCCTGTGGACCATACTGTCCATGGGGTTTTCTTGGCAAAGATGCTGGAGTGATTTGCTATTTCCTTTTCTAGTGGATTAAGACAAACAGAAGTTAAGTGACTTGCCCAGGGTCACACAGTAAGTGTTTGAGGCCAAATTTGAACTCAGGTCTTCCTGATTCCTGTCCCAGTGCTCTATCCACTGAGCCACCTTGCTGCCTCCTTGCCATTAGTGATCTTGTACTCTAGTGGGGAAGATAAGACAGAGAAAAAGTAAAAGAGCAAACTGACCTGTATTTTTTTTGGAAAATATCAAGTTACAGTAATAGTTTAGAGATGGAAGGGAACAATATACACTAAGACAGTCAGGAAAGTCAGCCAGGAGGAGGGTGAGCCTGGAGCTGAAGGTTGGTCAGGGTTTGGCAAAGTGTATTACCCCTCCTTGCCTGGTGTTGGTAGTTGTGGAGGGCTATGGATTGATTTTTGTGGCTGTCTTCCAGAGGAAGGGAGAGAGGATAGGGATCTGTGGGATTGGACCTGTAAGTTACATGATCTCCCCATCCTTCTTCCACCCCCTACTCTCCACATATACCATTTTCCTTTCTTGCTTTGGCCTCTTGATTCCTCCTGACCCTTCTGAGGTGATCCTGAGCCTATTCAGAGCTGTGGACAAGTAAGGCATGAGCCGCCTTGGAGTTGAAGGACAGGTAGACTGGAGGAGGACAGCAGTGAGGCAAGACTGGCCCTTGTTTCATCAACATGGGGGGTAAGCAGAGGAGGAGTAGAGGAGCAAATTCAGCAAACATTTCTTAAACTTCTCTAAGCAGGGTGCATGGCTAGACCATAGTATTGTCAATTTAGTATTGGAAGGACCTCAGAGAGAAGTTAAGTGACCCAAGTGTTTGGGTGGGGTTTGAATCCTGGTCTTCTAATATCACATGGACTGTGTGACCTCAAGAAGCTTTTAACCTAAAGAGGAGAAAATACATATATACAAATAACTCTGAAACAAGGAGGAATGTGATAAGGGCAAAGACAAGATTGATACAAAATGCTATGAGAAATTTGAGGAGGCAGTGAGCCCTTCTACCTGTGAAGGAAAGGGAGGATGCGGTGGGGGGTTTCATGGCCTAGGTGGCATTTGAGGCAATTGAACCTTAAAGAAAGGAAAAGATTTCAGCAGCAGAAATTGGAGGGGAGGGGGGTCCCTTCTAGACTAGGCATGAAAAGCAGTGTTAGCAAAGGCACAGAGTACAAGAGGGAAGGATTAGAATGGGGAATAGAAAGTAGTCCAGTTTGGAAGGGAAAAGGGAAAAGGTAAGACTGGAAAGGTAGGCTGCACATAGACTATTGAGACTTTTCAATGTCCACATATGAAGTTTGTGCTTTATTTGGTAGACAGTAGGAGATGATTGAAATTTCTTGAAGTGACATAATGTGTCAAATCTATCATGGCATTTAATAGGGACGAATGTAAAATCACAGAGCTGGATTCAGAGTCAAGCTGTACAGGTAAGAGTAAGATGGAGGAGGTATACTTTGACAACAATAAGCATTTATCTAAAAGTTTCTCATGATGGGGAAGAAGGGCAAAACTTGTCCTGCTTGGCCCCAGAGGTAAGAACTAGGACAAGTGGGTGGGAGTTGCAGAGAAGAAGATTTAGAATTGACATTAGGAAAAGTTAACAATTAGAGCTTTCCAAAAGTAGCATAGGTCATCCAGGGTGGTATAGTGGCAAAGTTCCCCTTTGTTGGAGGCTGGAAGACCACTTGTTGGAGTTGTTGGTACTGTTCAGGTATGTGGTGGACTTTTCAGATTCTGTAATTTGGTGATCTGGGTATTGCAGTGGAAAGATTATTTGGGTAGTTGTTAGAAGGATAAATTGGAGAGAAGAGACTAGAGGCAGGAAAGAAGACTAGTCAGGAAGCTGTTATTAATCAACAGCTATTATGTGCCTGGCACAGTGCTAGTTAAACACTGGGAATCCAGGTACAAAAATGCAATCATTCCTACCTGAAGTGAGCTAACATACTAAAGAGAGAGGCAAATCCAGTTAAAAATATATATGGCACAAATAGGAAGTTTATATATAAACACATCCAGCCAAATCTAAGATAGTTTGAGAGGGAGAGCACTGTCAGGGCACTAGAACCTGAGGTAAGAAGGGAGTGCATTCCAGCCTTCTTGAGATGACCATTTCAAAGACACAGAGACAGGCGAGAAAGTGGCTCATGTAAGGTACCCAGAGAAAAGCCAGTTTGGCTGCATCATAAAGTATATGTGTGTTGTGGGGGTGGGAGGGGGGTGTTGCTGATTGTGGGCAGAGATAACATCCATTGAGGCTGGAAAGAGAGGCAGGTGCCAAGTTTGAAGGACTTTAAAAATCAAAAGAGAAATAGGAAGCCATTGGAGTTTCTTGAGTAAGAAAGTTATAAAAATCAGTTTTGTATTTTAGTATATAGGGTGGCTTGGAGTGGGAGAGTCATGAGTCAGGGAAACAGTTCACATTTTTATACCTTTATAACATTTACAAAATGCTTTCCTTATTAACACCCTGTGAGGTCAGTGAGAGGCCTGGACTTAGGTAGGGTGTTTAAGGCAGAGGGTGAATCAACAGACTTGGTAACTGGGCAGAGGGCCCAAGGTTACTCTGAGGTTTAAAGCAGGTAAAATTGGTCAAAGTGAATTGAGGGAGGTGGTTTTTGAGGGGAAAATGAGTAGTTTAGCCCTAGATTGTTGGGTTTGAGTTGCTGATTAGATATCTAAGCTGAATGTGCCTTGTAAGTAGCTGGAAATTTTGAATTGGTGCTTCAGCAAAGGACCAGATTTGGAGATATTAATTTGGAAGTCATTCGATAATTGGAGTCATGATGATAAATGGAATTTTCCACGACAGGGTTTGGTGTGATGAGAATAATTTACATTTAAAGGGCTAGAGGAGGATAAGGAGCTGGTAAAGGAATCAGTGTAACCTCTCCCCAGTGTAAGGACACTTAACTAGGTGTACCTCTTTGCTTCCTGGACCATCTTGTTCTTAGCTATTTTAACTTGCTCCACTCCTTCCCTGGCCTCTTCTATGTTTGTTTCTGGACAGAGGAATATTCCTAGGTTCCTTAGCTCCAAGAATAAGATAGCTGGGACCAGGAGCCAGATGCTATCTGGGATGGTATCTATCAGCGTAAACAGTGGGGGAACCACTCAGGGGTGATGGTGTATTAGTTCTTAGGTGTTGGGGATGTCTATAGAGTTGTGTTGCCTGTTAGCCTTAAGGGGGTAAAGGGAACCAACTCCCTCTTGAACCCTCTCAGGATGAGGGGACCACTGGGGGAGAGTAATAGCTATCAAAATGAGGGACAGGGGACCAGAGTAAGGGAGGGGAGGGATAAATAGTGTCTATCAGAATGAAAAGTCCAGCCCCCCCCCCCACCCCTGACACTGGTATCAATGAGATCTGTGGTCTTAGTGGTCAGTGCAGGGCAATGAGGAATGTGATTTTGATTGGATAGACTGAAGCTTTTCATGACTTGGTACCTATTAAACCCCTTCATCTGCCTGTGCTTGGGCTGTGCTTGTTTTTGCAGTGGCTGATATGAGGGGTGGGGGGGGGTCACATGAGTCCTTGAGTGTGGGGCTGGGTTGGGCTAAGGGCTTCCTTTCCCTGGGGGGTTGGGGCGAGGGGTGGTGGTGGTGGTGGTGGTGGCGGCGGCGGCGGTGGTGGTGGTGGTGGTGGTGGCAGCAGCTCTGGGTGCCTGGACTCTGTGAACAGTGATTGAGTACCTACCTATCACAACATCTCATTCCTGCCTGCAGCAGGTGAATGGCCAGCAAGGAGGGGGGCCCGAGCCATCGGCAGCGGGAGACAAGTGGAAAGCTCCACAGGTATTGCCTTTACCATATTCTCTCTCAATTTGGAGCACAGACTTATCAGTGGGGCATGCTTGGAGGCCTTCTTAGGTAGTGCAGAACAATGGCTGTTTCTTACCAGCCATTGCAGCCATGGACCACTGGGTCTTTATTAAGTTAGACTCTCAAGTCAAGAGTTCAGAGGGACAAATGAAATGCCTTCAAAAATTCATACCAGCTGTATGGTCCTTAAGACCTGAAGCTTTTTTGGGAAGCCTCTTTCCTAGAACCTGGTTACATTAAGGCCATTGACTAATACAAAGAATTACGTTCTCTGGCCTCCAACCTCTGTCTTTCCTGCAGTTCTGGGCTATCTTCTGTTCTGTCTTCTTCAGCCTCCTCTTCTGAACTCAAGGGCTCTAGACTCTATCTTTTCTACTCTTAACTTAGGCTAGTGCAGCCTCCTAAATTAACCTGCCCACCTACACTCTTTCTCCCTAGTCATTCCTGCATAGGATTAATCCTCCTAAAGCCCAGTTCTGATGGCTCAGCTTATTCCTCATATATGAAAGCTGTTATATACATATTCTGCACTCCAAAGAGCTGCATCCTAAACCCCTTCTATGTGGCTCCTTTTGGGGAGTTAAGGAGATTGGAACTTTGCCCTTTTGGGCTCATTTTTATATATTAGGGAAATTTCTTGTAACTGTTATTGATTTCCTGGGGCCCAAGGTCTGTTCACCCATCCCCATTAGCATGCAAGTGCCAGTGCCTCTCTTTCTGCCACACACCATTAGCCTTGGTGCCACCTTGGAGTTCTTTCAGGAAGCCCCTGGACAGCTCAAAGGAAGGGGAGAAAGGGAAAGGCTTGACTGGAGGTGTGTCTGAGGTCTGGGCCTCAGGAGGAATTTTAGGCAAAGTGGTTTTTTGTAGGGACAATTGGGAGGTGGGTTGGAAAGAAAGCCAGTACATGAGACTGGGCTCTTTGTCCGTAGGAGAGGGGAAAGGAGAAAGGGGGCAAAGAGGAAGTGTTACCATAGGCCTAAACTTTGTAATGGAGAGACTCTAGTTTTCTTCTTAATGGGGGAGGGGACAGCAGCAGGGAGTGTCGGTCTGCCTCATCACTCCTCTGACCTCCTCTGAAGCACTCTGTCTATTGGCTGAATGGAGAAGGGCCTTTTGTTCCCCAAGACAAAGGATGAATTGAAGGATTTCAGTCCCCCAGCCCTATGGGGTTTGGCTACTGGTTACCATGGTGAATAGCCCCTATCCTGTAGCCCCCACCTAGCTGTGAGGATCTTTTTTGCCTTAGAGCTGGGGCTTAGGCTGGTGGTGGGGAACAGTGAAGGTCAGAGAGGGGAATAGAGAAGGAAAGGGAGGCAGAACTGACTTTGGAGACTGGTAAGGGACTGGACTGGATGACAGTGGAATCTGGCAGGGGCCTAAGTTGGTCCCAAGGGTACAGGGCCACAACCACAATTTTACCACATGGAAAAAGGAATGTACAGGTTGTATTTGTGTTTGTTTGTTTGTTTAAAGTGTAGCAAAACATTTTCTGCCTGTGAAATGTATACCCTGTAGGCCAAGAGGCAGGGAGGGCAGTATGTCCATAGACAGTGGCTGGGCTGGGTATGCTCTACAGAGCCTGGATGCTCCCACTATAGTATTGTGGTCTACTCAGCACAGTTTCTTTTCAGGCAGCTCTTGTTCCTGCCTGAAGATTTGGGATTTGAATTTGTGTAGCCTAGGACCTTCTTTCCATTTTCCTTTCAGGACCCAGGATTAGCACTGAGAAGAACAATGGGGGCCCATATTACTATCTACATTTTCACTTTTGGCAAGGGTAGTTGATAATTGTTAGGAAGAACCTGGGCCCCAGATCACTAATCCTCAGTAGCCCATGCCCTGCCTTTTCTTGCTCTTGTGCTTTCATTCATCTGTATAGGATGCCCTGTTCCTTTTCTACTTACCAGTAACTTGACTGTTACTGAAATAAGTTCAGATCTGCAACATGTGCCTTCTGGGCACTCTGCCTGCAATCTGGCTATCCTTAAGTATATTGGGGAGGGTAGTTTGTGCATCCTGAGATGCAAAAGAGAATGTCATTCGACAAATTCCTTTTTTCAATTAAAAAACCCCTAACAGTGTTGATATTATTTAAGCATTGGTAGCCTGAATTTGTGTACTAACATTGAAAGAAAATGCCATTTGGAGTGGGATAAAAGTAACATCTAGGCACAGATTGGGACTTTCTTACTTTAAAAATATCAGTTAAATTTCATATTTACTTTTTAGGGTTAGAAATGATGATGTGAAGACTTGAGGACACAATCACTGTATTCAAATATATGAAGGACTGGCATGGGGAAGAAGGATTAGGCTTGTTCTTTTTAGCCCCAGAGTGCAGGGCAAGGACTCATTTTGAGAGTACAGGGTGGGAGAGGTCGAGGAGGCTGATTTGGGGTCAGTGGCAAGAAGGACTTTAACATTAGAGCAGCATGCCCAGAGGAGTTTGTGGATGAAGTCTCTATCGGTGGAGTTATTCAAGCACAGGAGTGGATGGATGACTTGTCAGGGAGGTAGGAGAGGGAGGGGATCCCTTCCTGAGAAGGAAGCTCTGTCTCACCCAGCACTTGGAGCCTTTCAGGGCTGTCCTTAGTGCTCTCCAGGGTCATGCACTCTGCTGCTTTGGCTCGATGTTCCTCCCCCTCCCCTTTCTGGTCTGAGTGGGCTTAGCAAAGTCCTAGCAGATGAGTTTTTGTTCTGCTGTGTGTCTGATTAGAGCCAGGTGGCCTGTTGGCTGGCCCACCTTCCTGGCTTTCTTCCTATCTCTCCTTCTACTTTCTTTCTTTCCTGCTTACGAAGAAGCCCTAAGAAAAGCCTGGCAAACGCACACAGTACTGACCACTGGCCTGTTCCTCCCTGTTGAGATCCAAGTGTGCTTTAGTTACTTTTTGGACCATTGTTCCTCCTTGCCTCTTTTGGAAAGCTGAGAGCTCAGGGAGCACTGCATTCTGTGAATGACTATGAAAGCTCTCACCGCTATAAGGCTCCAAGTTCAAAGAGGCTTGGCATTGTCTTTTCTGTGTAAACTATATTTTATTTAAGAAATTTTTTTTAAACTGTATTTTAAGTAAAATAACTTTAAATGACTTCCAATATTGATTTCTTCCTATACGTCAGGATCCAGGGCTGACTTCCTCTATAACCGCCCCAGCCCACAAAAATCTCTCCTTTGAAGGCTTAGAGCATTTCTTGGCTGCTTCTTATCATCTAGCCCTTGATCATATACTGTCTTGTGTTATTCTTTAATTATTTCTCTGGTGAGGCCTGTTTTCTAATTAGACTGTGAACTCCTTGAGGGCTCAAACTTAATTTCCCCCTCCCTTCCCTCTTCAGTGTGGTGAAGGCCCAGAGGTGTTCAGTGAAGACCTATTTTCAATCAGCAAACATAGTGATGGTACACACCCTACTCAGGGCTCTGGACTGATAGGTATACACATTCCTGAGAAAAATAAAGGTAGTTTGGGATGGGGACTGACTAGTAGAGGGAACAGAAATGTCTAAATGAGGGAAAGTGGGACAATTGGCTTTGGGGGAATGGAGTTCTGGGCACTGTTCATGTAATGTCAATCTTAGGGAAGCCCCATTAAGGTGGGGCTGCAAGGATATTCTGTTTTACAGTGACCTTATTTGTTATTACTAAAGCCCCCCTACTCAAGAAGTTTCAGTGGCTCCTCATTGCCCTTAGAATAAAATTCAAATTCTGTTTGGCATTTAATGCCCTTCACAGCTTGACTCCCCTCTATCTTTCCAGGCTGATTACTTATTACTCCCTCTCATACACTCTGTGCTCCAGGCAAATTGGCCAACTTACTGTTCATGCCTTTGTATAAGCTGTCTCCCATACCTGGGATGCTCTTTCCCTCCTCCTCTCTTCAAGGCTCACCTGAAGAGAGCATTTCTGTTTCCCCCAGTTGTTAATGTCCCACCAATCATAGTTGTTTTGTATTTGCCCTCTGTTACAACAGAGTTTATCTCCCTTTTGTATTTGTATTCCCCTAGCACAATGTCTCTCAAATATTAGGTGCTTAATAAATGTTTGTTGATTGATTGATAAGGGTATGAAAAGATTGGGGCCTGCAGATATACAAAGGTGTGTCAGATAGGTGAAGGACCCAAGTTGTTCCAGACTGAATCCAGAGGTTCAAACTAGGGAAAATGGATAGAAGCTAAAACTCATCAGATTCTACATATGTGTATATATATATATATGGGAAAACTTCCTCATAATCTGAACTGTTCCACAGTGGAATGGATAGACCAAGCTAGGTCACCATTTAATATTGCAAACTGCTCAGACTAGATACTTTTGAATTTTGTTTCTGAGATCCCTTCAAGCTCTAGATTCCATTAAGCTTGAGACCACTTCCCTCAGCATCTGTCCCTAGCTCCCAGAGCAGGCATGGGGCAAGGCCTTCTAGGTGGGCTGGAAATGGTGGTATCTAGGGAATTAGATGAACAGGCATGAGGCCCCTGATGTCCTTTGGGCAGGGAACTGTTTCCAGATCTCTGTTCTTTTAGGGCTTCCTATTAGCCATTTGGCTGTCTTGCTCTAACACTTCCCTTGAGCCTGCTTTAGCATTGACCTTCTGAGCTAGTCAGAATAGGGAAAGGTGGCTGAATTTTAGGGTAGATGGGGTGGTTCTAAGCCTTCAATTTAACTACTATGCTGACAGGAAAGTGAGAGAGCATATACAAGATAATTTGAATAGAGACAGACCACGGATACTTGGGCATTGAATTAGAGAAGGCCTTCTGAAGAAGGTGGCATTTAAGCTGAACTTTGAAGTAAGACAAAAGAGATGCAGAAGTTGTTTGTTCCAGGCAAGAGGGGAATCTTGGGTAGATGCACAAAGGTAATCAGAGGTGGAGTTTTGGGTTCAGGGAATAGCTAATAATCGAATTTGGCTGGATTGTAGACGTTCGTGAAAGGGAGAAGATACTAGCTAGAAATAAGGTTTTTTTCCTCTGTTTCCCAAAGGAAATATGTTTCTTTCCTTGGCTTCTTGGAGATTGGGGAGGGAGATGGATGCTTCCCTTCTATGCCTGTTCTTTGATCCCTCAAAAGTAAGCTAATCCATTCTTCTTTCAAACTAGCCACCTCCTCCTTTTTCAGGCCTCAGAGGTGGAGTGATGAGGAGAGACATGGACTAAACCGGTTGCCGTAGAACACAAAAATCTTCATCCTGTGTAGTTCTTTTATTTCATAGCTGTTGAGTTCTTTGTTTCAGTGCTATACCGCTTACCCTTGTTTTCCCTTCACCCACTTTGCCTTTGTGTGCATTCTCTGGGGCAAGGACAGATGGAAAGAGAGCAGGAGCTTGGTGTTTGGGCCAGAGAGGCAGGAAAACAGGGCCTCTCAGCTTTGGTCCAAGTCACCCTGGCTTTAGGCCAAGTGTGGGGACTTCTCCTAGAGAAAAGAAGATATCTAGATGGGGAGGGTTTGAGGTTTTAGGCAGAGTCTGGAACCTCCCATTGGAGTGGCATCTTTTAGGTATGGGGTTGTTCAGTTGCTTTAGTGGGTATGTATCAGCCCTCTCATTGCTCGTCCTGTTTTGGTCAGGTTTGTGTAGAGAGTTCATGTTGTTGTTATTATTTTTTTCCTTGTTTTTAACTTCTGCTTAGAGAATGGTAGGGGGTGGGGAGGGCTTCTGGCCTTATCTTCCCCAGGACTGGGTTTTGCCCCACTTTGGTCATAACATTATTGGGACCCCAAAGCAGGGGCAAAGGGGGACAGATGTATGGGTTTTTTCCTCCTAGTCCCTTCTGGGTTACTCTGAATTCATGTGGCCTGAAATAGCCTTCAGTTGCCTAGGATTTGGGAGCTGAGTAAAGGGTCAACATCTGAGTGGCCTACCTTTCCTTGTGTAATTCTACCTGTCCAAGTGCTTGGAGGAGAGAAAAGAAATGGTGCTTAGCCACTTTGTGGTCAGGCTGGATTCCCAGTGCCTGGTACACAGTGGGCACTTAATGTTTACGATTGATTGGCTTGGCCATTGGCTGGTCTGTGTCCTCAGACAGTTGTCACACTGGCTTCATTATTTTCCAAGGGACCTGTGGATGAGGACAAGGAGAGCAACAGAGAGAAAGAAAGTCTGTGTGTGTTGCCTACTTGCATGGGCTTCAGGCCTATGGAATGATTCTGCTGGGGTGGGGGTGGAGGAAGAGTGGCATGGGCTGGGATTGTATAAAAACCGTCTAGGCAGGAGGACGCAAGAATGGTTCTTAGGTCTAGGTGGGCTCAGCCCTGGCTGAGGTAGAGATGTCTAGAATACCAAGTCCTACTGTCCTGAAAGCTGAAATTGTGAGGGTGAGAGGGAAGACTGCGAGGCATCCTGAACATGGTAGCAGTGGGAAAGAAGTGTCCAGGAGAGGCATGTCCTGATCCTAAGGCTTCTGGTTTTAGGATTATAGAAGGCATTCACCCAGGCAGATATATTGTGGTATCATCTATCCACATCTATAGAGAAGGTTTCTATATCATTTGTACTGAAGGAGTAAAAATGGGGAGTGATGGGGTTTGTTAAGAGTGAGAATGTGTGTAGTCTGTTGTCTGGGGGACTGGGGGATGGGAGAGAGGGAGTAAGGACAGTAGCAATGCTACCCCTAGAGTTTGTATTTCTGTGTGACATGTGGGGCAGCTGATCATGGCTCTTGTGTCTCCCAGGGCACAGATTCCATCAAAATGGAAAATGGGCAGAGCACAGCAGCAAAGCTGGGGCTGCCACCCCTCACACCTGAGCAGCAGGAGGCCCTCCAGAAGGTGAGCGATCCTTTCCTTCCATTCCCCTAGTCCAGAAATGGTCCCTTGTGTAACTTATCAAAGCCCTGCAGACTCCTGTATAGGCCAACCTTGAACTTTGATATCTTTCCTTTACTCTTGATTTCCTTGATGAAATGGTGGCTCAAGCATCTACATCCACTAAGGAAAGGACATCAGGGGGCTTTGAGTTGGTGAAGACTGTTGACAAGAGCTTAGATGGTAGATCTCTCACCCAGGCAATTGTGAAGGAGTTGGCCTTGGGCCATAGAATTGGAAGGGATGGCCACAATTTATCAGTTAAGGGATTTGAACTAGATGCCTTCTAGAAGCTATCTCAGCTTTGTTGTTCTAGATGTCCTTGTGTCTACATCTACATCTGGCTCCCTTACAGTTTTTCTTGGGTGTAGATTGGGTAGGTAAAGCCTTTAGGAAAGGGGTTTTTAACCTTTTTTATATTGTAGACCCCTTTGGCAGAAAATCCTTCTCAGAAAAATCTTTTTAAATGCATAAAATACATAGGATTACGAAGGAAACCAGGTATACTGAAATATAGGTTGAAATGTTTTTAAAAAAACAAGTTATGGACTTCATGTTAAGAACTGCTGCATAAAGATATAGGCAGACCAGGATGAGATCCAGCTGGTATGGGGCCTCCCATTGCAGGCCCTTTGGACAAGATGGGTTTTTCTACAAGTATGACTTTCACTCCTGAGTTATTAGCTATTGGGTCCCTGAATTTTGGTGCCTGGAACTGCAGGGGGACACATCCTGGGCCCTGATTTGTTATGACTCTGCTATCTCTTTTGCTTCTCTGATAGGCCAAGAAGTATGCCATGGAGCAGAGCATCAAGAGTGTGTTGGTGAAGCAAACCATCGCCCACCAGCAGCAGCAGCTCACCAACCTCCAGGTGAGATACCCTCCTTCTCATGTTTCACCTCCCTTCCCTGTCCTGAGGAGCCCAGGTCCCAGGGAGCCATGACAACTGGCTGGCCCCCAGGCCCCAGGCCTCTCATTGCTGTTTCCACAGTAAAATCCAAGTGTGCTGTGAAAAGTGCCCCAACCACCCAGATTGGGGAAGGGAAGCTGCTGCTGCCTCCTCCTCTTCCTCCTCCCCCTTCCCCCTTCCCCCTTCCTGCTGAATCCTGAGAAGTTTTATAAACTCTCTTAGCCCCTATTCCTGGGGCTCACTCTAGGGATCCCTGGGCCTTTCCAGAGATTGATTCAACTCCTTAATTCATCTCCACTTCCCCCAGTCCAATGGACTTTCTTTTCCCTGATGTTTTCTCCTTTTTACCCTCCTTTCTCCTTGTCCTCCTCCCTACTTTTCTTTTTCACATTGGCTCTTCCCTGTGTTGTTTGAGCCCACTTTTCCATCACTCTGGGGTCCCACTCTCCCACTTTTTCTATCCCCACCTGCTGCCATCCCATCTTCAGTGCTCACTGCTCTTCCCTTCCCTCCCTTTTCCCTTTCCTGGGCTGCCTGCATGGCCCGCAGGCACATATGGTGTGTATAATGGCTGTCCTTGCCTACAAGCCTTGGGCCATAGGGCTGAGTTCTGTGTAACATAGCTGTGTCCCTCAGCCTGCCTGCCTGCCCCCCCTCCCTTAGCAGGAGGTAGGGCTGTCTGGGCTTGGCCTATCCCCAAAAGTTCTCCTCCCTGGGATGGGAAGTTCCAGTTTGGATTCTGGGGCCAAGGCACATGCCTAGGAGAGGCAGCTCTGCTCTGCTCTGCTCTGCTCTCAGGTGGCTGGTGTGGTGGTTGTGATGTCTGTATGAGGGGCTCCTTATAATAGCAGGAGTGAGGCAAAGGCTGTGATGACCAAGGTCTATAGTGCCTTGAGACCCTGCCTCCTTCCTCTCTCCCTCCCTTTCTCCATCCATCCCTTCCTCCCTCTCTCCCTCCCTCCCCTGCTGGGAGAGGCTACTGCTCCCTCCACTGCAGCTACCTCCCTCCTGCCCTGGCTGGGCAGGCTTGGAGAATTGGCACATTGGGCCCGGCCAGCCCGGGGCTCTGGAGGCCCTGAGGGGGCAGGCGGTGCAGGCGGTCGGTCGGTCGGCGGTGAGGGGAAGGAAGGCAGGCCCTTCCAGCAGGCAGGGTCTCCGTGCCGCTGTCTGCGTGAGTTGTTGACAATAGCGGGAGAATGCTCAGCTCCAACAGACTGAACTCTGTCTTTACTGTCTTTCAGATGGCAGCAGTGACAATGGGCTTTGGAGATCCTCTCTCACCTTTGCAATCGGTCAATAGAAATACTCACTTCTTCTGGGGCACATTTCCTTAGTCAGGGCCTAGAGGGGGGCAGTGAGGCCCGCGTGGTGGGGACCATGCTCCCCCAGCCCGCCAGCTCTGGACGAGCCGAGCAGAGAGCCGGGCGGGGCCGGGCCCGGGCAGCAGCTGGCCAGCTGTTTGGGAGCACACCCCCCCGGGACATTGGGGGACAGCCGTTTCCCTAGGGATGCCTCCGTTCTGAGGGCCCGCCTTAAAAGTAACCGGCCAGGTAACTCCGGAGGGGCAGCAGCCGCCTGGGAGGGCAGCAGCCAGCCACGCACGCACTTGGGGCCACAGAGGGCAGGCTCCCTGCACAACTACGCTCCCTCCCGGCTGGCCTGTCTCTTGGGCCATGGTTGGGCTTCTGGTGAGAGAGGGGGGACCCTATGGCATCATATTAAGTCCTGGGTGGGAGGGAGGATGGGAGGGAGCTACATAACCAACCCAGGGGCTGGGGGAGGTGGGTGGAGGGTAAGGGAGCGATAAAGTTACTGGAGGATTGACCTTGGGCTTTGTGGGCTTCCATTAATGGGTTGTCATGAACAGAGAGTTGCCTAGCCACCAGAGGAGGCCACCACTGGGCCAGGAGCAGCCCCTCTTTGGGGTCTGCCCAGTAAGTGGAAAGCCTTACCTGGCCCTTAGGGATTAGGAATTTGTAAGAAGCAAGGCAGCTTTTCCACCAGCCATTCCCATCCCCCTTTATCCTCCCTTCATTTACCCCATCTCCCCTCTGCCCACCCCTCCTCAGCCTCAGTATGAAATATGGGCAAGGCCCTGGGCTGGGGGAGCTTCAGAGATGGAGACGGGAAAAGATAAGAGTCCTCACTATCAGGGTGCCCCTATTCTAAGAGGGAAACAGCCCCTGGTCAAATGCAGTGGGGGAGAGCCCCTGGTTTGAGAGATGTGGCCCTTAACTTTAGGGAACGCACCTGGTCTGAGAGAAAATTATCCCTGCTCTGATAGGGAAAGGACAGCCCCCTGGTTGATTGGCAACGTTGCTCCCTTGGGGAGCTCCTGGACTCAGAAGAGACTGCTCTTGGTTTAATGGTGTCAAGAGAATGCTCCACCCCAGTTTGATTAGAGAACTTGCCCCTGCCTTCAGGCAGCCCCTGGTCTGGGGAAGATGTGGCTCCTGCCTTCAGGGAGGCCCTGCTTTGAGCTGGGAAAGAAGCCTTCTCAATTTGATGAGAGACTTGGTCCTTGCCCTCAGGGAGAAAAAGGCATAGCCCCAGCCTTCTGGGAGTCTTTCCTCTGAGGAAGTAGACTTGGCCTGAAGGGAAGGTTGTGGTCCCTGCCCTCTGATAGTGCCCTTGGTCTGGAGGGAGAGGGGGCATCCCAGTTTGATGAGAAATAAGCTCTCTGCTGTGGGCAGCTGCCCTCCACCCTGAGAGAGTGAGATAGGGCCCTGTTCTCAGTAAGCCATCAGTCAGAATGAAGAGTTGCCCTCCTTGGGGAACCTTCAGTTTGAGGGGGAAAGAAAACCCATCTTTAGGGCTTTAATTTTAAGGAAGAAGGCATATTTGTCTGTCTGGAGAAAGACAGGGCCTTTGGTTTGGAGAATTTACCTGTAGTATCTAAACAGTTTTGTTGGTCACTTTTTCATAATGATCTCCAGGGCCTGAGTGTTGTCCCTTTCCTGTTTGTCATTCTTTCCTGCTTCTCCAAGAACCACTATGGTTTTGTCTCAAGCCCTGTTCCTTTGGGGTAGGTGGGTCAAGTGCCAAGAGCACATAAACAGAACTGAAGGTGAGGAGTGCACTTAAGGATTGACTTGTCTGAATTATCTGTGGCTTCCAGCTCTCCTGTTCTTCCCGAGGTGGCCCTCCTCAGTCAGGAAAGGGCTAGCTACAGTACTGGACCCAAAGGGGAGAGGGCAGGATGTCCCTTTTATGTCCTTGGAGCTATTCTTTAAGGAAGACAGTGTGATTCCCTGCCTCCTCCCCCACTTTTCTGATGTATACTGGGCCCACTGAGAGGAATAAGTACAGCTGGTTCTCCCCAGCCCTTTCCCAAGAGAAGCACTGTGCCTGGCTTAGGCTGGTTATTTGGGGGTTGAGGGTGGAAGTAGAAGAGACATTGTAATATCTCAAAGCATGGTGTGGGTGAGTCTATGATGATGTCTCCCAATCAAGGGAGTTCAGCCCCCAGTGTTAATGACAGCCCCAGTCATATCCTAGCAACCAGGCCTTTCCTCTCCTCTTGCTATGGCCACTATCTTGTCTGTCTGTCGATCTCCTTAGCCCCACAGCTGCCGGACGGAAGCCCACTGCTCACATTGTGAGGCTTTGACCCATAGAGACAGCCCTGCCAACCTAGGGGGTAGGATGCCAACTCCTCCCTCCACCTCACCAAAAGAATTCCCCAAACCTCTTACTGCTATTGATGCAGGCAGTTGCTACATAGTCATTTTGGGTCATTAAAGGGTAAGGTGGGGAGCCAGCCTGTTGGGATTGCATTTGCCCTCCCCACTACCCCCTAGCAAAGACTAATTCTGCTTAATGGGGCCTGTGCAGGGATGGGCTTTGGCATATGTGTGGTTTACGCTGTGGAAGTGAAGAGTCCACACCCTTTGGCCATCCCTCCTCCCCATCTCCCCCCTAATCCTCCTGGATTCTGTAGCTATGGAATCCTTGGACAGGACATCGCTGAGGGGAAGCCACTTGAGCTTTCCTGCCATGTTCCCTCCATCCTCTCTGTGGGCCTTACTTCTCAAGAGGACCTACTACTAGGAGGTGTTGGCCAGAGCCAGGGCCAAGACAAACTCAAGGTTTCTGATTTGAGCTCCCCTTCCCACCTTCCCAGCCCCCCTTTTCCTGGATTCTGTCTGTTTTAAGCTGGGTATACTGAGCCTGGGTGAGGAGGAGAAAGTAAAGGAATTGGGCTATAGTTTGCTGAAATTAGAGCTCAGCCTATAGCACCCCAACTTCTGGAGAGGGCCCTTGGGGCTCTGGATTCTCCCTTTTAAACCCTAGGCTGTAATTGTGCGGCTTTCAGAGGTAGCCTCCCAAGGTGGGAGTGCTGTTGGATAGAGGGGATCTCCCAGCCTAAGTGTAGTAGGGCTCTGTCCAGCAGGACTGAAGGATAAGGCTCCTGGGACTGCCCTACACCTCCAAATCATCCAACTCCTTCTGGCTAGGGCCCCAGCATTGCCTGTCTTTTGCCTATGTTCTGGGCTATCAGGACCTGACCTGGGGAGAAAAGGGTGTGGGGAGGGGTGGTAGTGGTTGGTGCTTTTGTTGAATTCTCCCTGCCCCAAACAGTCTGGTTTCCTTTAGGCCTGGCCTTGTTTTCTTGAGCCAGAGCAGTACTGTTGAACAGAATTCCCCATAAATGTGGGAAGGAAGTAGGGAATGGGGGAAAGGTATGGAGATTCGCAGGCCTGGCCACCTGAAGCAGCCATTGCAGAGGTGATTGGTCAGCATCAATGTGTGACTGGGAGCTGGCCCTTGTGGGGGCCAGCAGGGAGGAGGGTGGATTGGGGGCCTGCCTGCCCGCCTGCCAGCCTGCTGCCACCTTGCCCTGCACAGCCTGGCCAGAGCCTGCCCCTGCTGCTGTGTGTGTGTGCAGGGTGAGCTGTCTCCCACAGCTCTGAAAAAGGGTGTTGGGGTGGAATTGGGGATTGGGGAGAAATTTTCCTGGCTCCCTCACTCTTCCCCCATGCTCATGGGTCAGTGGTTCTCTCTCTTTCTCTCCCCTTTAGATGGCAGCTCAGAGGCAGAGGGCACTGGCAATCATGTGTCGGGTATATGTGGGCTCCATCTACTATGAGTTGGGAGAAGATACCATCCGCCAGGCCTTTGCCCCTTTCGGGCCTATCAAGAGCATAGACATGTCCTGGGACTCAGTCACCATGAAACACAAGGTGGGCCTGGGCCTACTCCTGTTTCTTTACATGCTCCACTCCTTGCCCTGGGTGGGTTAAGAAGGAGGCTTTGTCTCCAGGGGGTGCTATGCTGGGACTTAGCTCCAAGTCCAGGGCTCCCCATCCCTCCATAACCTGGCTTTCCCCCTGCATTAGGGTTTTGCCTTTGTGGAATATGAGGTGCCAGAAGCAGCCCAGCTGGCCTTGGAGCAGATGAACTCTGTGATGCTAGGAGGAAGGAATATTAAGGTGAGGAACTTCAGGGGAGTAAGCCTCCCCCTTAGTATGAGGTGACCAGGTCCAGGAGGTAGGTGAAGAAGGGAAGCTTTCAGGAGCAAGAAAGACCTGCATAAGACCAAACGCTCCTCGCTTAGTATTTATTGGGAGTGGAGGGTTGAAGGGAATAGACAGAGTGAATGATTCACTGGAAAGGGCCTACTGGTAGAGGGCCCTTCTTTGCTGAAACTTGGGTTTCCAAACTTGGACTTATGTGGGCAAGATCCTTGTTCTTTCATACTGACATTAAATCTCATGAGGGCTTGCAGACTTTCACAACCACAGCTTTATATGAAATATCTTGGGAGCATTTTGAAAGGCAGTTAAATGCAGACACGTAGAGTTAGTGTTCGTTAGTTCAGAGGGATAGTAGAATAGGAGAGACCTGAAGAATGGCAGGGTTAGAGTGCCTTGGACCCAAGCTTGACATGGCTGCCACATTGATAGTTCTGGGATTCCTTACTGCCTTGGCCTGCCCCTATAGAAGACTGAACCGTGGGGTGTCTGACTACAAAGACTTGCCCTTCCCGAGTCCAAGTTCCATGCTAGTTGGTGGTCAGGAAGTGCATCAGGGGTTGGGGCCTGCTTGGCCTATTAGTACTTTGAGTGGTCTGCCTAACCTGCCCATTCGTGCCACCCACTCTCAGGTGGGTAGGCCCAGTAACATCGGACAGGCCCAGCCCATCATTGACCAGCTGGCTGAAGAAGCCAGAGCCTTTAACCGCATCTACGTGGCCTCAGTGCACCAGGACCTCTCAGATGATGACATCAAGAGTGTGTTTGAGGCCTTCGGCAAGATCAAGTCATGTACTTTGGCCCGGGACCCGACCACAGGCAAACACAAGGGCTATGGCTTCATCGGTGAGCCCAGGGGAGAGTAAGGGGAGGGAGAAGGGCCATTAGGAAGGCCCTGACTCAAGGGAAGGGTGGAGGAGGGGTCCATGGATAAATTGCTACAGGTCTTATTGCTTTGTCTATGCTTGCAGAATATGAAAAGGCCCAGTCATCTCAGGACGCTGTGTCATCCATGAATCTCTTTGACTTGGGGGGCCAGTACCTTCGGGTAGGCAAGGCAGTTACACCACCTATGCCCCTGCTTACACCTGCCACCCCTGGGGGCCTTCCACCCGCAGCTGCTGTAGCAGCTGCTGCTGCCACAGCCAAGATCACTGCTCAGGTAAGAGCCATGTTAGCAGAACTAAAACTGGGGGGATGCGGTTTGTATGTATGAGTCTTTTTGGGGGGGTGAGGTATAGTGCTGGTTTGGGGCTAAGGAGGAAATATGGAGTGTTTGGTCATGAGTTGTGGAAAGTCTTGGCCTGAGCTCTTGCTATCCTATTGTAGGAAGCAGTGGCTGGTGCAGCTGTGCTGGGTACTCTGGCCACACCTGGGCTGGTGTCACCAGCACTGACTCTGGCCCAGCCACTAGGGGCTTTACCACAAGCTGTCATGGCAGCCCAGGCCCCTGGAGTTATCACAGGTAAGCATCCCAGCCACTCATTCCAGTCTGTTGCAGGGTCCCCCTCCTCCATGTTCTCTCTGGGTGAGAACTACTTTTTTCTCTCTGCAGCTTTGTTGCTTTTAATAGACATCCCCTCTTGAGTCCATCATTATTCCTATCCAGTGTCATATGGGAGAAGATGTGGGGGTGAGGGTGATCAGATTCGTGACTGGGAGGTTGGGGAGAAGATAATTTCAACTGATAGATAACCCATAGTTATGTCTTTGTGTGATAGGTGTGACCCCTGCAAGGCCCCCCATCCCTGTCACCATTCCTTCTGTGGGGGTGGTGAACCCCATCCTGGCTAGCCCTCCGACACTAGGCCTCTTGGAGCCCAAGAAGGAGAAGGAAGAGGAGGAATTGTTCCCTGAGTCTGAGCGGCCAGAGATGCTAAGTGAGCAGGAGCACATGAGCATTTCAGGCAGTAGTGCCCGCCACATGGTCATGCAAAAGCTGCTTCGGAAGCAGGAGGTAAACAAGACTCCCAGAGCTCAACTTTTCCCTACTTCTTTATGCCATCCCATTCCCATCACTCTGGGTCTGTGTCCCTCCCAGATCCATATCCTCCCACCGCAGGGGCCAATCTTCACCTCCATAATTTCTTGTCCTGATTTTTAATGACTCCAGGCATCATATCAGCCCCTAGGAACCAGGCTAGAGATCTTTGGGTTCCATTTGCTGTTCCTTTGAACTAACCATAGCAGTGTGGGAGAAGGGAGAAGGGGTGGAGTGTGTGGCAAAAGAGTTACAGTCACAGTGGAGGGGCAGCATGAAGGTCTGTATTAACTCCCAGTATCAGGTGGGATAGTGCATAAAAGCATGAGAGAAAACCCTCCCCACCCACACCTCTGAGATGGAGTGCACCTAGTCCCAGTACTCACATCCGTTTCTTCTTCCAGTCCACAGTGATGGTTCTACGCAACATGGTGGACCCCAAAGACATTGATGATGACCTGGAGGGGGAAGTGACAGAGGAGTGTGGCAAGTTTGGGGCTGTCAACCGTGTCATCATCTACCAAGAAAAGCAGGGTGAGGAGGAGGACGCTGAAATTATAGTCAAGATCTTTGTGGAGTTCTCCATGGCCTCAGAGACACACAAGGCTATTCAGGCCCTCAATGGGCGTTGGTTTGCTGGCCGAAAGGTGGTGGCTGAGGTCTATGACCAAGAGCGCTTTGACAATAGTGATCTGTCTGCGTGACCTCGGCCCTGCTCCTCCCCAGCCTCTCACAGACTTGAATTTTCCTCTTGTCTCTCCCCTCCAGTTTGTGTAGAAAGATATATTGGGCTGAATTCAGCCCCTGCCTGGCCTTTTTGTGTAGTTTGGATAAAAGTACGGATGCTGCTGGCCCCTTGTACACACTGTGTGTGAGATCATATGCTTGCCGGCTGTCCCCAACTCTACATGGACTTTATCTTTCCAGGGCCTCTTTCTTCCTAGGCTTTGGCAAGAGCTTTCTGGCCCTTTTGGTGCTTTGACGGGCCATCTAGCCTCACCCTTCGTGTCAGTTTTTTTTAGTTCAGCAAATGTTTATTCTGTGCTGGGGGAAGATAGGAGAAGATATGGTCTTCTCCTCAAGGACCCCATAGCTGGGTTAAATAATGCACACACAATGAAATAGAATGATGCAAAATAGTATCTCCATCCTCTGTTTTCTGCAGAAAGTTAAAGGACTGGACCTAGCCCTACCAGTCCTGTCTGGTTTAAATAAAAACATGAAGGGCATACTTCAAAATCTTAAGGGGGCAGCAGTTCAGGTCAGTGCATTTCAAGGCAGGCTTTACAGAGGAAGAGGATTCAGGTTACATGAAGTCAGGGTGGGATTTGGTTACTGGGGGTTGGAAGTAGCGTTCTCAGGGTAGAAACAGGACAGGTATGGAAAAGGAGGAGCACAAATCCATAGAGAAATTGGCTTCTAGGGGAGCAACTCTTTGGCTATTATTACCTACAGCAAGGACCACCTTGCCTTATCTGGGTCAGTGAAAAGGAAGAATAGAGGAAGATTCATAGATAGGTGGAATGAGAAAGGCTCGGCCTCGCCTGACCGTAGCAGTTAAGAAGTGGACACATTCCCTCCCCCCCCCAAGCTGCTTATCTCTGACTTCACCCTTCCTTTCCACCTTTTCTAGCGTTGGCTCTTTTACCTGCTCTATTTCCTCGCCTTCTTTTATTTTCTAGCTGTCAGACCCTTCATGAGGGACCTCAGTCCTGCCATGGGATAGGCTTATCCGATGTGTGTGGCTTTTTCTTCACTTCCTTACTGACTGACTGGCTTGAGGGCAGGAACATTGGTTTAGATCCTCAGTGAGCTTCAAAATATGGTTCTACTATGGGCTGACCTGAACTTTTGAATCAGTCTTCAAGTAATCCATGAGTATCTACTATGAAAAGGGTATACTCCTAGGGGTTCAAGGATTAAAAGTGTAGGCATATGCAGAAAAATGTTGCCTTGACCATCATTTCACAATAGCATTATGTTTGGAGCAAATGTCATTTGGCTTTACAGAAGCTTTGTTGTCACATAGTTCTACCAGTTACTCACTTAGATTTCCTATGGACCTAATTGCCCCCGTGACATCATTTTACCTAGTCAGTTTAAGTGCCCAGGGGCCTGCCCTTCAAGGAATCTATAGTTTAATTGAAATAATATGTACATACTTGAAAAATTTTTATGTGACATCTTGTGATGTTGCATTACATTATTTAACTTTGTGTTTCCTTTGGAAACCATTTCTCTTCTCTCACCAAACTTGTTACCCTTTCTACCTCAGTTTTTCCAGATATAAAAGCAGATGCCATCAGAAAAATGTATGCCCAGTAAAGAAAAAGATGAGCTGGTCATATAACAAGAATGAAGGACAAGACTAAGGGACAGCTTGCATGTTTATTTCATCTCCTGCAAATATGAGGAGAACTTGAGAGAGGCATTCAGCATATTGGATGGATCACCTGTGGTGAATTTATAAGAGTGCGTGTATGGAGTGAGATCTGCTTTATTGAAAAGAATAGTCATGATAATGAAATGACAGTCAGTCTAAAATTGAAGTTAAGCAGGAATGTAGCCAAAGAAAGAAAAATGTGCTAAATAATGATCAGAAGTCTTTGAATGAGTTAGATGACCACATAGCAAGGGAAAAGGCATAAGTTGGACTAGATGACCTTGTGAGGTTTCTTTCCAACTCTACAAAGAATGTCCCTTTTGCAAAGACTCCCTTCTATAGTGTATCCCAAGAAGTAATTCAGCCTTTGCTTGCAGGGGTGGGGTGGCCTCAAGGCCACAGGTTCGTGGGCCCCCCTGGAAAGACTCCTTGTGAGGGAACCCATTCTCTTCCTTCCTCCCCAAAGTCTTCTCCTGGCCAAGTGTTCAATCCTCCAGACCCTTCACCATTTTTCCTGTCCTCTAGATGTTCTCCAGCTTATCAATAGCTTTTTAAAATGCACCTGGAACTGAAAACTATTCCAGATGTGGTCTGACCAAGGCACATAGTACAGGATAGTTTATCCCCACCACTTTAGAGATCCTTTCTATATGCAGCCTAAGATTATTAGGGATTCTTTTAGTTCCAGAGCATACGTCATTCACTTTGCGCTTACAGTCCCCCAAAACCCCTGGACCTTTTTCAGATGAACTGCCTCTTAATTAAGCCCAACATACTAGCCTATCAAGATATATTTTGGATTCTTATTATCAACCAATGCATTTTCTATCCCTTTTAACTTTGTTTAATTTGCAAAAGATAGCACAGGGGAAAGAGTCCTGGATTTGGACTTAGGTTCAAAATCTGGATCTGCCACATGCTGCCATTGTGACTTTGGGCAAGTTACTTCCTAACCTTGAGGGAGTTGGACTAGATGACCTCTGAGAGCCCATCCATTTCTCTTAGGATGTTCAACTAGTTAGGAAGCCACCTAACTTCCACAGTTAGACCTCTGGTAAAGCCATTATTCCACTGTGTCCACAGAAGTAACGAGAGTAGGCTAAATGGTTTGTGAAAGTATAGGTAAAACTGTAGCTACAGCAGATCCCTGTTGCTAGAAGGAACATCAGAATAATCTGAAATCATTTGCTGACAAACCCATGAAAAATCATCTCTAATACAACTTGAGACTTCTTCAGGGAACTATAGTTTGAAGATGCCACCATCTTTTTTTTTTTTTTTTTTTAAAGACAGGGGACAAGATTTGTCTTCCAGCCTGACATCCCTCCAATTCTCCACGATCTTAAAAACTTCAGCCTCCACATTTTCTCGTGTTCTATGACGGAGATCTGGATCTGACAACTTGACCTTATCAAAACTCCGCATTAGCCATTTCCTGTCCTTTCCAGCCCAATTTTTCCCCCAAGATGAAACAAGCAAAATACGAGTAGTTGCCTGTCCATTATTTTTGCCCCATTCCTAATTTGAGCTTCATCTTTTTCCCAATACAGCTGCATTTTAAAAATTCTTTTTGTTGTCTTTGGTGTATCTCCTGCTCTACTTTAGAAAGATAAGGATGAAGATACTGGTAGCGACCAGAGCTCCGCTGCCACCTACCCCTAGTACGCCGCCTGTCCATGAGAAACTATAGTTCCCATAATGCTCGGCGTTCTAGCTGTCGTTCCCCTTGGATTGGCTGGAAAGCTTAGACTACATTTCCCTGCATGCAAGATCGGGAAAGGGAGTGAGAAAGGCTTTAGAGCACTTGACAGACCGAGAATGGGCGGGGGGTGGAGTATGGGTCCCTGGAGGGACCAACAATGTAGGCGAGGCCGCGGGGTCTTCTGGGAACTGCAGTCCTCCACTGAGTTTGGGACTGGGGCGGCGGGGGAGGGACTCGCCTTCCCGGCAGGCGGCGCGGCGAGCAGGCGGTTGGGCGGCCGGTGGCGGTTCCGGCGGCGGCGGCGGCGGCGAGGACGGACGGAGGGACGCCCGGACGGACGCCTGGAGTCGGAGCCGAGACGCGACGGAGACCGAGACTGAGGCTTCGCCGGGGGTCCGAGAGTAACGCGGAGCCGAGAGCAGGCGGGATGTGGGAGCGGAGCTTCAGCTCCTGAGCGCCCAGCCGGGGCCGCGCCCCCCGCCCCCCTGCCCCAGGCCTCTCTCCACCCATTTCCCGGGCCTCGCTGCTCTGAGCCGAGCGGGCCGGTGAGGAGACGCCCCCGCCCCGCCTTCCCGGGGAGCCCCCTTCGGAGACGTCGCCCCGCCCCTCCCCTCCCCTCCCGGGAGCCCCTTCCCCAAGCTGTCCAGAGCCTCGGTTCTGGTCCCAAGTCCGTAGCTCTCCCCGCAAACCTCCCAGCCCTCCCCCGAAGTCCCCCCTGATAGGGAATCCCGGTGCTCCTCCAGTCTCCCTGCAGAGACTCGCCTTTCCCTCTTGTCTCCTCAAAGACCTGCCCCTTTGTCCTAGACTGAGGTCTCACCCCTTTTACACACACACACACACACACACACACACACACACACACACACACTCTCTCTCTCTCTCTCTCTCTCTCTCACACTAACTCTCCACCCCCTCCCCACTTGTCCATACTCCACTCCCTAGGCTCGTCAGATACACCCCACTCCTCCTTTCCCAAAAGAATTGGGAAATCCCTTTTAACTGTCCTCAGGGACTTGCCCTCTCCTTCCCCAAGCTGTCATCAGAAACCTATCCCAAATCCCAGAAACCTGCCTCTTCACTTTTCACAGGCTCCCCCTATACCTCCATCTCTTCAAAGATTCCCATTTCCTCATAGGAATCTCTCCTTCCTCTGTTGACTTTTTTTTTTAGCAGATTTCCACTCCCTTCCCGAAAACAAAACAACACTTCAGCTTGGGGAATTTCTCTTTTTCTAACAAGGGCAGCCTCCTCTCATAGTCCCTTCCTCAGTGGGGATTCTTAAGGTACCCTCTTTTAAATCAGTTTTAAGAGGGACCCTTTCCTCCTAGGGTTTTACTCTCCAAATCAACACCTTTTTTCATTCCTTTAATTGAGGAATTTTCTAAGAGATCTGAGTTGCATCTATCATATAGAGAACCCTTCTCACTCCACCTCCTGTAGAAAACCCAGCCTTTCCCAGGGACTTCTCTAGGTCTGCCCTCCTGGGATTTAAGATTTTTTTTGTGGGGGTCCTCTTTAGGGATCATCCCCTCACAATTCTTCCCTCCCCACCACCTATCAGGTGCTTTCAGGGGAACCTTTGAACTTCTTTCAGGGGTTTCTTGATCCTAGTCCCTTCTTCTGGCCCCAGTGTTCACCTCATAGGGTCCAGTTCCCAGCCAGCTCAGGCCTGGCCCCCACCAGCCCTCCCGCATGCAGCCCCGAGCTCTCTCGAAGCCCCCTGCCTCCCAGTCCCTCCTCAGAGGCTGCCCAGGGCACCTGTGCCCAAGGCAGTGCCATTGCCAGACCTTGCTGATCCTGGCCTGGCCTCACCTTCCTGCTCCCCGATAAGAGAGGCCAGGGGCTCCTGCTTGTTGCCCCCAGCTCCTATCCTGTGTCTCTTTCCTGATGCCTCCTGCCCAGACCTGCTTGGTTTTGGCTCCTGTAATCCTTGTCTAGGGGCCCCTTGGCCTAAGCCTCTTTGACTTTCCCTTGTCTGCCGGAATCCCCCTTTTCTCTTCCCTCTTCTCCATCCTGGGGGAGAGGAACCTTCCTGAGGCACCATGCTGAAGTGCATCCCCTTGTGGCGGTGTAACCGGCATGTGGAGTCAGTGGACAAGCGGCACTGCTCACTGCAGGCTGTTCCAGAAGAGATCTATCGCTACAGCCGCAGCCTGGAGGAGCTGCTGCTTGATGCCAACCAGCTGAGGGAGCTACCTAAGGTGAGGGGGGTTGAATAGTTATCCCAGGAGTCACGGCATCATGTACCCATTAGGCTCTGTTCCTGATACCCCTACCAGCAGCCTGCCTGTGGGAGGAATAGCTAGTTGTCTGCTCCTTCATGGTATGCTGGGCATACCCTGTGGACCACTGAGAAAAGTGTCACTGGAACCCAGGCTAGGAAGCCTAGAAATAGGCATCATTTTCTCTGAGTACCTGGGACAAAGGATAACCTATATGTGATGGCAAGAGTTGTGTGGCTACAGACAGTTTTCTGGATCCCATGAGAGCCAAAATCTTGGCTGGAGGGGTTCCACTGGTTCTGTGTTCTGCTGTCATCAGGACTGGGCTAGTGTTGGATTCTAAGAACCTTGGCAATTGATGGTTTGGGTAAATTGCCTTCTCTTTCAGTAGGGAGCTTCCTATTCTCAGTAGGGCCTCCCTGGGGAACTAAGGGTTGGTATTAATTGGACATTCTGAGGAGGGGCTGTACTAGGAACTTCTCCTGAGAGACTCCCACATCTGGTTGTCTGGGTATCTTATCTGCCACCAATATCACTTGTCAGTCATTCACATTTCATCTGGGGAGAAGCCCCAGGAAATCAGTGGGCACCTTCTACCATCCTCACTTGTACTCAACTGGGGGTGCTTAGGTTGAGTCATTCATTGAACTTGAGTCTGGAAGAAAGTATGTGATCCTGTCCTTTGATCTCTGAGGAGTCTGTAGAAGACAGTGGCAGGAGGGTCATCTTGTCCTAGGTGTGGGAGGAGACACTACTGAACCAGCTCTGCCGAGTCCAACTGGTTCCTGCTCCACCTGAGTTCTTTCCCTCTCCCCTCCCCCCCTCTTCCTTGGGCTACCTGCTGCTGAGAAGGCACCAGGTGGCACCTGTCACCAGGCAGCCACTGCCCATCTCTGTGGGAGGGGAGGGGAGAGAGGGAGATGAGATGTGAAACTCGAGCAGGAGGCAGGCAGGCAAAGACTGTGATTGTCCTAAGCAAATCTCCTGTTCAGGCTGATTAAAAGAAGCTTTTAATTTGCTTACATCTAGGGAGGCCCTAAGTCTACTCCCAGTCCCACCCCTCCTTCTTGGGCTGCCTGGGTTTCCGTCCCTGGGGCAGGGAAGCCTCAGCCTGTCCAGGCAGGATAGGGGTTGGGCCCTTGGGATTTTGGCCTGGCTCTCTTTCCTTCCTTCCTTCCCCTCCCCCCAATGTAGTACCAGCCTTTCCCCCAATATTCCTGTAACTGTTGTATCCTGTTCTCACTGCTTTTTTTCCTTTTGTTTCTTCCCCTCTCCTATTGGCATCATTGCTTAGGGTCCTGGATTCCTTGCCTTGGCTCACATGTTTTTCTTGTTCCAAACTCTTGCAGGTCTACTTACGGTGCCCAGACATTCCCTGTCATTTACATTGTTCATATATACAGTCCCTTCCTGGCACCCCTATTCTCGAGGCCTACCCTGGCTCCCATTGCTAGAGGTCCAGTTGTTCTCTGCCCAGTTAATACCTTTGTCAGGCCGTTGTGTACCAGAGAAGTGGGTGGGAGCTGTTGTGCTAGTGTCTTGGGAGGGAGGGGGTACTGTTGGAGAAGCAGATTCCAAAAAGCTTTGAGATTCCTAAGTCTTAGTGTTAAATGGCCGGAAATCCGCGTGTTGTACATCACAATGGACAAACAGCCGACTCCCTGGCCTTGAGCTGGCAATCCACAAACTTCCTACCTTCTCCATCTGTGTTCTTGGGGCCTGTGGCCTCAGTACTGTGGGAGTGAGACTGTGTCTGTTAGAGGAGTAGTAACAGACTGAGAGGGAGAGCAGGAGATTGAGCAAGCTTATTGGTTTATTTGTCTCTAAGGTAGGATGGGCTTTAGGGTTCTTCAGGGCATTGGTTCTAGGGGAACTGATGGGAGGTGTACGTGTAGGATGTTTGTAGGGTTGGTTGTGAAGTGGGAGGGCTTGAGAGGCTGCCTTTGAAATGGACTTGTTCCCTTGACTTTTCCTTTTAGCCTCACAATCTTAATGAAGCACCCTTGAAATACTCTTTTCCTTCACTTCCTAGCCTTTCTTCCGCTTGCTGAATCTTAGAAAATTGGGCCTGAGTGACAATGAGATTCAGAGGCTGCCACCTGAGGTGGCTAACTTCATGCAGCTGGTGGAGCTTGATGTCTCCCGAAATGGTGAGAAGCCTTGGGGCAGGGGCTCAGGTGTGGGGAGAGATTTACGTGGTAGAGATTACCCTGGGGGTGGGGGTAGGGTTGGGGAAGATGACTGAGAGTGGTAGGTATAGATGAAAGGAGGTTCCTGCATTGTGTTGTTGTTGATAGTAAAATTAATAAAATTTTGATCTGGGCCCCAGGTTACTAAGTGTACTGTGCACAAAATAACACCCAACATCAATCCAAAAGGACTTCCCAAAGGAAGTGTTACTTCAACCAACGTTAAAAAAGGGTCAGGGCTTATTAAGAGCACTAAGGCTAGGAAACTTCCAAGTCTACAGCTGAGCCTGGTACTATGGGCTGAAATATTATAGATGGCCACCTTGGGTACCTCAGCTGTACCAACAGACCATCTGTAGCTACAAACTTTTTTTCCCTTTTGGACTATTTAATATGGTAGTGTTCTGTATGCTTATCTGTTTCTGTGTGTTTTGTGATTTTCATTTTTCTCAATTTCTCAGTAAAAATTTCTTTGGCAAATTTTAACTTTGTCTCTGTTGAAACTGAGGAAATGGAATTAGGTGGGTTTTTTGTTTTGTTCTGTTTTGTTTTTATTTTTTTAAAATTCTTCCCACATCTGGATCACTATAGGGAAGGAGGGTCATTTTACTTTTTGGATTGTAACTGCTGGTGTCAGATCTAATAGAGTTGGGAACAGGAGGGTTAGAGTCTGGGTCACTTGTGGTCCCTGGATCCCCTTCCTGTCTGGGCATTCCTCTGATAGGAATAACAGGGGGCTACTGGGATGACAGGTTCAAATCTCACCTCAGACACTTACTAGCTGTGTGACCCTGGGCAAGTCACTTAACCTCTCTTTGCCTCAGTTTCCTCATCTGTAAAATGGGGATAATAATAGCACTTACTTTCCAGGTTGTTGTGAGGGTCAAATGAGATAATAATTGTAAAGTGCTTAGCACAATACCTAGCAGATAGTAGGTGCTATATAAATGTTAGTAGTTGTTGTTAGCTATTTGTATTCTGTCATGCAGACATCCCTGAGATACCTGAGAGCATCAAGTTTTGCAAGGCCCTGGAGATTGCAGACTTCAGTGGGAATCCCCTGTCCAGGTAAAAGGACTAGGGAAGAAGTGAGGCTTAAGATCTGCTGTGGTTTTTTTGTGGTTTCCAAGGTCCTGTTCCTACGGGGCAGGAGTGAGATGGGAAGCTAAGTATTCTCTAATCTGGTGGTGATGTATTTAAGGATCAGTCTTTCCCTCTAAAGAGGGTTGTCTGGAGGTCTTCCCTTTGACTCTCCCAATCTCTGTAGGCTCCCTGATGGCTTCACCCAGTTGCGCAGCTTAGCTCATCTTGCCCTGAATGATGTGTCCCTGCAGGTGCTGCCAGGAGATGTGGGCAAGTGAGTGAATATGGGGATCTGGGCAGAATAGGGGAATTAGATGATGGGTTCTCTCGGGGAGGGGAATGGCAATGTGGCTGAAGTAGGAACCACCTTCCATCTTTTACACTTACTCCTTTTTCTCTTCCAGTTTGGCTAACTTGGTGACCTTAGAGCTACGGGAGAACCTGTTAAAGTCCCTTCCCACGTGAGTTTCAGCAGAAGCCCTTATCGTATCCAAGTCTTTTCTGCTTTCAGAAGTTCCCTGCCTTCTTAGGTTGTAAGGCTTTAGTTATTTACAAGCTTAGTTTTTTGGGTTGCAGTTTGAGCTCTTTCCTTCTCTCTCTAGTCCCCTGTCCCTTCAGTTGCCCTCCACCAAACTTTTAAGCTGTTCTCTAACTCTTGCTCTCCTACCTGCAGGTCTCTGTCCTTCCTTGTCAAACTGGAACAGTTGGATCTAGGTGGCAATGACTTGGAAGTGCTGGTAAGGGGCAGGGCCTAGGGGTCCTGGGGACTGGAGGTGGTGGTGAGGGTGGAGATATCTGGGCAGAAGCAAGAGAATTCCTAGTCTTTACGGATGCATCTTTACTTGTCCTATTCTGTTATAGCCAGACACTCTGGGAGCCCTTCCTAATTTGCGAGAGCTGTGGCTGGACCGAAATCAGCTATCTACACTGCCTCCGGTGAGCAAAAGGGAGACTGAAATCAGGAGCTTTCTCCCTGACTCCCCCTGTTGTTCTGCCTACTCCCTGCTTTCCTTCACTCAGCCCCACCTTCCTTTGAGGCTCCACTTTTCCTCATCCTTTACTAGTCTTCTTTCACTTTTCTTGCCCCTTCCTTCTCAGTCTTCTCCATCTTTTCCAACCTTTCCTCATTTTCTACTGGTTCTAGTCCTTCCTGTCTCCTCCATTCCTCTCCCTTCTTAGCTTTCCTTCATTTCCTCTCACCTTCCTCTAGCCTCCCTCTATTCGTCTTCTCTCAGCTTTTCCTCTGGCCCCATGCTTCCTAGCCTTACTTTGAGCTGTCTGTTGAGTTCTTCCTTCCAGCGTTCCTCAGTCTGTGGCTTTCCTTTGCCCACTGTCCTTCCAGATATCTTTACGCTTTTAGTCCATCTCTCTCTTACCATTTCTGCACTTTTTCTAGGAGTTGGGGAACCTTCGGCGCTTGGTGTGCCTAGATGTGTCTGAAAACAAACTGGAGCAGCTGCCGGCTGAGGTCAGCGGGCTCACCCTGCTCACGGACCTCTTACTGTCCCAGAACCTGCTTGAGCGGCTCCCGGATGGCATCGGTATGTGGGGTGGTCCAAGAACATTACATTTTTGATGGTAAGGAAAGACTTAGGGAGGAGAAGAGTGGGAGGGAATAAGCATTTATATAGCACCTTCTCTCTGCCAGGATACAAGGCATTTTACAGACATTATCTCATTTGGTCCTCACAACAACCCTGCGAGGAAGGTGCTATTATTAGCCCCATTTTACAAATGAAGGAACTGAGGCAGACATTAAATGACTTGCCTAGAGTTCCATAGCTAGGAAGTGTCTGAAGCTGAGTTTGCATTCAGGTCTTTCTAAACTCCAGGCCCAGCATTCTGTTCATTTTGCCGCCAGCAGCTCCTGTTGGGAAAATCTCTTTCCTTTATTTTGTGCCTTTCTGTCCCCAGGTCAATTGAAACAGCTCTCCATTCTGAAAGTGGATCAAAATCGGCTTTGTGAGGTTACCGAGGCCATTGGAGAGTGTGAGAACTTATCAGAGCTCATCCTCACTGAGAACATGCTGACGGTATGGACCACGGAGTCTGGACCCCTCACACACACTCACCTGATTCCACAGGCTTTAAATCCCTGCCGTGATCCTGCTCTGTCTGTCATCCCTGCATTCCCTGCCTTTGGTCTCACAGATTCTGTCCTGGCCCAGTAATGGTTCTTGCCATCAGACCCCGTGATCCCTGCCTTGGAACCCTTAATTTCTATTCTTGTCATGATGCTTCAACTGTTACCCCTGACTCCATAGGCCCCAGTAGTGCCCACGTTTGTCCTTGCAGTCCCAACTCTGATCCCCATAATGTTCTCCATGCTCTTCTTCTCCTTTCTTCTTTTGTCTTAGAGGAAGTCCTTTGCACCCCTCCTGCCCTGAACACTCACTTGGATCACTAGAAATCACCCATGGGACAGGGTCTCATTCTAGTTCCAATGGAAGAGGGCTGACCCTGTCATGCTACTGACGGGTTGGACAGATGTGTCACTGACCTCTTTATAGTAACTTGGAAGCCCTGGGTTCATGGCCTATATTGTTCCCTGCCAGGCACTTCCCCGGTCCTTGGGGAAGCTAACTAAACTGACTAATCTGAATGTGGACCGAAACCGGTTAGGAACACTCCCTGCCGAGGTTGGTGGCTGTACCAGTCTGAATGTGCTTTCCCTTCGTGACAACCGCTTGGCCTCTCTGCCCCCTGAACTGGCTGGCACCACTGAGCTACATGTGCTGGATGTGGCAGGGAACCGGTAAGCAGACTCCCCCCCTTCCCGTTCCCAGCTTCCACCTCTTCCTCTTCCCCTTGCTTAATGGAGAACAGGAGAGGTGTTAAAGGAGGGCCCTTGGCTCAGGGGAGCGAGGCCCCTCTCAGTAGACCCCATCCCCCCAGGCTGCAGAGTTTGCCCTTCGCCCTCACCCACCTCAACTTGAAGGCCCTGTGGCTGGCAGAGAACCAGGCTCAGCCCATGCTCAAGTTCCAAACAGAGGATGATCAGAAGACTGGGGAGAAGGTGCTCACCTGCTACTTGTTGCCCCAGCAGCCCTCACCTAGCCTTGGTAGGACTTGATAGTATTCAGCTCTCCTTCTCATCCCAACCCCCATCTCTGGGTCCACACCTTCCCACCACTCCTTGCATCCCTGCCTTGCCTTCCCCAGATCCACCCTAACTCCACTCCTTTTTCTTCCCCTGCCCCAATTTCTTGCCTCACCCCACCGCCACCCCTACCCCACCAGGTCTCTGCCTCACCCCATCCCCATGTTTTACCCCACTAGTCCAGTTCTTATCTGCCCTGGTTCCTCTCCCTTCGTGTCTTCCCCTGGCCCAGTCCCTGCTTCCTCTCTGCTCCTCCAGACACTCTGCTGCAAAGCAGCCTGGATGAGAGCTGGAGTGGCAGCCACAGTCATGTGAACCGGGTCAGCGTGATCCAGTTCTTGGAAGAGCCCATGGGTATGGAGGATGAGGAGCCTGGGGCAGAGAAGAGGGTGAGTTGAGGGGCTGGAGTGTTTGAGGAGCCCTAATGCTTTGGAAAACAGATTCCCATTCCCCTTACCTGTTAAGCAGCTGACCCCCAGAGTTACACCAGTTACTAAATCCCTCTCCCCCCACCCCTCATTTGCAGTCACTGCTTTGTGTTTATCATTCCCTCAACATTAATACCACCAATTCCTGGTCACTCTTTTTGCTGGAATCACTGTCCTCCTTCCCTTCCCTCCCATCTCATTCTTCTCTTATTGGCTTTATCCAGCTGCCCAGGGCAGGGTCCGTTTTCCAATTATGGTTACTCTTATTTTAGGGTCTGCAGCGAAGAGCTACTCCTCACCCCAGCGAGTTGAAGGTTATGAAGAAAGTGATTGAGGATCGACGTAATGAGGCCTACACGGCAAAGCCTGATTCAGAGCAGATATTGCCCACTGAAGAGGTATGGAAAAGGAGTCGTTGGTTGTGGGGGGAGGGAAGAGAGACATATGTTTGGGGACAGAAAATTTTGGAAAAGTGTGGGATTAGGAAAGACAGGAAAGAAGAGTAAGAGGACATGGAGTAGGATGGTTGGGAGATGTATCTTGGTTTACTCATCCAAGAAGGTCCTCCAGCATCCCCTGCTAGCTCCTTCTTTTTCCTTCTCTGTCCCAACCTGACCTGAGTCTCCTGGTTCTGCATCTAGTCTTATGGCTGCTACCAGCATGTCTAGCCACTAGGGTAGCTTTCTGTCTTGAATGAAATATAGAAGTCCTTTCCTTTTGGGTTTCACTCAGGATTGTGATGTGAAAAGAAGGCTGTATCTGAAGTCAGACATCCTGGATTCAATTCCATTTCTTTCACTAACTTAGCTATCTGACCTTGAGCAAGTCAACTTAACTTTCCTGGGCCTTGGTTTTTGCTTTTGTACTATGAAGTTAATAAGACTTAATAATTGCCTCATAAGGTTAGAATGAGGCTCCACAAATTTGAAAATTAACATTTCTATTGCAATATGAACTGCAATAGAAATGTGGCATTGTGGAATAGTTGAGTACTGGGCTTATCGTCAGGAAGACCTGAGTTCAGATCTCTTTGACACTAGCTGGGTAATCCTGGGCAACTCAGGTAACCTGTCTGTGCCTCATATAACTCCCTAGGGCCAGAGGTGTGCTGAGAACTAACTCATGCTGTCTTGCGGAGCTGGTTGTGAAGTTTTCAGCATGAGCATTTACACCTTGGAAATTGACAAAAGCTACAGATCAGGGCTTGATTTATTGTCTTGCTGATTGCCTAGACCTAAGAAAGTGATAAAGTTCAAATCATGTAGATTAAACTTGAAAGTATGTTGTGCCTTTTTGAAGAGCTAGCTAGTAAGTATTTATTTACCGACATACCTGTTCCAACATACCATCTTAGATAAGTTGTGTGCTCTGTCTTGATGGAGGGAATTTCTCATGCTAATGAAATCACAGATCTTTCTTTTATTCCAGTATTATTAAGACAGGGCTAGAGTTTTTTCAAAAGGAAATTTTACCATAAAACCAGAGGAAACCAGAAGGTAACAGAAACGTAGACATGGAATTAGAGTGATTTTTAGCTATGTTTTCGGAAGGAAAGAGATAACGAGGTAGTGCCATGGCTAGAGCTCTGGGCCTGGTGTCAGAAAGATCCGAGCTCAAATCCAGTCACACACTTGGTAGCTATGTGATCCTTGGCAAGTCATTTAACTGCTGTCTGCCTCAGTTTCCTCATTTGTAAAAATAGCACCTACCTCCTAGGGTTGTTATGAAGATCAAATAAGATGGGATGATATTTGTGAAGTGCTTTGCAAACCTTAAAGTGCTGTGTAACATTACTAGCTATTATAGTGTCCAAAGTGAAGCAGGTAATAATACTGCTGTTCCCTGCCCTAATCAGACCTCATCTCAGGGTATTTTGTTCATTTCTGGGCCCCATATTTCAGGAAAGGATATTGATAAGCTGTAGCGAGTGCCAAGGAGAGTGATTTGAATGGTGAAGGAACTGGAAACCGTGTTATATGAAGATTGGTTAAAGGAACTGGAGATTTTTTTTTTATTGGCAAGGGTGGGGGGTGGGGAGGAGAGCAGGAAATCATCATTTTCATATCGTTAAAGGGATGACACGAAGGCAACATATGTACCCTTTCCAGGTATAACAATGTGTGATCCTAACTTGGACCAATGACTGCAAGTTGTAGGGAGGCAGATCCCTGGTGTATGTGAGAGAGAACTTTTCCATGTCACTGGAGATATTCAGACAGAGACTGTGTTAAGACTTGTTGCAAATATTATAGTAGGTGTTCCTTTATCAGCTAGTTTACCTGGGTGACCCCTTCCCAACTTTATAGATTCTGGGAATTTACAGAATAAAGCCATATGGATATCCCATGACTAAAGTCTAACCATGGATCAGCTGGGGTGTGCAGGAGACATTTCCTGAGACACTGAGATCCCCTTTCTGGGGATCTCCATCCAAAAGCACCTTACTTAAACCTTGGGCATTTTCCATTCCTCTCACTTTGTCTTTCCTAAGAAAAGTCCTCAGACTGGTGCTCTGGTTCTTCATTTTATGGGATTGTAGACCCATGTTGGAGAAACTATTATATCATAAAATTTTAAAAATAAAATAATAGCTAGCATTTACATAGCACTTTGTTTTGCAAGGAACTTAAAAATATTATCACGTTTTGTTTTCATTTATATGTCCTTCATGTATGTCTGTCAGTACCTTCCCCAGCAGGGGTCTCATAAAATAGTGGATCTTGACTTCCGTTCCTCAGGACTCACCCTTTACTTTTACCAAGAGTCTGGGGTCGAGACAGCCAGGTGGCACAGTGGATAGAGTACTGGCCCTGGAGGCAGGAGGACCTGAGTTCAAATGTGGCCTCAGGCACATAACACTCACTAGCCATGTGACTCTGGGCAAGTCACTTAACCCAGTTGCCTCACCAAAAAAAAAGAAGTCTGGGGTCATTGCTTCACAAGTGTTAGTATGTGTTACCTCTGCTTCCTGGTTCATACTACCCATCCCTCTGTCTTCTCCTGGGTCACTCAGAGCAACAGCAGTGAGAGAAATAATAGATTTCATTTCCAAAGCACTTTATGGTTTAAAAGGACTTTTCTTAAAGTGAACATGAGGCAGAAGTAAGTAGAACTATTATCCTCATTTCATAGCTGGAGAAACTGAGGCTTTGGAGAGGTTAAGTGACTTGCCCAGGGTCATACAACAAGTAAGTGCAAGAACCAGTAACCAAGCCCAGGTGTAATGATACTTAAGCACAGCACTTTTCCAACTAAATCATATTGATTCTCCTAAAAAGGGGTCTTAGGTGAGAAAGGCATTGGAGGACCTTATTGTTGCTGCTCTGGATGTTTACTTTTTGCTTGAGCCCCAGCCCTGGAGAATTTCAGGGGCCTTAAGGACCAAGTTGTAGAATCCAAACTTCAGATCTACAAGGAACCTGGATTGTCTATTCCAACTTAGACCTCAGACAGAATTCTTCTACAATATCCCCTGCAAGTGATCATGCATCCTCTGTAGCCTTTCCAATGCCTCCCTCCCTAGGCAACTTATTTTATTTTACAACAGCTTTATTTTTTAAGGAAGTTCTTCCTTATGTTGAACTGAAATACGCTTCTCTGCAGCTTCCAGTTATTCCTTGTTCTGCCTTCTAGGCACAGGTGAAAAAGTACTCTTCTCCCTCATGAGAGCTCTTTATTTGAAGCAGTTACACGCTCACCTGAGTCCTCTGTTCTGCCAGGCTAAATATCTCCATTTCCTTCCTCGTATGGCATGGTTCTGAATCCTTAACAATTTTGGTCGTCATCCACTGAACACACGGCAGTTCCTCAGTATCCTTCCAAAAATGTGCTAACTAGAACTGACCCCAGTAATCCAGGGGTCATCTGCCCAGATTGCAGAAGACAGCTAAGACTCTCCTCTCCCTCTTCCGGAACAGTATGTTGTCTTTAGTGCAACTCCAGGATCTCGTTCTTGTTTTTGGTTGCCACGTCACTGTTGGCTCAGATTAAGCTTTTGTTGTTGTCAGTCATTGCAGTTGTGTCTGACTCTTTGTGACCTCATTTGGGGTTTTCTTGGCAGAGATACTGGAGTGGTTGGCCATTTCCTTCTGCAGATGAGGAAACTGAGGCAGACAGGCTTGAGTGACTTGCCCAGGGTCACACAGCTAGGAAGTGTCTGAGGCCAGATCTGACTTTAGATCTTCCTGACTTCATGTCTGGCACTATACTGTGCCATCTAGCTGCCTCAGATTAAGCTTGCAGGCCACTAAAATCCCCAGGACTTTTTCCAGAATTGCTGCACAGCCATATTTTCCCCATCTCATCCTTAGGCAGTTGATTTTTTTTTAAGTGCAAGACTACATTTCTCCTTAGCATATCCTTAACAAACATAGTTTGGCTCATTGTTCTAGTCTGCCAAGATACTTTAAAATTCTTATTGTTATCCAACAGGTTATCTACTTTTATACATTAGTCAATTTTGTAAAGAGCCAGGAGTCCTACCTTATTTGCCCTTCTTAGATTTTATAAAACAGTTATTCCCTCACAAGGTATGAGGGCAGTAAAAGGATGAGGCATGGGAGTCAGGGGATATAGATGAAGGAAGGAGGGCGTGGTTAGAAGCGTCAGGGGAAATCTGGTGACAAGGCACCCTGGGGTGGGAGTAGGGGGGTGTCTTCCTCTCTGTAGTTATTTTGTTGCCGGTATTCTATGTGGATCTTTTCCTGTCTTGAACTATTCTTAGACACTTCATTTCCTCCTCTCATTGCCTGTTTGGCTGCTGCACCCTGGGTTTCCTGGCTGTAGTCTTTGTGTGCTCCTTTAAGGGTAGCTCTGTTCTGCCTTCACATGCACTGGACTATTTGGTGTGTTTCATTGAGTTCACCACTTACCAAGCCCTTTGAATCTGTAGGTGCCAGAGCAATCATCAGAGACACATTGATGTCCAGTGATGTTTTCCTTGTTAAAAACCCTTCCTGGCAACATTCATCTCTTTGCTCACATCAGTGCTTCTGGACTTTAAATTTCCTTAGCCATAAAATAAGGGAGTTAGGCTAGATTCGGGGTGGGAACCTGTGGCCTTGAGGCCACAAGTAGCCTTCTAGGTCCTTGAGTTTGACCTTTTGATTGAGTCCAAGTTTTATAGAACAAATCCTTTTATTAAGGGGATTTGTTCTGTGAAGTTTGGATTCACTTAAAAGGCCACATTTGAGGACCTAGGGGGCCACATGTGGCCTCAAGGCTGCAGGTTCACCTCCTGAGCTAGATAATTTCTAAGCTTCCTTCCATATTTGTATCCTGTGATAGCCTGTGCTTTAACTAACCCCTCATCCCTTGAACTTTAAGCTCCTCCAAAATTCCTGTCCAAGTTGCCCTCACCAAAGACAAGGATTTCTTTTTACTTTTCCCTTCTGCCTAGGATGGAGCAACTTGAAGGCAGAGACTATGACTACCCCTTCAGACCCTTTAGGGGATTCTTAGAGGTGGGAGGCTTTTCTAGGTCAAGGACCATGTCTTCACCTTGTTACTATGAGAGACCAATGGACCATGACTCCCTCTTTAGAAAGTGTTTCTTGAGTGGGACTGTGTTTCTTCTAGTCCAGAGCTTCCACATTTGGGTGTTAAATTGAGTACCTACCAGCATAGTGTCTACTTGCACTCCCACTATGCATGGTTAGGATTTGTGTTGCTCCCCTTGTCATTTAACTAGTTGTTACTGAATACTTTCTGCGTTTGAGGCTTTGTGCTGGTGGTCTACCCTGTTAGGGAGATAAATCCCCTGTATTTGAAGACTTTGCAGATTACCCTCCCTCTGCTGCCAGCGCTGAGCAGCCTTTCCTCGTCTCTCCCCATCTGTTGTCTCTTTCCCTGCTGCCTACAAACATATCCATGATTTTACCATCCTTAAGAAAAAGATCCCTCTCTTGACCCTCCCATCCTTTCAGGCTGTTATTTTGTATATCTCTTTTCACAGCCAACCTCCTTGAACAAGCACATTCATTGTCTCCATTTCCTTTCCTCTTACTTGCTTTTCTACCCCCTGTAGTCTTCTGACCTCATCACTCACCTGAAGCTACACTTTACAAAGTTACCATTGACCTCCGAATTGTCAAATTCAGTGGCCTTTTTTCAGACTTCATCCTTCTTGACATCGTTGCATCATTTGATAATGTTGACATTCCTTTTCTGGATACTCCCTCTCTGGATTTCATAAACTGCTATTTCCATTCTCTTTCCAGTCTAGCTACTCCTTTTAGGTCTCCTTTGCTAGATTATAAACCAGACCCAACCCTTTCTTTATGGAGGTGGTAGTTGAAATCTTGGGAATTGCTAAGGAAGAGAGTGTAAAAAAAAGATGTTTAGCAAAAAGAGGAGTGAGGACAGAGCCTAGGAGAAAACTTACCTTTAGAGAACTGGAGGCTTTAGACGAGCCATTGAAAGAGGCAGAGGAGGAGCTGTCAGAAGAACGAGGATTGGTGGAAGGAACTGGGCATGTTTCCCATGGAGAAGACTCTGGGGAGACATAATTGTCTTCAGATATTTGAAGAGCTTTCATATGTGGGAGGGCTCTTGCTTGTTTGATTTGGCCCCAGAGGGCAGATTGAGGAGCAGTTGGTGGAAGTTTCAGAGAGGTAGGAAAAACTCTAAGAATTAGAGCTCTCTAAAAGTGCACTGAACTCTAGTCCTCTTTTCCCTTCCCCCCCCCCCAAGTGCAGTCTGAGTGGCTACACGCTGGACATGTTTGGGAGAGGATTTAAGTTAAGCCATCTGTTAGAGTAGGTGGCTTCTGGAATCACTTTGAGTGGAATTGGAGCTCAAGAGACAGACTGGGACTAGAGATTAAGAATTATGAGCCATCCACAGCCTGGTAGTAGTGAAAACATGATTGTTGACGAGCTTTTTGACACAGAGATTCTACTTCAAGAATAACAGAGGGCCAAGAGCGGAGACTACCCATATTTAGGGAGCAGGTGAATGAGAAGGCATAATTGAAGGTATAATCTCTAGATTCTCTATATTGCAGGAAAAGAGGCTGAGCTCTCAGTCCCACCAGAGCATGGACTCACATGTGTCCACCAGCACAGCCTCAGCAGGCATTCTGGAAGAGGAAGAAGAAGAGGCGGAGCAGAAGCAGGGGCAAACATCAGAAAGGGAGACAAGTCACAGAGCCAATGAGGAGGAGGTGGAAATTATGGCAGCTGGCCATGAGGAGGAAGTAGAGGAGGAATATGATGAGGTATGAAGAGCTAGGGATGGGGGAGGGAAGTGGGGAAAGGGATTGGAAAAGGTACGGGGAGTGGGGAGCAACATTGCTGTGCCCCCTAGCCTATTAGAGTGGAAGGGACTTATTTCTCCCATTGTGTTACCTGTCTAATACTTTTCCCAAGTGAGAGGCAAATTGATGTTGGGAATTTCTTTGAGATCAGGCTTATAGTCTGTCAAACTCCTCTGCCCCTTACTATAGCCATGGGTATCCCCATCTTCCTTGCACCTGGTCCCAGCTTGTAGCTTTTGTTCTGTGGCTATGTGAGGTTTTTGATTCCTTAATGTGAAAGGCTGTGCTGAGAGTTAGGCTTCCTGGAATGAAGTCCTGACAGGAGAAAGCACTTGCACGTTGGTCTACCTCTACATAAAGACTGTTTTCTTTTCAGGTGGTAGGAACACTTTGGGAAGGGGAGAGGGACCTGTCCCAATAAGGCCAGATGATAGACGCTTAGAATTTTTTTTTAAACCTTAAGTGTTGTCTTTGTTCATTCCATTCAATAAATATTAAGTACCTACTGTTTGCCAGGCACTGTGCTTAAGGGACTTGTATCCTTTCTTGGGGTTTGTTCCTTATCATCTTCCCCCAGTTAATATGAGAGAAGTCCCAGGTAGGAAAGTATTTGTATTCCTGGTTCCTCTCTTTCCCTCTCCTGAATTTTTAGCTCTTCCTCTGCCCTGGTCCAGGAAATTGAGACAGCTATTGCCACCTTCATCCATACCCTGCCTTTGCTAAGTGGGCTAGGGATGAGCAGAGCCCCTTTCAGTTCAGCCCAAGGTGTGGCTAGTCTTCTTCCTAAGGAACTTGCACTAAACAACCAAGGGAAAAGAAGGCAAAAATAGCAGAGCAGAAGAATGGGCAAGGCTGGAGCAAATTACATTGTCACATATCGTTCTGGCATAAGCAGCATCTTGCTACAGATGGGCTTGACTGGCATGGCATTCAGGGTTCTGTGCCTTTCTCTATAAATGGGCTCTGTAACCTAGAGATTCTCCTCCTCTCCCCTCCCTGCAACACCCAGGACACTGGGTGCCACTTGTTAAAGAGGAGTTCTCACTTTTGGAAATTGGAAGTAACCAAAGGAATTCAGGGTGGCTGGGGGGACAGTGTCATGGTACTTGGAGTTCAAGGCCTGACTGGTCAATCCAGTTTTGCTAAGATGGATAGTTTATGAAGAGGAGTAATATGAAATAAGGTGGGTGGGAATTAGGTTATACAGGGGCTTAAAAGGCTGGTTAAAGAATTTGTGTTTTATGCTAGTCAGTGACGAGACACAGCAAGTTTTTAAACAGGTCTTGTCAGACCTGGGCTTTGATCAACAAGCATTTATTAAGTGCATACTATATACCAAGCACTTAAGATTATTTTCATAGTTGTGTGGCATATAGATTAGAGAGGAGAAAGACTGGACAAATGGATGAGAGGTGATGAGAGCCTGAATTAGGTGGTTGTGTGAGTGGAGAGAAGTCAGGAGTTGTCATGGATTTATGGGAGAGAGAATATTCAAGGATAACTCCAAGGCGATGAATTTGGGGAACCAAGAAGATGGCAATACCCTCAACAGAATTAAGGAAGTTTGGACAAAGTGCAAATTTGAGGAAAAGATGAGTTCCATTTGGGACAAAATTGACTTTTTACAGATGAGGAAATAGAGGCTCTGAGAGGGCAATTGACTTATCTTTGTTGCACAGCTAGTCAGTGAGAGAACCAGGACAAAACCCAGGTCTTTTGACTACTAGGCCAATGATTTTTTTTTTCATTTTTTTGATGCATGATTGCCTTGGATTTAAGGTTTTGAATATTTCTTGTGTGAACCCACACTGTGCTCTAGAAATGAATGAATAAAAAACTTTTAAGTGCTTACCATGTGCTAAACAGTGTGCTTTCCTGTTAGAAGTGCCTTGGAGTAAGAGCCACTTGCCCCCAAGCTGAGGAAGCTAAGCAGTGCTGAGTTCATGTATCTGATTTGTTGTATGTAGGTGAGAAAGTGAGAGCTGAACAGGGAGTAATAGACAGGATGGACCAGGTAAGTCTGAGGGGCTGGTATTCCAGTGAGAGCAAAGTGGAAGAACAGTGCCTGTGTTCTGTCTCTCACGTTTTCCTAGAGTGCATTGAGTCTCCTTTGCAACCTTTATTTCCTACTTGTATTATACTCACCTGTGTGTATTTTATATCTTCTCTTCTTCTCTCCTTCTCCTCCATATGTAAACTCCTTGGGCTCAAAGGTTGTGTCTTTATTCATCTTTAAAGGAGTTCCCTGTGCTGGTCACAGCATTTTACACACATTTTGCACACTCTAGGTACTTAGCTGGTCACAGCATTTTGCACACTCCGGGTACTTGATAAATGTTTGTTGCATTGAATTGGGGGTAAAAGAAACTGGGATCCAGGATTCATAATGAAATAAGTAATAAATTTTGGTTTATTGTATAGTATTATAAATTATAGACCTGAACATTTTATGAGGGAAAGGCAGAGATTGTGGGGTTTTGAAGATATGGAGCAGAGAGAAACATCTGAGGATTACTTCACAACTCAGCCAATCCCCATGTCTTCAGTGGGAGTGATTTCAGTTAGGGGAGGCTCCTGTGGTCAAGAAGGAAGAGAGGATAGTTTTCATGGTTGCAGAGTCAGGTTTCACATTTCTGGTCTTCTTACAGCCCACCGTGCACTTTGCAGAGGACACACTGGTACGGAGTGAAGATGAGGATGAAGCTGAAGAACTGCGGCCCCCACCTGGGGAAAGGCAAAGGCTGATCCGGAAAGATACTCCCCATTACAAGAAGCACTTTAAAATCACCAAGCTGCCCAGGCCTGAGGCTGTGGTGGCCTTGCTTCAGGGGCTGTCAGGGGATGGAGATGGGGAGATAGCCCCAGCAGGCTGTAGCAATGGCCCCCATGATCCGCATGAGCAGCGGCCTCTCCCTTGGGGCCAGCATGCTGAAATGAACAAGGAAGAGGACAATGAACCTGATGAAGAGAAGAATGGGGCAGTGGCTGCCCCACCTTCTGTCAAGGTAGGGCCCCAAGGGTCTGGGTACCCTCAGGGGGCTTCTAAGGTAGGGAAGGCCCTGGAGAATAGCTGTCATGCTGCAGAAAGCCTAAAGGCTGAAAATACTACTATTCTCTATTAGGAATTTCACTCCCCTAGACACACTAGGCTCTTCTTGGGAGGCCTTTCCATAGCCTTAAGTGGTAGAAAGGGACAACCCTGGGTGGGGTATGGCAGCAGTGGGATGCCTCTGTTGTCCTCTGGCCAGTTGTACTGCTGGATGACGCTATCATTTGTATTAATGATCCTTACTCCTCATCCATTTGTTGCCAGCTCTAATATGCTTTTTCCCTTTGCCCTCCCCACTCTTGGAGATTAGCTCTCTAAGATGGTGCTGGCAGCTAATTACTTTTTTCTCTCCAAGCCTTCTGTTTTTTAGACTAGGAGTGTGGGATTGGAGGAGTTGCAAGATTGTTGATTCTCTTTGCCAGTCAGTGAACACTTAGAGTACCTACCATATGCCTAACGTTTTAGCTGTCAGTTGTATGGGAACAGGAAGGGTTACTAGACACATGTTGTCCAGTTGGTCACTTACAGATGATCAGAGACATGTCTTCATGTCTGTCATGTATTTAGAGAAAGGCAGAGACATTTACCTGTGGGAGCCACTCAGGACTAGTCAGAGAGATTCTTGTGTTGGGTTATTTATTCAGAGACACATCCCTATGTTGGGTTTTTACTCAGCATTGGCTATAGGTATAACCTTGCTCCGGTCACTCAGATTGGCCTGAGATATATCTTTATATCAGTGTTTGTTGCGCTTAGCCCCTCTATCCTTAGACTTAACGCTTTTCCCTCCCTATATCGGCAGCAACAATCCCCATGTTATCAAAACAATCATAGGGATGAGGGAACTCTAACTTTTCCTTCAGTGGGCCTTTTTGCTAGGAAATGGGTTTGTGTTTGGATCTCCACTAATGGGGATTGATAGGAAAGAGTCTGGGAAGCCAGTCCTCTGGTAGAGATGGGGATTTGGGCCCTAGGATACTGGTGGCTACACTTCACACTCTGGCATGGGTGAGCTTGGTGGTTTTCCCTCTCTCCTCTCCTTTCTGCCTCGTGGCTGGAGCTGGTGCTGGAACAGACAAGGCCCCAAGCAACGTCTCCAGGAATGACTGTGGGCGTTTGGTGGTGGTGGTGGTGGTGGTGGTGGTGGCGGTGGTGGTGGCAGTGATGGTGCTGGTTTGGGCCCCACTAATCCGCATGCCTCTTTGCTGGTCCTGTCCTAACAGGGGGTGTCGTTTGACCAGGCCAATAACCTGCTGATAGAGCCTGCTCGCATTGAGGAGGAAGAGGTCTGTACTGCTCCTGTTGGGCTCATTCACTCACTCACTCTCCCCTGAGCTCCTCACACTGCTTAACTTGCTACCTGGGGTTCTGGCAGGCTGGTCCTATTTCTGAGCCTACCATGCACAGTGATCTGTCTTTCCTTGTACTTTTCCCCCCTCCTTTACAAATGATTCTTTCTCTCCCTGAAAATCTAGATCCAGCAGCAGCTGTTGCAGAGTTGGGTTGTTATGTATGTGTTGAAGAGCTACTTTGGGGAGAGAGAGTCAGCATTCCTTCACCTGTTTTTCAGGCCATAATTTGCCCTCCAAACTGTTGTGAGAGTGATTCACTTCAATCCCTTTTTTTCCTAGGTGTTGGGGTCAAGTTTTCCTCTTGAAGCAGGAGTCTCCTTTTCATTTTAACACTCTGGCTTAGTCTGAACCCAATAGCCACACTTCTGACCATTTGTGAGAAAAGCAAAACATTGTTCCCACATACTTCCTCCCTTCACCAGGAAAAAGTATTATATAATTGCAAGCTTCAGGGGGATCTCAGAACTTAGGACCTAAGTTTAGGTAGTCCAGCTTGTGTCTGAGCAGGAAACCTCACCACAAAATTCTCAATAAGTGGTCATTCAGACTTTGCTTGAAGACCTTTATTAATTGGAAAATTAGTCCGCAAGGCCACTCATTCATTCCTTTTTCAAACCTGTTTGGCATCATTCTGCTGTCATAATCCAAGGAATGGCAGTATTTCACTCTAGGGAGACAGTGGGACCTCATGAAAGCCTTCACTTCTCTCTGGTACCCCATATCCTTCCTCAATAACATTTTATACTATAAGCTACTTTCTTTTCCTGGCTACTTTCTCTTCCCTTGTCTTCATAGATAACCTGTTCAGCCATTCCTTCTATGTTTCCTTTACTGGCTCCTCATCTTCTTGAACCTGTAAGGCTAGTGTTCTTAAAGGGTCTCTTCTTGGGCTTCTTCTTTCGCTGTGCTCTCTACTTTGGTAATCTTGTTGATTCCCCTGGTTTCAATGACCAACTCTTTGTGGATGACTTCTAAATTGTTGTCAGCCCTTACCTCTCACCTGAACTTCATACTTTCATTTCCAACTACTTACAATGTCTCCACTGTCACTACCATACTCAACATGTCTAAATCAAAGGACATCATCTTTCCCCCCAGAAATGCTCCTTCTAACTTCACAGTTTCTGTCAGTGGTACCATCATTCACCCAGTGTCCCATGTTTGAAACTTTGGCATTGTGTTTCACTCCTCTGTCTTCATCACCTTTCCTATCCAATCAGTTACCTTACCAAGTCCCTAACTCTAACAGATCCCACAATTATAGCACTTCTGTATCTTCATATAGCATTTTGTTTTGCCTCCTCTCTGAGGCATGTAACACATAATATTGTAAATTAGTTATCTGTATTTGTGTATTGTCCAAGACTGGTCTCTGAGCTCCCTGAGAGCAGGAAAATAACGAATCCAACCCTAGTACCTTCCCCAGTACCTAGCACAGTGCTTTGCATATACTAGCCAATTAATAAATGTTTCCTGAATTAAATTCATGTCACATATGCTTAATCAGCTAGTTAAGAGGCAAATATGGTTTAATGCAGCATAAGAAAATCTTGAGTTTCAAACTGTGTACATGCTAGGAAATTACAAGTTTTAGTCTTGAATTCTGCTTGATTGGCCTTAATGACCTGTTCAGGCTTTTTACAGAGTATCACTGCCTCCTTCATTCATTGTCACTGTGTGCAGGACATACTGCTAAACTTAATTGAGGGGGTAGAATTTGAACTGGGCTCTGTGTGTGTGTGTGTGTGTGTGTGTGTATGTGTGTGTAAGTGTAAGTGAAATACCGTTTTGGGGGGGGGGGTGAGAAGGAAAACCAGATCTGTGCTTTTAACACTATAGCTAACTCCTGACCAATGCAGCTCTGTACCTGCCATGTCGTTGATAGTTTTTGAAAATTGCCTGGGTTTATAAGATGAGGTAATTTATTTAAGGTCACTCAGTCATTTGTGTGAGAGGCAGGGCTTGCTTCCAGGTCTTCCTAATTCTAGGGCTAGTTGTCAGGAGGGCATTTTAAGCATAGGGAATGTTATAAGCAAAAGTATGGAAGAAGTAGTGCTTCCTTGGTCACCCTCTTAATGTACTGTTCCTGATCTCTTTCTTCTTCGTTAGAGTCTTGCTGATCTCATTTCTCTCATTTATCTGGTCTTTTCTCGGGCCCTTCACCCAGACTGTTTGTTCTAGTCTCTTTCCCTTAGAGTCCCAGCCCACATTTGGGTCTAATTCTTAAGAATATTCCTATACTTCCTTCTGTGAGTATTGCCCATCTTTATTGTACATCCGTACCTCCTTCCTATTTTGTTTAGTTTAAAAAACATACTGGAAGACCAGTGAATAGGAAGGGTTAAGGATTGAGGGGAAGAGAAAGTTCTTTGTCTCTGTAACTTTTCTGTCTCTTAGTCTTCTTCTCAGCCTATTGCCTCTGATATTAGCATGCCTGAGATCACCTTTTACATTTGATAATTATTTTTGTCTACTCAGAAGCAGAAGACTAACAAGCAGAATAAACAGTAAATTGGGGATACAGACATTTCTATATTCAAAACTATATAATTGAAAGCATAGATCCCTCAAGACTAAAATGCTAAATAGGGTCACTGTCCTTCTGTCCTATCACTGAAGTTACCTTCTTTTTTCTCCACCCCATCCAAATCTCTTTCTATTCCTAGTATAATTACTGCTCTTTGTCTTCTCGTTACTGTTCCCTGAATTATTATGCCTTCCTTGCCACTTTTCCAGAAACTACCTTTTTGCCTATGGGGTGTTCCCTTCTAGAGTTGGTGCTGAACAAGTTTATCAAAGCCTTTGGTATTTGTTCTTGTGGGAAAGAAGAGAATGATTTTGGCTTTCTTCCTGTTCTCCAGCTAAGCTTCTTGCACTGTCCTATCCAGTACAACATATGCTATTTTCTGCGTTTGATGATGACAACAAGCTTTTGTCCCATCCTCTTGTCCCCTTTTCCTGATCATATTGGATGTGTATCTCTTTGGTCCATCCTAGACTCGTTTCCTGCTTTCCTTCCCAAGATCAGTTTGTGTCCAGGTCCTTGAGAACTGTCAGTAGAAAATTGGCTTGGCATGTAGAACCTATTGCATCCGTGACTACCAAGACTGACCAGCAAAATAACTCGGAAAGTTACAACTAGAGTTGGCCTCTCAGCCCAGGTTCCCTTCCCCCCAACCTCCAGTTGTGTGTATTTGGCTTCCCATACCACAACAGGTTAAAGGGGAAAGGCTTATTTGACTTCTTCCTTAGTCTTTTCCTTGAGCTTTCTGTTAACTAACTTTTCCTTCTGTGGGATTAGATCTGTTCCTAGACTCCAGGCCCATTTTGGTCTTCCCTGTTTGATTCTTAGCTTTAATACTCCCCCACCCCTTATTTGGAGATGGTCCTGAGGAGAATTTGACTCTTTAGGCTCCCATTTGTCTCCTTTTCTGAGTGTGGTCTGTGCATTGTACTTGACTCTGGAGAGAGATGAGATATTTCAGAAGGTAAATGAAAATGAGTTTTGGAGACATTAGAGGGGAAATGTCTTGGTCCAGCAAGTATAGATGGAGTCCAGGGAACTGGGAAAACATCTGACTGATCACCAAAGCACATCTGGGAAAGCGAGACTAGGGTATAAGAGAATAAGCACAGGTCTATAAGCCTTAGCTCCCCAATAAGTATACTTCTCTCTGTTTTCTCCAGTATAGTCTCTGAGATGGGAAAATGAGGGATCTTGCAGCTAAGAACTTGCTGGGACAAAAGTTGACTTTAGCAGTGCATGAGTATTGGGGGCATTCCATATCAGAAGTGCCTTTTGTCCACAATCCCACATGACTTCAGCAAGTAGAGTTATAGTTTTGTAAGCATTTATAAGAGAATGGAGACTCTGTGTGTGTGTGTGTGTGTGTGTGTGTGCGTGCGCGTGCGTGCGTGTGTGTGTGCACGCACTACTGTGAGCATTTGATTGAGGTATGAATCACCAGCTCTGCAACAGGTTTACTTGTTTTAACCTCAGGGAACCTCCTTGTACGTATCCCTCTCCCAAAACATAGTCACTCTCCAACTGTTCTCTCTAGTCTCTCCATTCATGTCTCTTTATCTTTACCACTTTTGAGTTCTTCCCTAGAAGACCTTCCTTGCTTGAAGATTCTTAACTCCTAAATCACTGTTTCGTCTTTTCCTTCAACCACTTTCCCTGTTGCTGCCCACATCCTCCCCTTGCCTCACTTGCCCTGTGGGGCTCCTGGCCTCTGTGCTGGCAGCCCTTGGCTCACCCCACTGATACCTGGAGGTCTTAGTTCATTGTCCAGAGGAGCTGAGTGGAGAGGCCCAGGCCTAGGACTTCCTCTCCTTCAGTTCTGTTGTATCTGCAGAACTCCCCTTGCTAGAGGGTGGCCGAGGTGAGAGGTTTGGGGGAGGGGAGGGTAGAGGGAGAGTTACATGGGTGTGGAGAGGAAGGTCTGTGTCCATTGATGGCATAGTAGATGACAACATTAAGTACACGATGATTCACAGGTGTCTGGAGAGGGAACTGCATGACTTGGGGAGAATGTGGTTACTAAACTTACAGGTATAGATTACATGTTATCAGGATGCAAATTCCTGCTCACACCCATCCTGCTAATGCACTGAACATGCCCCATCTCCCATCCAAGGCTCACATCTACACATGCACATATATGTACCTTGCTTCCCTTCCAGTACTGTTTCCCTGCTGTGTGTAACCTCTGCCTGTAATTCTGCTTCCAGCTGACACTAACAATCCTGCGGCAGACAGGTGGCCTGGGGATCAGCATCGCAGGGGGGAAGGGCTCCACCCCATACAAGGGAGACGACGAGGTAAGGGAGGCCTGGGCCTTCTATCTGTGACCCACCTTGGGCTGGCAAGCAGGGCCTCAAAGGCCTCCTCCCTTGACTACCCCCTTGCCTCTCTCATCCTTCTGTTCTCTGCCCCCTACTTCCTCCTACTAAGCCTTTTATTCTCTTTTTTCACCTTTACCCTCACCCTTTCCCTATAGCATTTTGCTATCACTTGATAACTTAGATTTTCATCTCTAGAATTTGAGGCTAGGGTGTTTACTTTTCTTGTGGTTGAGTTAAGCTGCCATCATTTGGAAGTAGATACCTTAGTTGTGGTATTCATTGCACGGTAGGTACATGCTCTGCTGAGATCCCACTTGTAACCACAAAATCTTCATACTACTTAAGAGCCACAAAGTCCCCTCTTTCTCTGAAATGTTACATTTTATTAAAGCACCTAAAAACATATTGAGTGGATACTGTATTTCAGAACAACTTCTAAAGAAATGCCTATGGTATGTATAATGTGGTACCTTTAACTTTTACTTTTTGAACTCACCTTGAATCTTGACTTGGCCCATCCTGGAGGTTGGCCTTATTTCCTTTATCTTCCCCTCTAGTCCTGACCACTCTCAGTCAGGGAAAAGGGGAAGCCTTAGTTTTGCCATCTGATATTCAGGATCTACTAAAATGTTTTGAGCAACTGCCTTTATGATTCCCAGGACCCTCTCTTCTGGTGAAAGAAAACAAGTAAGCAAAGCTGTGGTAGTGTCTCTGCCAATAGCAACAAAGTTCAGTGATTAGGTCCCTTATTCTGAAAGGATTTTCAGTTGCTTGGTTTTTCAGTTCCTGTTTAATTAATAATTTACCTCCAAGTGATGGCTTTCTGTCCTTTTGCAGAGTTTGCTTCTAGCAGTAGTTTTAGTTCACAGCTATTCACACATTACTTTGCAGAAAAATTTTAAGAAATTTAAGAGTTCCGTACACAAATCAGAATTTTTACAATGTTTTCAAGGAGGCAAGAGCTTAAATTGGTTTCGTGACATTTCCAGTGCCGCCCATCTTTCTACCTCTTTGGCTGCTCAAATAAAGCCAGCAGAAGGGCCTAAACAGATCAGATGGAGTGGTATGTGGCAGTGGCATGGGCTAACTGAAACCTTTCCCTCTCCTACTTACGTGTAAACTGAAGTGTGAGCTTCTGTCTTTCACATTCCCCAAACCACTTTTCTCTTCTCTTCAGGGCATATTCATCTCTCGAGTGTCAGAGGAAGGTCCTGCAGCCCGGGCTGGGGTTCGAGTCGGGGACAAACTGCTAGAGGTGAGGGATGATATATATGTGAAGGGTGAGAATATGAGTGAGTATACGTGTCTTTCCAAAGGCATATTACTGGGTGCATGCCTGCATGTTCATATGCATATGTTCTATGTCTCTCATCATATATCTGTGGGTATGTCTCTCTTTGTGTCTTAATACATCCATCAAATCTTGCCTGAGCATCTTTGTTATGCTTTGGTTTTGCAGAAAACAAAAACGTCTAATACACAGTCCCTTCTCTTGGGGAGCTCTGGATTTGGTTGGAGAGTTAAGACTAAGGCATTACAACAGTTTGAGAACCCATTGTTGATCTGGGTACTAACTGCAAATGTTCTAAGAGTCTGAGAAGGGAGCAGGTCTCTTGGGTTAGGGAAGTGAGGGAAGAATTCATAGAAGAGGTATGAACTAGTCCTTTAAAATCTGACTATCCTATGGAAAATGATAGCTGACATTTATGTATAAAAAAGTGCTTTATGTATATAATACATCATTTGATCCCCTGTGAGATAGGTGCTATTTTTATTCCCAGTTTATGAATGAGGAACTTGGGCTCAGAAGTCATGTCGCATAGTGGATGCAGTGACAGAGTCAGTCAGGAGAATGTGAGTTCCAGTCCTTGTTCTCTTAGCTGTATCTATGGGCAAGTAATTAATTTCTCTGAGCTTCAGTTTCTTCATCAATAGAATGGAGATAAAACCTTTACTGCCTGTATCACAAGGTTGTTGAAAGCCTCGAATGAGAGCATAAGTGAAGTGCTTTGCCAACTTTAAAGCACTTTTTACATGTCAGATGTCATTTTTGTTGTTGTTATCTAATGAGCTATGCATTTTGCAAACCTTGAAGGGCAGTAGAAGTGTAATTATTGTTAAGTGATTTGCTTAGGCTCACACAGATAATCCAGGGACTGTAAGGAGGAGAGCATTCTATTCATTAAAAAGATATGCTAGGCTTAGTAGATTATCAACTCACTAAGTATCACAAGTGTGATATGGAAGCCAAAAAAATGAGTGTAGTTTTAGACTGTTGAGAAATTGCTCTAGTACTAAGCAGGAAGGCTGACCAGGATGGTGAAAAGCCATGCAATTATGCCATATTAATAGTGGTGGGAAGAATGGAAGATGTCTAGTATGGAGAAGAGAAGACTTAGGGACATTATAGCTGCGTTTAGATATCTGAAGGACTGTCATGTAGGACTTGTTCTGCCTGGTCCTAGAGTGGAGAACAAGAAACGAGAAGTAAAAGTTGCAGGGGCAGATTCAGTTATTTTGGAAAAAATTTCCAACAGTTTGAGCTATTAAAAAGAGTAATGGGCTGATATGGGAATTAACAGGTTTCCCCTCACCTTTGCTTTACAAGCAAAATTGAATGACCACTTGTTGGGCATGTCATGTATGTTGTAGTTTTTGTTTAGGTACAGGTTGGACAAACCAGGTGACTTCTCAGATCCCTTCCAGTTTGAGATTCTGTGATTCTGTTTTTATAGGCAAAAGGAATCTGATTCTGGAGCAGGGTAGTATTATAATAAAATTGGACTTTAAATAAGATTAATATTTTTGTGGTCTGTAAGGTGAATTGGAAAAGTAGAGACTAGTTGAAAACTGTTGTAGTTATTGAGGAATGTGGTGGTATGGCACTGGTCTAGGTTCTGGAAGTGATTGATGCAAGAGGCTTTCTGATGGGGGAAAAATGATAGGATTAGAAGAGAAGTTGCATGTAGGAGATAAAGCCGAAGATTACTTCAGGGTTTCAGGAAGAATGGTAGTGCTCCTGAAAGAAATGGAGCAGTTTCCCATTTCCATCTCTCTGATTGCTTTTCTCTCTCCTTTGCTGCTTCTTTATCCTCTTCCCAACTTTTTAATGTAGGTAACCCCCTAATCCACAAATCCCTTCTGCAACATACTTGACAAGTGGTCATCCATGCTTGTAAAGCTTTAGTGGGGGGAAACCTGGTAATTCCCAGGGCAGCCCATTATGCTTCTCAATAGCTCAAATCATCAGAAAACTTTTCTAGCCCAGTTGAAATCTGCCCATTCAACTTGCATCTCTTGTTGCTAGTTCTACACTCCAGAGCTCAAGACCCTGCTCCCAGTCCTCTCCTCACCTTTCTCTACGCTCTTCCCCTCAGCAGCCTTGTCTGTTCTCATGGCTCCATCTGTCACAAGCTACGCAGATTTTTCCCAGATATGTCTTCAGCCCTGATCTTTCACCCAAGCTTCCGACTCAAGTCTCCAAATTCTTAGGGAGTCATCGAATCAGTCGGCAAATTTTTGTGCCTTTACTGTGTGTAAGACGCTGCAAATAAAAAGACAAAAACCCAACAGTCCTTGTCTAGAAGGAGCTTATATTCCACGGAGAGACAGTATGTGCACATTGGAGTATATAAAAGGTCAAAGGTAATTTTGGAGGGCTGAGGGGATCAGGAACAATCTCATATACCAAGTGGTGTTTGAACTCAAGTTTTGAGGGAAACTTGGAATGCTAAGAGAGTGACATGAAGCAACATGACTAATATGGAAATACGTTTTACATGATTGCATACATATAACCTATATCAGATTGCTTATGAAAATGTCTGAGAGGGTGGAGGTGAGGGAGCAAGGAAGAAAATTTGGAACTCAAATTTTTTTTTAAATATTAAAATTTATATTTGCATGTAATTGGAAAAAATACTATTAAAAATTTTTTTAATAGAAAAAAAATGACAAGGAGAAAATGCATTGCAGGCATTGGGGATAGTCTTTGAAAATGCTCAAAGGAAAAAAATGAAGGCCAGTTTCATTGGACCATAGAATGTTTGAAAGGAAGCAATGTTATCACCACCATCTGGAGATCCCATTATGATCTCAAATCCAAAATCAAGTTTGTTATTTTCTTCCTGTCTTTCATTTCTCATAACTTTCCATTTAACAACAACAACAACAATATTCTAAGAATCTACTATGTGCTGGGCACTGCCCAGTGCTAAAGATAAAAATAGACCCTGAAACAGTCACTCCTGCCCCTTGTGCACCCCCCCCCCACTCCTAGTCAGCTATATCCTAATGGGGACATCTGACTTGTACATAAATGAATATGAAACAGGATAATATGTGATAAGGGAAGAAGAGGTCCAGACCAAGAAAACATGAGGAATGAAAGATCATTTATTAGGGTGGGATTAAGGAAGATTTAATGCAAAAGTGCAAGCTGGCCAGCTGAAGGGCCCCTGAGGGAGGGTGAGGCTCAAGACAAGTCAAACCACCATTACCACTTTGACTACCCTCACCCCTCATACCCTAATGGAAACAGCCCTGAACCGTGAACCCCTGGGCCTGAGGAACAGCAATGCTTCCAGCCCTGTGTCTGCTGTCATCATGCTGGGAAACAACCCCTCTAGAGATGCAGATGGGTAACTGCTCCTGCAGGAGCTACAACTGCAGCTATTGAAGACCCTGAAAGGAAAGTTCTTGCCACCAAAGCCTTGGTGCTGTCCAATGGTTCAGCATCAGAAACTGATAGGAATTTATCAGTGGAAGTGACATTATATAACAGGCTTCACCCGAAGTACTATGGGACCTTTCCATCTGACTTGTAGCTAAAATCTGCAGTGTGTGTTACTGTGAGCTCTTTGAGAGCAGGCACTCTTTTCTATTTGTATCTCCAGTGCTGTACACAGAGTAAGTGCTTAATAAATGCTTCATTCATTCATTCATAGTAGAAAGGAAGGAAATAAGCATTTATTCAATGCCTACTATATTGTAGGCATAGAATACAGATATCTCATTTGATGCTCAAAACAACACAAGGTTATAATTATTATTACTCTTATGCTCATTTTACAGTTGAAGAAACCAAGGCAGACAGGTTAAGTGACTTGTCCAGGTAACATAGCTGGTAAATGTTTAAGGCTGGATTTGAACTCAAGTCTTCCTGATTCCAGACCCACATTCTATCCAGGAGTGGGGAACCTTTGGCCTCAAGGCCTGTAAGTCCTCACGTAGAGCCCATTGACTTGAATCCAAACTTCACAGAACAAATCCCCTTAATAAAAGGATTTGTTCTGTAAAACTTGGACATAGTCAGAAAGCCACACGCAAGGACCTAAAAGGCCACATGTGGCCTCAAGGCTGCAGGTTCCCCACCCCTGCAGTCTATCCATTGTGCCACCTAGTAGGCATATAACAAATGGCTGTTGAATTTTGTTGTAGTGGCACCAGAAGTGGTCCTTGAAGGAAGGAGAGAGTTCAAGTAGCAGAGTTAAAGTGGAGATTTTTTTAAAGCACACAGGATGCTCTATGCAGAGATGGGAGAAGGAAAGCTGGGATGAGGTTAAAATGTCCAGTTTGTCAGGAAATGACACCATGTGAGGGAGACTGATGTTGGAGAGGTGGTTGTAAGAGATGAGTGCTTGACTAGTCATTTATCCTAAATGAGATCAAGAGGCACTAAAGGTTTTTTGATCAGGCAGAGAAGTGATATGCCTGAAGTGGTGGCCTTCAGAGGCAATGATGGATACAAGAAATTGAGGCAGTAAAATTATAGGAGTTTTAAACTGAGTTTTGGAGAGGCAAAGAAGAAAGAGTGAAAGATAACAGGTTTTGAAACTTGATAACTGTAAGAATGATGGTACCATTAACAGAAATAAAGGAGTTGGAAGGAATGGCAGATTTTGGGAAAAGATGATGATTTCCGTTTGGACCTGTTGAATTTTGAGGTTCTGGTGGGACATATAGGTAATCTCAGATGTTCAGAATTTAGTATAGTGCCTGGCATATAGTAGGAACTTAATAAATGCTTGTTGTCTTGATTTGACCAGGAACTCCAGGAAGAGACCAACATGAGAGAGAGGAAGATTGAGAGAGATTGACTTTACTCCCCTTGTGCAGATATTTCTTGAATCTTATTGATTCTATCCTTGAAATATCTCAGGAATCTCTTCTCTTTCTTTCTTCTTCCCTTCCCCTCCTACTCCACCCCCATCCCCATTTCTGCACATGTCATTTTATATTAGTTATTTGTGCACAGGACTTATGGACCATGAACATCAAAAGGGCACAGTGACTGTCTTTTTTTTATTTTCTTATCTCCCTGGCACATTACCTTTTTGGAGTCTTTGGGTGATTAATAAACGTTTGTTCAAGTTGATAATTGCTATTGGGGGCTGTGTGAACAATCATGAGCTCAGTTTTGGTTACTGAATTTGAGCTCTTGGTGGAGCATTAGAGTGGAGATGTCTGATAAACAGTGAGAAATGCCTATAGGCAGGTCTGGAGCTCAGAAAAGAAGTCAGGGCTGGAGATAAACATTTGGAGGTCATGTTTATGCAGGTGACAAAGGCCAAAGATAGTCTCTAGAGAAAAAAGCAGAACACTGAGGGCATTTCTGAAGCTCTGTATGTATTTGAGCAAGGTGGAGAATAAGGAGGAAGAAAAGCAATTATCAAAGCAGAGAATATTAATTAGATAGAAGAACCAAGGCAAAACTGTTGTGGAGGCCAAGGTCAAGCAAAGATCAAAGATGAAGACTGAAAGAAGTCATTGAATTTGGTCATTAAGAGGTCATTGACTCGAGTTTTCAATCACTTAATCTTTTTTTATCTTTGCTTTTACTAGTTTCAGTTGTTCTAGTGGATCATTAACTTCTTAAAAAGTTGCAGTTTGGATGAAACTGGTTTATTATATTATACTTAAGAAAATGAAGATGTTGAGAAATATGAAAAATATCAAGGTTCCTGGTATTGGCAGACAGGATAATGACCAGGAATAAAATTGAAGTTGGTAATAGATAGCTGCAGCATGTTGTTTTAGCAGTTTTTTCTTCTTTTGTTATTATTTATGGATTATAGAAAAATTGAATTGTGTCCTATGACATCCTGAACACAGTGTCCTAAACTGGCTAATCCAGGGGTAGGGAACCTGCAGCCTCAAGGCTGCATGTGGCCCTCTGGGTCCTCAAGTGCAGCCCTTTGACTAAGTCCAAGTTTTATAGAACAGATCTTTTTATTAAAGGGATTTCTTCTGTGAAGTTAATGGTGCTAATCCTTGTTGCTCTTTAATTGCCATATAAAAATGGTCTTGCCATATTCCCTTGCTTCCTCTGGAATGTTCCAGGTCAGGTCTGTCCCACAGAATAATACAGTACTGCTTCCTTTCGTCTCTAAATATCCCTAATTTCCTTCAAGGCCCAGCTCAACCTCCTTATTAGGCTTTTCTTCATCTCCCTAACTGCTAGTGGGGGGAAATCTTTTCTTCTCTTGTGTTGTGGCAGGAAAATCCCCTCAGTTATGTTTGAGAATACAAGTCAGTAAAAAGTTTATTCTATACATTGTTACAAAAGCCTAGGGACAGAAAGGCATGGGTTGACACATAGAGAAATATATCTGTCTTTGTGGGGCCAGTGGGCTTCTGAATACAGGAGATTTTCTTGAAAGTATATAGTATACATGATGCTAGGTTCACAGCTGTTCAACCATTACACCACTGGCCTTGGCGGCAGTTTATTGTGTGTCAGGGGAAGGGAAAAAAAGAGGTCTTTGGGCTACTTTGAAAGTGTGATTTCAATAGGATGTTTGGAGTGGAAGACTGAAAATTTTCAGTAGAGTGATGAGGGTGATGTATATATGTCATTCTTTCTGTGTCTATTCTTTGACTTCCCTTTTGTCCTTCCTCCTACAGGTGAATGGTGTAACCCTCCAAGGGGCTGAGCACCATGAGGCTGTGGAGGCACTTCGGGGTGCAGGTGGGGCAGTACTGATGAGAGTCTGGCGGGAACGGATGGTGGAGCCAGAGAATGCAATCACAGTCACTCCTTTGCGTCCTGAGGATGACTATAGTCCCCGGGAGAGGCGGGGAAGTGCCCTTCGTCTGCCTGAACCTTCCAGCACCCCTGGCCCTCCTCGACAAAGGCATACTACCTTCCTGGTCAGAAGTGAAAGAGGCCTGGGCTTCAGCATTGCTGGTGGCAAAGGCTCCACACCCTACCGAGCAGGAGATGGGGTGAGAGGAGATGGAAGGCTGGGATAAGAGTGAAGGTTATATTTAAGGGTGTGGTAGGTGATTAGAAAAGAGGAAGAAGCTGAGAATGGGACAGTCACTTTTCTTATATTCCCTTGGAGCCTGAGTCCTGAGTCAGGAGCTGGGAATAGCCTTAGTGACGTTGGATTCTCCCCACCCCCAACCCCCAAGGGTATTTTGGGATGGTGATTCAGAGATAAGATTTTCTCAATGCTCTTACTTGGGTTAGTCTGCTGGGAAGCAGGGAGGGAAAGGTGGGGCTGGAATGAATCTGAGTAAGTAAAGGTAAGGAGAAAGATGGCGCCTGAGGTTCCTTATGCTTTATGCAGTTGTGTGAAAGGAGGGTGTGAGGGGTATAGAGCAGGAGCTAACTGTTCTATCTTCTGCCCAGGGAATCTTCATCTCAAGGATTGCTGAAGGTGGGGCTGCCCACCGGGCAGGCACATTGCAGGTTGGGGACCGAGTAATCTCAGTGAGTGGCCAACTCCCAGGGCTTTTTCCCTCAAAAGTTGCAGATGGGCTCTTATATAATCTCTTTATCTCTCTCTGCTTTGGGATTGCAAGATTATGGGGTAGGGGTGTGGCTGCATTGAAGGGCTGAACCAGCCCAGTTTGGGGGGGAGGTCTGTTGGAACCTCTGTGGCTGACCAGGGTGGTAAGAGCTGGGACTGTCTCTTCAGCGCTGCTTCTGTCTGTTCTGGCCCTTGTACAGGGACAGGGGGTCAGGGATAGCTGTCTTGCTTCTCTGGTCCCTGATCTCTGTTCCTGGGGGGCAATTCTTCCAGATCAATGGGGTAGACATGACAGAGGCCAGGCATGACCAGGCAGTCGCACTGCTTACTGCTGCCTCCCCCACCATCACGCTGCTGCTGGAACGAGAGGCTGATGGGCCTCTCACCCCTGCCCCACCACTCAGCTCCCCTCTACCCCCCAGCCCTGTCACACCCATGGCAATTGGGGAGCCTGGGCCCCCTCCTAGCCTCATGGCCACCACTCTAGAAGGACCATATCCTGTGGAGGTGAGAAGCCCCCAACCCTCCCCCTTCTTTGTCCCCCAGTCCCCACCTGCCTTCATTTCCCCCCACACACAGCTTATTTTCTGTTTTCCTCCCACTTCCCCTTGCCTGATGTTTCCCCTTCACCTGTCCCACTAAGGAGGTCCATTATACCTTCCTCTCTATCCTATGAAAAAATTTTTTAAACCTCCTAGGATCATCCCTTAGACCAGGATTTTGTCTCTTAAAGCCTGGGGAGGCTTGTTCTCACATCCCCACCTATGTCAAAGATGTTGCCACATATCTCTTGCTCTGTTTAATAATTCACAGTGATCTAGGGATTTATTTAAAGTTTTCGAATCTCTATTTTCAACTGGTAGCAATACTCAGTATATTAGTTCCACAAGTTTACTCTCTGGTGTGTGATATAGGTCTTCCTGTTGTTTGACCCAAAATCTGCCTCCCATCACACACCAAAAGGCATGGTCCTAATGTCTGGAATTTGATGAATGAACTGTTTCTCCCTGGCCTTCAGATTTTTATAGACCTGGATGCACTCTTAGCTTTGGTCTTTTGAGATTGAAAGGGTCAAGATCTTCAATCTGTCTCCATACTTTCTTGTCATACCCAGCATCCTTCTGTTCTACCCACCCTTTCCCTCTGTGATGCCTAAATCACTTTAGCTGTCCTTGGGACTGTCTCAGGTGGCCCTCTTGTGTTTTCCTTGAGGGTGAGAAGCTAGACCTGCCCACAGAATCCCTGGTGTATGAAGGGCAGAGGATACATCTGTTCTCTGTCACTTCCTCGTAGTGCCCAGCATTTTTGATCTACCAGTCCAGTGGGCTGAGTCTTGGGAAAACAGTCCCAGACGGAGGATTGGAAGGCATAATCTTGAAACTACTACTAACTAGCTCAGAAGCCTTGAGCAAGTTGCTCATTTCAGGCTCCTTCTCTCTTCATTGAGAAGAATGAACTGGATGGTCTCTATGAGCCTTTCCAGTTCACTATAGCCAGAAGTTTCCAGTGGCTCCTGAGGTCCCTCTTTTCACAAAGAGTAGAGTCTTTTCATCTTATAAGTAGGTTGGATGATATCCCCAGATACTTTACCCTACACTGGACCAAATTGAGGTTTCTTTGCCTCTCTTACACTCTTTTGCCTAACTTCAAAAGTTGATGTTTATCTCTACTGGGTTAACATTTCACTTAGAACAGGTTATTGTCATCTACAGCCTTGGAGGTTGTATTGTGCAGTCTCTCTGCCAGATTATTTATAAATAATCTTGCTTATTTTTCCCTATCCAGAAAAAAGCTTACACTTAGTAATCTGCATTAAGCACTTTGTTTCTATAAAAGTGCTACAAAGATGTGAGTTTTTATTGAGTATGTGAACCCTACCCGTCTTTTGTGTTATTTTCTCCAAGACAAGTCCCCATCTATGACCCAGTAGCCACAGTCTTCCATAACTATCCTATCACACTTCTTCATTGCCCCTTCAATATCTCCAGGAAATTTGCCTGGTGAAGGCTGGTGGGCCTCTGGGGCTGAGTATTGTTGGAGGCTCTGACCATTCCAGCCACCCATTTGGGATCCAGGAGCCTGGTGTGTTCATCTCTAAGGTAGTGGGACTGGGGGCTGGGGGGATGGGGGGAAGGGAGCAAGTTGTGTCTGTGGGAAATGGGGATGAATCTCAGCTCCCTTCCCTGTCAGAAACACCCCACTACCCCATACAGGCTTGTCAGTGAGGACAGTGCTTGCAAATGGTAGATATATGTGCTGTGAGTAGGGTTGTACATTGCCTGGGTTGAGGGATGTTTGAATGTGGGATCACTGAAGAAATAGAATGTCTAGAAACTAAGGCCTAGAGTAAAGAAGGTCCAAAAAAGCCAGCACATGCCATTTGATACTCCATTATTCAGCCAGACCTGTGCAAGTGTCTTTCCTCTTCTTAGTTTCTGTCATCCGATTCTCTCTGGCTGTCCTATCCCTTTGGACTTCCTGTACTGCCCTGTACCTCTAGTATTGTTTCTGCCAGGTGCTTCCTCGGGGATTGGCTGCTAGAAGTGGGCTGCGTGTGGGTGATCGAATTCTGGCAGTGAATGGGCAAGATGTTCGAGGGGCTACACACCAGGAAGCTGTGAATGCCTTACTCAGCCCTAGCCCTGAGTTGTGTCTGCTGGTGCGGAGGGATCCTCCCCCACCAGGCATGAAGGTATGTATCTTCAACCAGGCTATAATGGACCAAGGGCAGAGGGCTGAGTTTGAGGGTAAAAGGAAGATTTTTTGGGATTGGAGAGATGTGGTAGTATAGGAGCTACCTTCAGATGGTGACAGATGGCTTCTTTGGCTTCTGTTTTTTCACCCCTACTGCCTTTAGGAGATCTGCATTGAAAAGGCCCCTGGGGAGAAGCTGGGGATCAGCATACGAGGTGGGGCCAAAGGTCATGCTGGGAACCCCTTTGATCCCACTGATGAAGGTGTCTTCATCTCCAAGGTGAGAACTGCTGGACCCTAGAGAGATCTTCCGCCAAAACAAATGTCTCCAAGATTTCTTACCCTGCCCTTTCCCACCCAACCCTAGAGGAAGGTTCCCCTTCCACCTTCAATTATATCTACTCTGAGTCCCCTTTCACCCCCAAGATCTGCTTCTTACATTGATGTTTCCTGCCCTGTGCTCCCTAATGTCAGAGCCGGACACTTTCCCCCGATGTCATGTGCTGTAACATTTTTGCATTGACCCTCACACTTGGCAGTCTGCTGGGTTTTCCCTTCATCTTCCTGATATCCCTAACCTCTATTCTTACCCTTTCAATTAACTTTTGTCTCTTAGGTGAGCCCAGCAGGTGCAGCTGGGCGAGATGGCCGTCTTCGTGTGGGGATGCGGCTTCTCGAGGTGAATCAGCAGAGCCTGTTGGGCCTGACACACACTGAAGCAGTGCAGCTACTTCGTGGTGTTGGAGACACCCTCACAGTGCTCGTCTGTGATGGCTTTGACCCTGTCGCTGCTGCAGCCCTTGAGGTCAGTCACCCAGCCGGTGACTTGGGAGGGAGGATTTTTATTAATCTGTGTACTAAGCTGTGTTAAGTACTGAGTATAGATGCAAAAGTCCCTACCTGCAGGGAGTTTGTTTGAATGGGGGAGAAAACCCCTGGAGGGCCTGAGAAGGTTGGTTAGGAGAGTAAAGTGGCAAAAGGTGCCAGGATAAAGAGGAGGCTCCTTGGTCTTAGGGGGGACCTGACCAAGTGGCATGGCCAGGTCATTTAACCTCTCTGAGGAGCCTCCATCTTTCATCTGTAAAACAGGGGAAAGAATACGTCTGGCAGCTACTTACTTAGTGAGCCTCCAAACAGTCCTCGAAATCCTCACAATCAGCAGCCCCCAACTTGCTTATGAGATAGGCACAGGTCCAGTGTCCCTCCCTCAACATATATAGTGTTCCATACTGTTAATTGATAGCCCAGGTGCCTGCCCATTCACTGATTCAGATTCCAATTTACTTGCACAAGTGTTAGGCTTCCAGTGATCCCTAATATTAGACTAGACCATTTTGAAATAAAGGGTAATTTCTAGAAAGGTAGACTGGAGCCAGATTGTGAAGGACTTGTAAATACCAAGGTGAAGAATTTGTATTTTATCTTAAAGGAGAGAAAGCCCCTGATGGGTGAGGCCAGGGCTGTCGCAGTCAGGAAGTTTACTGTGGGAGACTGAATTTAAAAAGAGGAAAGAGTGGAAACCAAGAGCCCAGTTCAGATGGTGTTGCAGGAATTGAGGTGAGGGGTGATGAAGGCCTGGACCCAGTGGAGAGAAGGAGACGGAAGTGGAAAGTGTTATGGAGTAGTATTGGAAAGACATAGTAACTGCATGGATATATGGGGTGACAGAAAAGGAGGAGTTTGGGCTTGATTCTTGTTTGGTGTTGGCTGAGCTAAGCACCCTTGGGCTGTCCTCAGCCTCAGAAGGTATTTCGGTAGCTCTGGGAGGTTCTCCTGCTGTTGAAGTCATTCCTATCACCAAATTCGAATTGAACACTACTAAGCGTCTGCTATGTACAAGACACTGTGCCAGACGGTCTAGGCTCCAGAGCCCTTCCCTCAGAAAGCTTCTTTCCTTGTGTGCACATGTAGAAGAAGTACACTAACACACCCACAGGCTGCATGTAAGTGGGGTGAAAGGCTTCAGAGAGGCACCTGGCCCTAGGACTCAGGCTCAGCTCTGACACAGTGTGCTTTGTAACCTGGAGCTAGGTGGGTCTCAGTTTCTTCCTCTGTAAAATCGAAGAGTTGAGCTTCCTAACCTTGGTTGTGTCAGGGCCCCCTGTCCAGTTTGGGGAGGCCTATGAGCCCCTGTCCAGAATGGGCATGGTGTCAGGAGAGACCTAAGTTTGAATTCTGGGGGCTGCTTATCGACTTCATGAGATCCTAGGCAAGACACTAAACCTGTGATCTGCAAAATGGGGGTGATGCTTGAATTACCTACCTCAGAGAGTAGTCATGAGTGCTTTCTTAATGTAATAGTGCTATAGCAGTGAGGTTTTGTTTTTGTCTTCGTTTTTTTCTTAATTAGGACTGGACATTTTAAGGTATCAAAATTAACCTGGTATACAAGGCAGCCCTCCTCAGAGTTGACACACTTGTAGTAATACATCCATGTGTAGTAACTGCTTTGACTTGAGGTCAGTCACAAACCAGACTCCCTTCCCGGAGCTGGGTCCTCACATGCCCTTTCTTTACTTTTTACTTTCTCCTCTCCTAGTTGTCCCCAGGTGTCATTGCCAACCCCTTTGCTGCTGGTGTTGGGCGCAAAAACAGCCTGGAGAGCATCTCATCCATTGACCGAGATGTGAGCCCTGAAGACCTGGACAAGGTCAGTGTGCCCTACAGTCAACCCTCCCCAGGGTTCTTTGGGTGGCCCACTTCCTCCCACTGACTGACATGAGTGAGGAGGTTTCCTGAAGAGTTGGTGAGTATTGGGCCAGAGTTTAGTTGTTATCCATACGGCTGCTCTTAGAAGACAGATACTCAAAAAAGAAAACTTGGAATCAGTGATGAGCACAGTGGATACAGGTGAAATCCTCAAGGCTATTTGGGAAGGAAACTTCTTCACCCTCCTCCCTACCCTTCTTATTACCCTTTCCCTCAGCCTTCTAATGTATTGGCTTAAATGGTCAGTGCTGGTTTGGGGCATGTTGAGCCACCTAATCACAAGCTTAGTTCCTCTCCCTTGACCTCTAGTTTGTGTCTGTCTGACTCTCTCTCTCTCTCCCCCTTCTTCCCTCTTCTCTCTCCTCTCTCTCTCCCCTTCTCCCTTCCTCTTCTTCCCCCCTTCCTCCTCTCCCCTTCCCTCCTCCACCTTCTCTCTCTCTCTCTCTCTCTCTCTCTCTCTTTCACACACACATACACACACAAACACACACAAAGGGCTACAGGTGACAAGGAATAGCTGTTGTAGGCTCTGCCCTTTCTCATGGCTTCCAGTCTTTTTGTCTTCCCCCCTGTTCTCATGCCCTTCCTGCCTAAATCCTGTGGCCATGGATTGGTACAGGAACCTGTAGGTAGGAAATAGGCAAAAGAAGTGGCCTTGTAGACTTTTGAGGAAGAGGAAACATGCATATATATATATATATGTGTGTGTGTGTGTGTGTCTGTGTGTGTGGTGGAGGGGAGAGAGGAGTGAGAGAGAGCATGTGCTAAGAATGAGAGATTCCTCAGTCTTTTGTGTCGCATCTGTGGGTCTGTCCCATAATTCTTCCTGCTTATTTGTCCGCTAACTGTCTCTCCATCTGAGATCTTGCTTTCTGTTTTTTTTTTTTTCAGTAGATTCATTCACATGTATCCTGTGTCCTGGAGACACCAGCTAGCCCTTGGCCAAAGATTAATGCCAGTTCTCTCTAAAACTTCCTAGAAATTCTGATCTGTTCCTGGGCCCCCAACCTTCACACATACATACACTCATGAACATTGTTTACATACCTACATATGTTATAAAAAGATCTCTGGAACCATAGAATTTCATAGTTGAAATGGACTCTGGAAGATATAGCATCCAACTCTTACCCGAAAGGAATTCCTTTGACTGCATTACTGACAAGTGGTCATCCAGCTTCTATTTGGTGACCTCCAGGAGTGGAGGAACTAACTAGCCTATAAGGTAGCCTTGATTCCATTTTTGAATGGCTCTAATTGTTAGGAAGTTCTTTCCTTTATTGAATTAAACTCTTTAACTTCTCCTTATTTCTCCTAATTCTTCAGAGGCCAAACAGAGCAATTCTAACCTCTCTTTAGTGTGGTAGTTCACCAAATACTTGAAGACAACAGTCATGCATACACACCCTCACCTCCACCAAGTCTTCTCAGTTAAATTCAATAAACATTTGCTAAGCACTCGCTCCAAGAAAACTATTATACTAGGTCTGGGCATATTAAGACAAGACTGAAATAGCCTCTGCTTTCAAGGAACTTCCCTTTTGGGGAAACCCATGTGCACAAGCATCCCCTTTGCCTTAATCTTCCGACTGCAAGGTTTCTAAGCTTCTTATCATTCTGGTCAGTGTTACATGTTCCTTCTCATATAGACACATGCTCCTTTTCACAGGTATATTTTTTTTGGATTTTCTTGCAGACTCTTAGTCCAGAACCTCTGAGGCTGGATTACCGAACCCTGGCTGCTTTGCCTGGGAGCAGCAGTATCCAGAGAATCAATTCTAGGGTGAGTGGTTACTGTTCCTTCTTCTTTTCACTTGTGCTCATGCGCTCTCTCTCTCTCTCTGTCTCTCTGTCTTCTCTCTCCCCCTCCCTCTCTTCCCCTCTGTATCTCTCCTCCCTCTTTCCTTCTTCCTCTCTCTCCCCATGTCTCCTTCCTTTTTCCCTCTCCCTGTCTTTATCTTCCTTCCTCTCCCCCCCTTTCTTCATCTTTTCCTTTCCCTAAATTCTACAGTGAGCTGTATGTGGGTGAATAGGAAGTGTGATAGAGTAGGGGATGGATGATGTTCGTGAGTGCTAAGGGGCTGCAAAGAGTTTGGGAGAACCAGTTAGGAAAGGCTTCTGAGTGGAAATAAGCTTGAGTCGGGCTTTAAAGGATAGGTAGGATATAAGATGGCTAGAAGTAGGAAGGATTGTCCAAGCTGGAGGAGTAATATGAGCAAAGGTAAGGTCAGGAGTCCACAGGGCAAGTTCAAGACACAAGGAGGAAACTGTCCAGCTGAAGTTGAGTATGAGGCAGGGAGGAGAGATATCCAGAAGGGTAGGTTGGGCCCAGGTTGCCAGTGGCTTTAAATGCCAGGATGAGAAAGGATATGGATTTGATCTGTGATAGGCAATAGGGAGCCCAGTCACACACTGGGCATATGTAACATATTAGTTGATTGATTATAGATGCTCTAACCAGATGTGGTCTGGTAAAAATATTTATTTTTAAATGGATTGGGAAGGAGGAAAACTGGAGTTAGGGGGCTGGTTAGAAGGCTAATACCGTGGCCTGGGTTAGAGGCACTGATAGGGGTTCCCTGAGGGTACAGCAGCAATAAACTTATAATAAATACCTGTATGTAGAACACCTGTATATAGTATGTGGAGCACTGGAACCAACAGTAGGGATGTGCCAGGTGAGATAAGATTGAGTCATTTTCCTGGAGGTCCCTTAAACTTGGTAGAGAGATAAATGGTGAAGAGATGAATGTTACAAATACTGTGGAGACCTTGGTGACTGGTGTAGTGGTGTAGAAGGCCACCTTCTTGGCTTGGCTCAGTCCCTAGCTCTCTTCCTCACTAACTGTGGCCATAGGCAAGCAGGTCCCTTGACCTCCCATTCAGTTCTAAACCTGTGATCCTAAGGAGAAGTCAGAAAGAACTCCTGACAGCGTTAGCCCATGGGACCCTGATGTTTTCAGTTTAGCATACACTGAAAACAGAAATGGCAAGTTAGGAAGAAATTTGATAACTAGATTTGCTGGAGCAACTAAGCTATGCAGTGGCCTTGGCATTGAGAAGAGTGGTCATGGCTAGTGATATATAATGGTGAATTACTTGCTAAGGGTAAAAGTTGAGAGAAGAGCAGAGGGTTAGAGACTTTTAGGATGTGACCATATGTCCTAATCTGACCTAGATGTTGAAAGAAGAAAGATGTATCAGGAAAAGAGGAGACAGAGGGGGTCAGAGAAAGCTAGGACAGTATATTATAGAGATTGAAGAGAAAAGGTTTCAAGAAGAGTTGGTGGTATTAAATGTTATGGGTTTTTACCCCCATTTTCCCAAATGTGGCCTTGTCCATTAATCTTTTCCTCAGTTCTCAATGCCTCTCCTTCCATATAGGGTTTCTCCTACAGCTCAGTTCCCTCCTCATTTTTTTCCTCTCCCCTCCCCCCAGCAGATAAAAATAGCCAGCTGGGTGGGTGTGACCAAGGGCAGGCCAACAGCTGGGAAGCCCAGGACCCTCAGGAATGTTGAAGGGCTGGTGAAAGGGGTGTAGCCCAGGGCAGTTCTAGTCCTGGAGACCAGTGTTCTCCAGAGGAGGTGAGGAGACTACAGCTCTGTTGGGGGGCTCTGCTGAGACTTAGTTTGGGGAAGGATTTTGTGGGTACCTGTGCAGTAGGGTGCAGGTGGGTTGTAAAAGAAGATGCATGAAAGGAAGAGGGAAAAGTGGGAAGTGTACAGGGGACATAAGCAAGGTTCTGATGCCTTCTAGAGCAAAGAAGGTAGGGATTTAATTTTGGTACTAACCGCCTCCCATCACTCTTCCTGATCCTATATATTTCCCATTCTCCCTCAATATTCCTCTTTTCTTTTTCCCAATCTTTCTGTGCTATTCCCTTATCTCCCTTCTTAAACTCATTCCTTCTTTCCTTTGATCATTTTCTCCCATTCCTTTCTCTTCCCTGTCCTTTATCCTACTTATCCCTTTTTCCATGTTTCCTGGTGGTAATAACACAAAGATTTTGAGGAGGACCTTGCACAGGACCCCAAAGCCATCAGAAAGAGGGTCCATAAATAAGCTGATCAAAAGGAAGAAGCCATCAAGAGATTTGAAACAGGCCATTTGGGGAGTACTGTCCAAGGTGGGCTCATGAGTGGGAAAGGAGATTTCCTACAGCAGGCTCAATCACATCTGTGTCTTGGTCTTTACTGAGGGAAGGTATCAGGGAGAGTCTTCCTTCTAAACTGCCTTTTAGAAGAGCAGCTGAGTCAGCAGCAATAGATCAGGCAGTGGTAACTGTGCACCATATTCTAGACCTGATTAACACATTAGATATCAGGAAATTCTCCTGGACAGGCATTGGAAAGTTTCAAAGGAATTCAAGGGTGAAATTGGGGAAGGCTTGTTGAAAATGTGTAATGTGTCCTGACAAAACATGCACTGTTCAGGAGGCCTGGCACATAGCCAGCACGCCTCCTGCTGGAGATGATGCTTGGAGCCAGGATGCCAGAGAGACAAGACAGGCAGCTGTCCAGGGCCCAACAAGGGGAGGACAGAACCAGACATACTTGGTCTTTTTTTTTTTTAATGAATGTACATTTTTAGTCATAGAAAAATTTTTTTCATGGCCCATTGTTATTTATGCGATAATTTAAGTCAGCTGTTATAGTGAAGGCTCAAAGCCTCCAAAGGCAGTAACGTAAAAGAGGTGTTGTTTTTAAAACTTGTATGTCCATAGATGGAGAACTGTGGTTAGTGGGGAAGGTCTTCCAGAGATGGGTGTTCAAGAATAGATCCTAGCTAACATTTTAAAAAATTATCCAGAAGAGAAACTGTACACTGAAATAGCCAGGATTTCAAATGATTCATAGCTCTGGTAGAGAGTGAAATGTTGCTCTAATAACTGCACTGAGAACTCTTGAAGCTGAAGATGGGGACAGGGGAGTGTTAGTGTGAGCAAATGTAGAGTGATGTTTGGGAAGAAGGCATTCAAACTCCAGGCTTCTGGACTTTGAGCTCTCACAGGAGAAGGACCTAAAAATCATCGTAGACTGAAATCTGTTCTCTAACAGATTCTTGTTCAGGTCTTGGATGGCCTTTACAGATCCTTCCAGTTTTGCAGCTTTCCCCTGAGGACATGTGCTAAGAATGTAGTGGTTAGGTTGCCAGTGTCAGCAAGGGCTGGGAATAGGAGTGCTAATGTTCACCTCCTCATCCTCATATAGCCCAAAGTGCAGGTCTGATTGGTAGACATCATTCAAGACATAACAAGGCCAAAGAAGGTTCAGAAAAGGACAAGAGAATAGGAATGAGGGAAGATTGTTGAAGACAAGGTGAAAAGCCCAAGCCTTTTTATTTTGGGAAGTTGAAGGCTAAGAAAGAACAAGTTACAAGTCATTAAATTCCTAAAATAAATAGAGTAAACATGAACTAATGGATCAGAATGCAGACAGTAGATTATGGGAGCCTGGGAGAGGGACTTAGGTAGGACATAAAACAAAAAAGTCTTATAACAGGTAGTAGCCCCAGAAGTTGAACCAAGCCAGAAATATAGATTAAAATAGAATTTTGACAAATCATTGAGTTCCAGGGTCCAGTGGAGAAGACTTTAGATGTCTCTAACCTTCAAAAACAATATGTTGAAGGTTAACCATGGTCTTTCCAAACCGTCTCTTGATAACCTGGACAGAGGTAGGCTGCTAGGCTGGCTGAATCAGGGGACTGATACCAGGGGAAGGGAGCATTGTTTTGGGCCTTATTTGCGCTGTGTCCATCATCTTTCCTCATCTCTTCTTCCATCTCTCTTCCTCACTTGTTCTCCTTTTCTGTGTGTCCCATCTCTGTCGGTCTGTCTTCCATCTCTCTCTCTCATGTGAAGCTCCAGTTTTCCTCTCTCCTGCGTGACAGTCTCTGGGAGCCCAAGCCCAGCGCGATGGACAAAGCCCCAGCAGGCCTGCACAGAGCTGAGGGCAGCTCAGAGGTCTCAGCCTTGACCCAACCTAACAAGGGCCCCACTGGGTTTACCCCAGTCATGGGTGCCTCCCCAAGAAGTCCTGAAGAGCCCTTGGGGGAGGGGGAGAGCCTGGTGGATTCCAAGTCAATTCCGTTTGGGGAGAACCCTTTTGTGCTGGCCAACCGGGGAACATCATGCCTAGGGGGCCCTCCCCTGGGATATGGCCAGGGAGGGGTGCTGAAGACCAGCCTCTGCATCCCCAAGGCAAGCGGGACCTTCACCCTTACCCCAATAACTGTGTCATGGAGACTAACCTGGGAACTTGGGCTGGGGACTAGGGTGAGTGTAAGAGGCACTAATTGTGATCCCTAATTTCCAGCCCTAGAAAAGGGGCTGGAGGAAGGAGAAAAACTGGGGGACTCTAGCTATGACCTCCCAACACCTTCCCTCATCTGTAGGTCTCACAGTATCGTTTTCCTCCTGTTCATTTGTTTCTGTATTACCTATGAGGACATCTAGGGAGGGTACTTAAAGCCTTTTCTGTTCCATCCCGAAATCACAGCCTACTCTTGACCCTTCACCCCCTCCAGCTTCCTATACTTTTCTGTGTCCTAGCCTTTTAACTCCATATGCATAAAGACATATATTGATATATGCGTATACATTTATATATACGCATAGACATATCCCCTACGGACCTGACAAAATTATAATCACTATCTGTGTGTCCATCCTGCTGTCTCTCTTTTCCCCCTCCATCACCTCACCACCTGGTCTCCTTTTCTCTTCTAGGTTTCTCCAGGGGCCATAGGAAACCCTCTTGATGTCCCCCGCTCTCCTAGTAGCCAACAGGTGAGTTTCACTGGGGGATGAGACCAGGAGACAATATTGGAGTGAAGAGTCTACAGTAATGGGAGGGAGGGCCTGGCAGGAGAATCTTTTTTCCTCACTAGGGTCTGTCAGTTGAACACATCTTTAATCAAGACCCCTCGCTCTTCAGGAGCCCTGGGTGTGATGGCAGAGACCTACTCCCTTTCGCTTCAGGAAATCCTGATGTGATTGAAATGACAGAACAGGCGTTAAGTAACTTCTAGTTGCCCACACTTGTGAAACTCCCTTCAGCATGCCTGTACTGAGGGCCTACTGTGTGCAGAACACTGGGCTGTGGTATTGGGGAGATAAAGAGGTTAGGTAAGGCAGGGGCCCTGCTCTCATGCAGTCACTCACAGTTCGGAAGGCTGAGACAAGCACAGGTCCTGAAAAGGCACAGTCTTCATGTCATTTCCACAAACACCTGTGAAGCATTGACAATGTCAAGGCTGTATGCACAAGCCACCCTACATAGAGAGACCAAAGAGAAGTCACTGCAAGGTAATTTGAGGAGTTGGGAGCACTAACAACCTGGGCATACCAGGGGCAGCCCCTGAGCTGGGCCTTAGGGGTTCTGAATGGTGAAGGGGAAGAGAGAGTCCATTCCAAGCACTGGGGACAGTCTGCAAAGGCGCGGAGTCGGGAGATGGATGGCCAAGTTCAGTGAATATTGACTTGGCCAGTTTGTCTGGAGCATGGAGTATGTGAAGGGGAACAGTATGCAGTGGCTTGAAAGGTAGGCTAGAGGCACCTGATGGAGATGGTCTTTATGTGGCAGGTTGAGGATTCTGTTTTATTCCAGAAGCAGTAGGGAGCCACCGGAGACTTTTGAGCAGAGGAGGACGATATGCTGACTTGTGTTTCAGTGAGACTGTTTTGGCAGTTCTGTGGAGAGTAGGTCAAAGGGGAGTACTGGAAGCAGGGAGACCAACGAGGCTATTATAAGGGTCTCAACAAGGGTGGTGGCCATATGTGGGGCTAGAGAACAATAAATATGAGAAGTGTTATGGAGACAGAATTAACAAGGTGTGGCAGCTGGTTAGGTATAGGGGGAGGAGGGGAGAGTTAAGGCTCACTTCATTGCACACTTGTGTAACTGGAAGAATGGTGCTGCTCCTAGGAATGGAGAAGTTTGTAAAGGCTGGGTTAGCGGAGGAAGTTGATGAGTTTCATTTTAAATACGTTAAGCTTAAAATGCCCATGGTGCAATTTAATTTAATCTCCAATTAGGAGATATTCAACAAGTAATTGGTGACTTAGGGGTGCAGTCCAGGAGAGAGATAAGAGCTAGACATATAGATCTAGGAATCCTCTGTATCAAGATGGCAATTGAATTCATGGAAATTGATGAGACCACTGAGGTAGAGAGAATATATAAACAGAGGAGGGTCCAGGAAAGAACTTTTGGGGTGGAGGATGGTAAAGGAGACTGATGGGAATTGGTTAGATAGGTACTTCGTGAAAAGTTTATTAGAAAAGTACAAAATGCTGTATGCAGTTTGAAGAACATTGTTGCCAATGGGGAGATCAAGGAAGTTCTTCTGGAAGAGGTGGCATTTCAATGGGTCAGGGATTCAGTAGGCAAAGGATATGGGACATCATCGATAGTCTTTGTTTTACTTAGAGCCCTTTTTACATAAAGTGAATTTGCCCATGGAGGTGGGGAAGGGTAGGAGGGAGGAAGGCAGAAAGGAGGCTATAACACAGTTCAAGGGACATGTAGGGGTTGAGGACAGACATGTGGTACCAGAAGGCTGACTGACAGAAGGCAGACATGAGGGTGGGTAAGCAGATGTCAGGAAAGGTCTACTGTCTCTGTGCTGGACCCCTGCAGTGGTGGTGGTGGTTCTGCTTTCATGTGGAGAGGTGTTTTTTTTATTGGTGAGGGGGAAGGGGGAGAAGCTGTGGAGCACCAAGCCAAGGGCCAAGAGTGGGGAGAGAGAGAGAGAGAGAGAGAGTACACAGTACTGTACAGTAAAGTAACATAGTGTTTTTTTTTGGAATGCAGATTTCTTTCAGAATTCTTTATGCAAATTTGCCTCCCTAGCAGGCTAGTGGCAGAGTCCTACCCCAGGCCTAGCCTCCAGCTCCTGCTCCTGGCAGGTAGTGGCAGGGACAACAATGGCAGCTGTGACAGCAGCACCTTTGCAGGCCTGCAGAAACTGCTTCAGTGGGGAGAGGGGAAGGCACACACAGTCCCATTAGGGGAGGGGAAGGTCTGCAGAATGATCCACTTATATTAAGTGAGAACTGGCTGCATAGGCATAGGGAACAGTGTAGGCATAAACCTCGAGGTGGGAAAATACAGGGCATGTTTGGTGAATAAGAAAGTAGTCCAGCTTACTGGGATTATAGGATTAATCAACCAGTGCTTGCTATATGCCAGTGCAGGAGGTACAGCTAGAAAAGTGAGGCAATCCCCGCCCTACATGGTACTGGTAGAATAGAACATGTTTGCAATAATCAAATGCTGGCTATATGCAGAATACACAGTATTAGGGAGATGAGTGGGGAGATTAACAGCTGAGGGAATCGAGAGGAGGGGGTACTTGAGCTGAGCTTCGAAGGGTCCTCAGAGTTCCTGTAGGCTAGCCCTAGATTGAATAGACAAGGAAAGACCCAGAGAGGGCCCAAGTGACAGACGCCACATTTAAACCTGACTCCCTAGAGGATACCCAGTTCAAAATATGTAGGAGGCAACTAATGATGAGAGATTGGAGTTCAGGAGAGAGACAAGGGCTGGAAATTGAGATCTGGAAGTCATCTGCAAAGAGGTGACATCAGCATATAATGTACAGAAAAGTAATAGGAGAGACTGTTGAAAGAATAGCTTGGCATAAGATTTCAAAGGGTCTTGAATGAATGAATGAGTGAGGCATTTATTGTGTGCACAGCACTATGCTAATCACTGAGGATACAAATAGAAAAGTAAGACAGTCTCTGCTCTCAGGGAGCTGATTCTAATGGGGAGACAGCACACATGGAAGGTTTCAGCTGCAGATCAGATGGAGAGGTCCCCTGGTCCGTGAGGTACGACAAATGGTCATGCCTTAAATCCTGTCAGGTTCTAATGCTAAACCATTTGACAGCACCAGGGCTTTCGTGGCAGGAGCTTTCCTTTCAGGGTCTTCAGTAGCTGTGGCTGTAGCATCTGCAGGAGCAGCTGCCCATCTGCGTCTCCAGAGGGGTTGTTTCCCAGGATGATGACAGCAGACATAGGGATAGAAGCTTTGCAATTCCCAAGGTTCTTGGGTTCAGTCAATCAACAGTCGTTTAGTAAGTACAGTGTAGTGTTTCAGGAACTGTGTTAAGTGCTGGAGATAACAAAAAAGGCAAAAAAACCAGTCTGTGCTCTCAAGAAGTTCCCAGTCTAATGGGGGAAACACTATGCAAACAACTCTGTTAGAGATAAGATATACAGTGTGTCCCAAAAGTCCTTTAACTGCACTAAGGCTTTTAGGATGCCCTCTATACAGAATAACTGGGAATATGCAGTAGAGGGCAAGATGGTGGCCAAGGGAGTGGTAATGTTTTGGCTTGCTTGCCACGTGAGTTGGTTGGTAGTTGGTGCAGATGGCTATCCCCTTCTCCACAAGAGTTATTTTGCTAGATGATGGCTCTGATGGCCAGGCTGGTTCCTGGGAGTGATAAGGAAGCTGGACCCCTTCTCAGTAATGATTTCTTCTGTCAGTGATCGAATCCAGGAATGGGTTGGAAGCGGATCTGGTGGTTTGAATGATACTCATCTTCCCAAGGCTGTTGGGTTTCAGGGTCCAGTATGGTCTAAGGGGAGTTGGTGGTCAAAGTGGTGGTGATTTGAGTTGCCTGGCACCCGCCACCTTCTATGACAAATGAGTTTGACTGTTACTTAATAGGCAGTTGGAAGCCATTGAAGATTTTAATGTGCTGTAGAATTCCTTGAGATGGATGAGATTTGTTTGTTTTTTTTTCTCTTTGTATCAAGTACTTAGTACTATCTTGAACATATTATGTGTTTAAATAATAAATGTTCAATTGGATTAAGGAGGAAATGTTCTAATTATATCTATGCACAAAAAAGATAAGGCTGGTAGCAATAATGAAGGATGGATTGGGGAGGGGAAAGGAGGGACATAGAGTAGAGGCAGGAAGAGCTACTGGGAGGCAATACTACATAGATAGTAATGAGGACCTTTACCCAGGATGGTGGCAGTGGAAATAGGGAAAATCAAAATGGATTCAAGAGGGGTTAAAAAGATAGAATTGGCAGATTTGGGTAATTGATTGGAATTGAGAGTTAAGGGGAAGAGAGGAGTCAAAGATCATAATTTTGAAAGGAACGATACATGTACATAACATAGAGTTTGTCCCCTCAGTTTATAAACTGAGGGTCAGAGAGGTACCCCAAGATTTTCAACATGAATGGTTACAAAAATTGTAAAGTTGGAAGGAGGAACAATTTTAGGGGGTAAAAAGGAATATGTTGGGTTAGGTATAGGTGGAGATGTCTTATATAGGCAGTTTCTTCACTTGAGATCTTTAAATGATAATAATGATAATAATAATATTACCTAGCATTTATATGGCACTATATTGTTTGAGCCATATAACAACCTTGTGAGGTAGGTAGGTGCTATTATTATCCCCATTTTACTGATGAGGAAATTGAGGTTGAAAGAGAAATAACTTTTCTAGAGTCCTACAGCTAAGAAGTGTCTGAGGCAGGATTTGAATTCGAGTGTTCCTGACTCCAAGTCAGACCTTTTTATCTACTGCAGCAGCCTACAGAGGCTGGATCACCAACAAGCAGTTGGAGAAGTAGTAGAGAAAATTCCTGTTCATGTATAGGTTGGGCTGGATAATCTCTGAGTCCTCTTCCAATGCTGAGTTTCTGTGTTTCAGTTATAAATACAGACTCAGAGCTCAGAATCAATGTTAGAGTGGCAAATATAAATGAGGTAGATCTTGAGTTGTTCCTTGAGTTTACCTTCATAGAGATGGTCATTGAATCTATGGGAGTGAATGAGATTGCCTCAGAAAAGAAGAGGGCCAAAAAAAAAGGAGGGCCAAGTGCAGACCTGCCTTGTAAGAGATTTGGCAGAGGATAAGAGAAGGTGAGAACAGCTAGAGGCAAGAGGAAAAACAGAAAAGTACTTTTTTAACTTGAGGAGAGATTCTCCAGAAGGAAGAGGTGTTGGACTGGGAGAATAGGTCAAGGGAACCAAAGGTCATAAGGACAAAGAGAAAATATGTATGAATAAGACAGGCAAAATAACAAGAAAGAATGGAATTTGAGATTTGTAGATTGTGGGGCAGCTAGGTGCAGTGGATAGAGCACTGGCCCTGGAGTGAGGAGGACCTGAGTTCAGATCTGGTCTCGGACCAAACACTTGACACTTACTAGTTGTGTGACCCTGGGAAGTCACTTAACTCCAGTTGCCTCGCAAAAAAAAAAAAGAGAGAAAGAGAGAATCAAAGATTGTGAACATGGTGTAATTTTGTGAGCCAGTGAAGTAGAGAACCACCAGGGGATGTTTGAAGGCCACAAGTCAGTGAATGAAAAGAACAAGTAGTTGAGGTTTATATTCTATATTGCTTAATTTACTAAGCGCTTGATAGCCATTAAGTCACTCAGTCCTCATTGTGTCTCTGATAGTTAGGTAGTCAGGGGTGTGCTAGAGCCAACTTCTCCTGAGTCATAAGAGCCAATAGTTAAACTTTCAATTCGAGTACTTATATCTGGGAAGTAGGCAAATGTTACAGACTGGGACTTGATTTATTGTTTTGTTGATCATCTAGACATAAAATGATGGAGAAAATGTTAATAATGCAGATTAAATCTAAAAGTGAGCCCTGCCTACAGTTTTTTCCCCAGAGTCATTTGTTAAACATTTACCAGCAGAAGTAGGTAGCACAAGTATTATCCCTCTTACAGGTGAGGAAGACACTTAGAGAACAGCCTTGAAGTCTAAGCTTTACACATATCAGTAAGTAGGAGAGTTGAAACCTACTCTCAGGCCTCTTTCCCCTATACCACAATGAACCATTCAGAGTAAGTGGGAAATCTACTTGGGGATTAATCAGGCAAGGCTTAATAGAAAAAACATATCTTGAGTTGTGCCTTTAATAATTATCATCATATTAAAAAATAATCTTTGTATAGCCCATTAGGGATCAGAAACTAATAGTCTTTGACTGTAGAAAGTAATGGGAAGGATAATTCGGGAAAGGCACAAGGACCAAGTGTTCAATAAAGGACCAGCTTTTTGTCCTTAAAGATGATTGACTGTAGAGAGGACATGCTGTGACCTTGTCTGTAGAGAGGAATGTCAGAAGCTAAAGTGGTTCTTGAGGTCAGGCCTCAGGCTAAAAGAAATCCATTCATTGACACTGCCTTAGGTAAAGCAGTTAACATCAAACCCACACTTGTGGCTGAAAGGGGTCAGACCAATAGCAGCCATAGGGGAGGCAGGGGCAGAGCAAAGTATATAAATAGGTCTATGAGGCCCTACCTTGGGTAGATGGGAGAAGGCCATTTATAAAGACCTTACTCTGGTAGCTTGAGGACAGAGTTCTATGTAGAGACTAGGCGGGGGAAGAACACACCTATTGGCAAAATTAGAGGCCACCTGAAGAAGAAAAGTTCACTTTATAGAATGTCGTGTTATCCGAGTGAAGAGAATAAGTTGAGAAGGAGTCTCAGAGGATGGATTAGGAAAAGGATAACTTAAATTAAGTAGGACAGGACAGATCAAGCCAGCAAGTGTGAAAAGGACCTTACAAGCAACTCCAAAGCCAGTAAAAGGAGACTTTATATAGCACTAGCTGGAAAAAGGAGGAAGCCAATTAGAAAATCTATGGAATAGACCCCTTAGTATTGACCCTTTGCCCAAGGTGGGCTTAGGAATTAAAAAGGGGTGGCCTGACTGAAATTTTTGTGTTTAACTTTAGTGAAGGTGATGTAAGGGAGTTTCCTGCACCCCACATGCCTTGTGAACGGCTAGGTTGTGTTTCATGTCAACCAGTTCTAAGGGCCTGGTTCATTCCAGATCTAACTTAGCTAAAATAAATCCCCTCAACTGTGTGACATCAGTGTCAGAAGTTTGGGGGGGGGGGAACAACTCAGGGATGAAACTATGGAACCACCAACCAAAATACAGAACCCGTCCTTGCAGATGGCCTTGCCAGAGGTACTCAGATGTCTTTTCCTGACTGATCTCTTAACCCTGTCTTGAAGCTAAACAGTTATGTGAACAAGACAGGAACTAGTGGCTATAATCCATGCAGACTTTCCAAGAGCCTTTGATGAGATTCTACACCAAAGGTGAACGTCACGGCACCAGGGGTAGGAGATGTGCTGTCTGTCACAGAGCCTTCCCTAAAGAAGCAAAGTCTAGGGGTAAATGGGCACATCTTTGGATGGATAGTTGTGAGTAGTGGGATGGATCCCTCAGGATTACTGTGAGGATTGGTCCCTCTTAGCATTTTTATAAATTATTTGGGAGAAGTAGTACACATCAAGGCCTCCATGGGTAGAGATGGTTGTGAACTCATGGATAGTGGAATGGATGGTAGTGAGAACTGTCATAAGGAGGTCGGAGAGAGGCAAGATAGCTAGTGTAAAGTGATACATTTGGGGATGAGTTATTAAACTTTTAGTTATGGCATATGGGTCCAAATGGCCAGCAAAGAGCTAGGCCCTCTCAGGAAGGGATTGAGACCAGACTTACAAATTTGTTCCTGGAGTGTGGGTTGCTAGTCTGGCAACCACACCTAACTAGAGACAGAACAGTGGGAAAGGGGCAGCTAACATGACCCCAGTGATAAAGTCAGAGACCTCAGATGTTCTCTAGCCCAAACCTTATCCAAAGCACGAATCCTCTTGGTTGAACTGGCTTTGTGTTGGGGGTTTTATCATATGAAAATGAACTAAAAAGATTAGGCTTCCTCATTCAGGGAGGGGGACCCAAACTGAGAGGAGGGGATGTAATTAACAGTAATACAACCATAAAGAGGCTGTTTCCTGGAGAGCTAAGAACAGGAGCAGAAGGTGCCTGAGGAGTAGAGGTTGGTTTGACATAAGGAGCAACTTCTTAAATTTACAGCAGAAATGGAATGGATTGCTTTGTAGGGTCACGAACTCCCTGTCACTGGAGTTTTTCAAGTGAAGACTAGCTCTATACCTGCCAGGAATGTGTTCTGCCATGGATAGGAAGTTGGATTAAGTAACCTCTGGTCCCTTCAGAGAGTAGTTCTAAGGGAAATATACACTTGCTTACCAAAACCCAAGCCTTAGGACCCCTATTGGCAGTTAAGCCAGACCCTGAACGTTTGAGCCTTTTCCTGGGCTCTGGTTTCATAAGTATTCCTTTTTCTCCTAACCGTTTTACATTTCCCGTCTTCCTCAGTGTGAGTCCTTGATGGCCATGTTCAGGTTGCTCTCTTGAGAGGGCAACAAAATTTTTATAGCTCCCTAGCAGGTTCTGAAGGGAAATAAGGATGTTTGGGAGTGCCCCTAATCTAAGGTAACAGGGAAGCCAATTGTGGCCTCTCCAGCTAGTCGCCAAGTGTCCGTGTGAGAGATGGACCAGGGGGGTTGGCTTGAGGGAGTTGTTCTGATGGTCTGGAGGGTGGGGGTGAAGCAAGCCATTAGGAGGCAGAGCCTAAGAAAGGCTGAGTTGAGATTAGTCTTGAAGATCTACCTTGAACAGGTAGTAGCAAGGATCAGTTAGACAATTCCCAAATAACTTTGTACTTTCTGGCCTCTCTTAGTTGGGACATTGTGGTTCATAGGGAGGGGCCCCTCTGATCTCTTCCTCTCTCTCCCATGGATCCCTCTGTACCTGTTTCTGGTGCCCTCAGCCACCTGCCTCCCCCCGACCCTTCCACCTGGTGGGCAGGGAGACCCGCTTTGTAAGTGTCCTATGTGCTGCAGCTCCTTCTGCTTGGCCTTCCCTCTGCCACATGGTCTCCAGTGCCTCTCTGTCCCTGCCTCTGTGTGTGTGTCTTCCTCTCTCTCCTTCTGGCACTTGATTGGGAAGAGCTCCTAGCAAGGCATGTGCTTTGGGGCTTGGCCCCTGAGGTCTTGGGGTAGGCCAGGGCCCCCCTTCTGAGCCTCATATGATCCCTTTCCAGCCCTTTTATTAGTGGAGCTGTGGGGAGGGCAAGGAAGAGGTGACTTGGGATTCCCCACCCCAGCTTTGCCCGGTGGGCACAGGGTACAGCTGAGAGGAGCAAGCTGGCTGCACTTTTGGCTGCTAGCTTGAGGGGGGTGGGGCGTGTTGAAGGAGGAGAAGCCTACCAATTCTTCCTTTGTTTCAGGCCTCCATCAGCTTCCTGCCCTCCCAGGAGGAGCACAAATCCGTGAGTGTCCTTTCCGACGTCTGCCCTGCCCCTAGGCTTTGGGGATGCCTTTTCCCTTTCTCCCCACTTTCTTCCTATATTACATTCTTCTGTTGCTCAAACCGTGTCCCACCACCATATACTCTGCTGCCCTTCCTAGCCTTTCCTTTTCACTCCAACTTCTCTTTCTCCCTCCTTTCTTTTCTCCCTCCTTTCTTTTCTTCCTCACTACCACCCATACAGACTAAACCTGGGGTAATCCAACCTCGGCCATGGCCAGTGGGATCTACTGCATCTGGTGGTAGAGACAGCCCCAACCCCTTCCAGTCTTCACCCTTGCCCCGGGCCTACCGCCCCAGCTCCGTAAGTTTTCACCCTAGCTCACTCTGCCAGTCGGGGAAGGGAGACATCATGCTAAGGGAGGAAGGTTTTCCTCTGCATTCTCTACCCCTACTTAGCACAGATGCATGAAGAACTAGACATTTGCTTTGGGAATTTGGTTCTGGGTTGAAGGTTGGTGGGGAGAGAGAGGAGGAGAACATGATTTGAAGACAGGATTAGAGCTTTAACTAGGAATGTTTGGAAAGTGGAGGAAACTGGGGGTAGAGACAGGGCCAGATCAGAGGAGTCATTTTTCTAAGGACAAAGCAGCTGGAGATGAGCTTTGCTGGAGAGGGTAAGGTGTTGTGGGAAGGACTTACAGGGGGCATGGAGAGAGGCATTGTAGAAAATCTTCAATCAGACTATGGATTTGGGCTCAGGAAACAGTTTTTCATGGCCCTATTATTCATCCTGTCTTTTTCTTCCTCTGCCTTCTCTTTCTTCTCCTACTCCTGTATTCCTTTTTATTACCTTCTTCCTCTTTCTTCTTTTTCCTTACCCCTGTTCAACTCTGCCTATTCCTCTGTCCTCCTGTCCTCCACAGCCTCGTACCTGTCCTCCATCCCCACCCTCCCCCAGTGAATTCCCTGTCAATGTTAAGCAGGCCTACAGGACTTTCGCAGCTGTGCCCCTCCCCCACCCTCTGACAGAGGCTCAGGTATGGCCTGACCCTTGGGGAACTTCCAGAACTAAGTCTAGTTTTACCTCTGCCCTCTCTTTAAAGCTTCCTAATCCCACCGAAGTAGCCAATTATTTCCAGTTTTCATTGGGCACCCCCTCCCACTGACTCCCCACCTCCCCTCCACCTGGTTTTCCCAATAGGAGCTGCACAAGTGGCCAGGCCCAGAGTGGCTCCAAGTTTCCCCAGAGGTGAGGGGGCAGATGGAGAGGTGGTGAGCATGTAAGGTGTGGGTGAGAGATGAAGATTTAAATGGGTGCTGTAGTGGCTGGAATCGGATGTCTTCTTCCCCTCTCCCCAGGTGGTATCTCCTGGTAGTGCTGCCAGCCCAGAACAGTTGTCTTTCCGTGAGAGACAGAAATACTTTGAGCTGGAGGTGAGGCCTCCCCAGGCTGATGGTCCACCAAAGAGGGTATCCCTGGTTGGTGAGGATGACCTGAAGAAAATGAAGGAAGAGGAAGGTAGGAGAAGGAATTGAGGGGAGGGAGTTGGGATAAAGTCTAATTTTGGAGATTGGTTGGAGTGGGAGGTAGTCTAGAAGTGTCCACCGAAGCTTTTTGTTGTTCTCTTCCTTGCCTCCACCCTAGCACGGAAGCTACAGCAGAAACGGGCCCTACTTCTTCAGGAAGAGGAAGAAGAGGAGGCAGAGGAAGTTGTAGCAACTGCCCCTGCCCCTGCCCAAGTGGAGGGTCTGGAGTCCCTGGGAGAACAGAAGAGATGGTGAGAGCCCAGGGCTTTCACCTGTGGAATACATCAGTCCAGTAGACATTGACGTGGTAGTTAGGGTTTGGCAGGATGACTTAAACCCATAAAATCCAGAGTAGGCCGCCCATGTCACCATTGCCTGCTACTTGTCTCGCAAACCGGTAACGATTTTGATCTGAGGCTTCTTTGGTCGGGACTCTACATATTTGGCAAAGCCCTCTTTTTGTGGCTGGGAGGAAGTGTGGTGAGGGACCTATATTCTGCAGTCCTTGTTTGAGGGAATTATATATGCCTTGTTCAAGACAAGGGGCCACAATTCAGGTTGGACTAACTCTTGTCTGTGTATACCAGAGAGGATGTCTAGGGGATGTGCTTTTGGGAGTTGAAAGGTTCTTCGTAGATTATCACAACCACTGGCCGATCAGCCCAGGGCGAGAAGTGGCTCATTGACTTCTGCTAGAGGTTTAGTGCTTTGAGGCTTCACCATTATCCCAAGCAACAAGAAAAGAACTCAGAGATGACTTGAGCTGTAGTAACAGATTGTGCTCTTTACCCTTCCAGCCTCCCTCAAACTGAGCCCCCCAATTCCCAGAGGAACTCACTGGAAGAAGGTTCCCAACAAGAGCCACGGCCCAACTGCCCAGCGAGGTAAGCAAGGCTATAAAAGGTTCTAGAGTAGGGAAGAAAGGAGATGGGCTCAGGAAGGATCTGGGGCCCAGGTTTGGGGCATCTGTTTCATACTGAGAGCCTAGGAGTTGGGGAATGGTATCAACTTTCTTGCTGCCTTTTTGGCATTGAGTATTCTTCAGGTAGATCCTTGTGTCACCTACAGGCTGAGCCCCATGTCATTGGGGGGCGGGGAATTGGGCGCCCCAGTCCGGACAGCTAAGGCTGAGCGACGGCAGCAGGAGCGATTGCGCATGCAGAGTCCAGAACTCCTGAGTGGGCCTGAACGGGAGCTGTCCCCAGCTGAACGACGAGCTCTGGAGGCAGAGAAGAGGGCACTCTGGCGGGCAGCCAGGTGCCTGACCCCCTTCCAGATTCCTGTATAGCCCCACCCCTCCCCCATGGTACCTCAAGGCAACTTGACCCCAAGGGGAAAAAGAAAGCTGGTCTCTGCTGGACTTGCTGCACGGTTAGCCTTACTCTGCTGGTTAGAATGCCAGCAGGTCAGAAGGAATTCCTTTGGTTAGCACCACATTAGTTTAGGCTTAGCTTAGGATTAGGAGGAATGATAGGTGCTTTGAATGTAAGAGATGGCTTGTTTCAGCACTCAACTACTTGGATATATAATATTTGAGCTGAGAGCATGGTAATGTGCATAAAAAGCTGGCTTTAGAATAAGGAAGACCTGGGTTCAAGTCCTACTTCTGACAGGCTCTGTGACCCTGGGCAAGTCACTGTAATTTCCCCATGGCTGTTTATTACAGAATAGTTGTCATTCTGCTTTGTTAAGACAGTTTCCTCATCAGGATTTTCCTATATCAATGCAGTCACAAATAGGGACCAAAAGAAAGGTTGAGATGAAGTGACTTCAGGGGAATATTATTGGGTGTGGGGCTGTAGGAGAGGTATGATGGCTATGATAGTGTGGTTCTGTAGGCATAAGTGCACTTAATACTTGAATGAACGGTGGGAGGCATGCCTTATACATGTGTGACTCGTGATGTCTGGAGTAGAGTGTAGTAGAGAAAATGAGTGCAGAAGGATGCAGTTATCGAGTGATGACTTTTAGAAGTATTTGAGTTGGAGTGTGATTGAGATGTGCATGACTCTTGAAGAATATGGCTATTGGAAGAGTATACTGAAGCCTGGGGGTGATTGTCAGTGGTGTAATATTGTAGGAGTTAGCCTTAGATTGGAAGATGAGATTGACTAAGAGAGATTATTGTAGGGTACCAAGTACACTATTGGGTTTCTGGGGCTCTGGTTCTCTAAATCTAATTCTGCCTCTGCCCTAGGAGTCAGACCTCAGAAATGTAGCTTCTGACCACTTCTCAGTATAGGACCGTAGCTACAGCCTTGTGCCTTCTGGCCCAGTGTCTTCAGCACACCAGCTATTATGCTAATGGTTGAGGTATTTCAGAGTACAGAATGTGGACAGGATGGCTCGTTACAGCAATAAAGCACAATTACCCAAACGTTCATCTTATATCCTCATTGCCCTCAGCAGTGTTTCTGACTGTTTTTGTTGGTTCCCAGTTGCCACTCTTCCCAGCTTCAGGACCAAATCACTCTGATACTACATTCCTTTCTTTCAGTATCCCCATTTTTTGCTGGTTCATTTCACCTCTGGCCCAAAGAATCCCTGTCCCCTTGCTCTCTCTTCTTTCCCAGCCTCTATGTAAACTTTCACTTAATGTGTCGTGACAATTCTGTCTCTCGTTGGGTCTGAGCTATTCAAGGCCAATCCAGTATCTTCTGTCCTCTAAATCCGCAATGTTTTGGGTCCAAGTATAGTTCTATCCTTGGCTATTCCTCTTGGTTTAGGAACTTGGTTTAGTTCTGTTTCCTTTCTCATTTCTGGGACTTGGGATACCCCCTCACTACCTCTTGTTTCTTCCCTTCCTGACCTGAGGTTCACTGTCTAGCTGTGACACTGTGGGCCTCCTTATGTTAATAGCCTCATTAATAATTCTGAACATTTGTGATATCCCAATGTATCCCTTGTGGAAAACTCTAGCTCTTCTCTGAGCTGTTACCAGGACAAAAGATACACAGTGTTCCTTCAGGGAAGAACATTCCTTACCTGGGGGCAGGGTTGGTGACTTGAGAGTATACATGAAAGAGAGGTAACACTGGGAGGGGAAGGGCTTCTGGTCACTCTGTGTGCCTCAAAAAGTGCCATGCCCAGGTGTCCATAGCTCTTTAAGTCTTTCCAGAATTTTGTGTCCCTATTTGGTTGCCAGTTTAGGTTTAAGAACCTGTCCTTGGTCACATACTGCCTTTTAAATTTATTTTTATTAAAGCTGAAACCTTCTTTGACTCCTAAATGTGGGGCTAGATTCTAGAGTCAGAGCCAGTATAAGACAACATGAGTGACTGTGATTGGCTGTGACTATTAGCAGGGCGTGGAAATTGGGTTCCTCTGCATCCTGTTCTGTTTTCTCCTTGCTTTATTTTGGTCTTCCTTCCAGTTCTCTGGCCTTACTGTGTCCTTAACTGACCCAAAGGGCCCTGGCCTGGTTGCATTGTTTTCTATTCTCTGTCTCTCACTTGCTTTCTGTCTCTGTCCCTCTATCCCCATGACCCCCAGACCCTCAACTTTGGACGACAGCCTTAGGGACTACGAGCAGGACCTGGCCCGTAGACTCTACCGGGCCCGCCAGCAGGGTCTTCCACTCAGACCTACCCCCCGAGCTGGGCCAGGAAGTCCTGCCCCAAGGTGTGCATGGCTCTGCCTCCCAGCTGCATGCCTTAGGTTCTGGGCCAGGGTTTGGGTACTCCATGGGGGCTATGGGACGGGGAGAAGCCATGGCTCCCTAGCACCTCTGGATCTTTTCTTGTCCGTGGCCCTGAGTGGGCTGGGGTTAAGGAAGAGCCCAGTCCTAACTCTTGTCTACCCTCTCCACCTTGACTCTTTCTTTCCAGGATGAAGTCCCTGGAACAGGATGCCCTACGAGCCCAGATGGTCATCGCCAAATCTCAAGAAGGAAGGGGAAAACGGAGTCCCCTTGGCCAGCTGACAGAGGCCCCCTCACCTGCACCCACTCCCTCACCAACACCACTTGAAGGTGGTAGGGGTGGGGAAGGTGGTTAGTTTGGATTATCTGGGCCTGGGGGTTGGGAATGATCAGAGAATTGACAACAGCATTAAAAAAACAGGACTGACTGGCAATCCAAGTAAGGAGTCAAAGATAAGTCTTTCTAGGTGTAGAGGGAGGCATAATTTGGCACAGGGAGAGGAAAAGAGGGAGAGGATGAATCACTGTCACCTAGAGAATGGAGGGGAAAAAAATTTTTTTTTAAATTAAAAAAAAAAAGAGAATGGAGAGCCATTTGAGGGGCACTAACTAATCTTTCTTCTTATCTTCCCCCAGATCTTAGCCCCAGGATTGTCACCTCCCCTGGCAGGCTGGTAAGGATGAGTCTTGTCCTTGTATCTCAACATTTCCCTCCCCCTTTATATCATTTTCTGTCTTCCTCACTCCCCTTATCTTTTGCCTTTCTATTGCTGCCTCTAATGTTTTTCACTCTTGTGTTTATTTTTTCTATATCTACTGTTTCCCCCCTCCCTGGCTCTTTCCCATGACTTTTTCTGTTTCTGTATAGGTCCGTGTTTCCAAAGTCATGACATCACCCCCAGAAGTCCTGATCTGAGAAACATAATCTGAATTGGGATCCAGGGGTGGAGGGAGGTGGTCAAGAGGGATGGTAATATCCAAGGAAAAACTTCCAATGGGGCCAAAACATTAGCTGCATCCACCCCTCCTCCCCCACACGTACACCCACTGACCTACTCTGTCCCTCACCATGTCATCAGAGTTCCTTCAGTAGTAAGAGCAGTGACCTTCCTAGCCCTAACTATTTTGGCCTTGAGCAGCCTTTTTCTCATACCTGTCTCTCTTTCCTTTCCCCTTCCAAACTCTCCCCCTCCCCCCTCTCTTTCACGCTGTTGCTGTCCCCTCCAGTCCTTGTCTGAAAAGAAGTTTGACTACCGGGAATTTGCTGCTCTTCCTTCTTCCAGGCCTGTATATGATATCCAGGTACCAGCAGATTTGTCTGTCATCCCTTCTTTGACTATGCTTTTGTCTGTCCCTCCTATTTCCACGCACTGCTGTTTGTTTTTCCTCCCCAAGGACACTCTTAGTTGTCCCATCCCTTTGCTCTGCCCTAGTGTCTCTGTTCCTGCTTCCCATAACTTAAGCATGGGACTGTTGCCACATTAGCTGTCAGAGAGACTTATAGGCCCTAGGCTACCCGACCTGTTCCATCCCAGCTTCCACTACCTAGTCTACCACCCAGGCTTCCTTCTAGGCCACTGCAGAACTGAATATATTCTATGTGTCTCTTTCCTTCCTGTCCCTGAGGTTGCACACAGCCCTGATAGGGAAGGGGGAGAACTGAGAGTGGTTACTATTTTTAAACATAGGGAAACAAGTCTCCTCTCCCCCCCCCCCCCCGGTTGGGGGTAGGCAACAAATGTAATAAAGGTACAAAAATTTTCACAGAAAAATTGCTTCATAGAATGAATGTCAGGATCTGAATGTGATTTTTAGGCCTCTAGTTCTTTAATAACTACATTCTACATCTTGACTTTTGTGCTCTGAGCCCACTATACTGCCATTTGAGCCTGGAATTCAGGGCACACTTCTTAGAAGAAAGGCAGCCCTATCTGTCTTCTCACTGTCTCTCCAAGGTACTCTTACCCATCACAAGCCCTTTGTGGGATTGTTTCAATTCATTATGTTTTTATTCCCAGTGCCTAGTTACCTCTTCTAGGTCCACCCTTTACTTGAGCAAGAATCTTCTCTATAACACCCCAGACAAGTGGTCATCCAGTTTTTGTTTGAGTCTCTCAATAGGGAACTTGCCACCCATTTCACTGTGGGATAGGTCTAGTTGTTAGGGGAATTGCTTCCTCATATTGAGCTAATATCTGCCTTCCTATAATTTTTACCTAATGATCTTGGTTCTCCCCAAAAGTCTAATCTCTCTGACACATAAAAGCTCTGTAGATCCCTAAAAACAGCTGTCTTTCTCCCTTTTCTCCTTCTTTCCCCAACCCAAACGAGGCTTCTCAAGATAAGACATACTCAGTTTCTTCAGCATCATTTGACATAGTTTTGAGTTCCTGTATCCATCATGGTTGCCCATTGACCATGTTTCAGTTTGTCAATATCCTTCCTAAAACATGGCCCCTACAGTAGCTTCAGATGTGATCCAACTAGGACATAGACAGGTACAGTGGTATTGCCACCTGCCTCATTCTAGTTATTCTGCTTCGCTTATTATTGATTTATTTAATTTTAGTTTTCGACATTCACTTCCACAAGATTTTGAGTTCCAGATTTTCTCCCCGTCTTGCCCCTCCCCCCCACCCCAAGACAGCATGCATTCTGAATACTTCTTTCCCTAATCTGCCCTCCATTTTGTCACACACATCCCCCTTCTCTTATTCCCTTCCCCTTCTATTTTCCCATAGGGCAGGATAGATTTCTACATCCCATTGCCTGTATATCTTATTTCCCAGTTGCGTGTGAAAACATTTTTTAACATTTGTTTTTAAAATTTTGGGTTCCAGATTTTCTCCCTTCCTCCCTCCCCACCCACCCTCATTGAGAAGGCAGGCAACTCGATACTGGTTATACATGTGTAGTCATGCAACACACTTCCATAGTAGTCATGTTGTGAAAAACTAACTATATTTCCCTTCATCCTATCCCACCCCGTTTGTTCTGTTCTCTCTTTTGACCTTGTCGCTCCTCAGAAGTGTTTGCTTCTGATTACCCCCTCCCTTCTATCATTCCCCTGCTCTATTCTGCTTCTCTTAAGGCTGCATAATATTGCATTTGCCTTGTGAGACAGGAATTGAAGTCAGTTTCATCCACTTATAGTTTGAAAAATCAATCTGCTTCCCCCTTTTTGAATATCTATTTAATAGCTATTTATCGCTCTTCTTAAAAAAGTTTTCAACAATTATTTAAAGCAACTCAGTAGTTCTGCCTGTAAGTTCTTTCATTACCAATGGGTATAGTTATTCACTAGAACCTAGTACTTTAAACTTGAGAGTGTCCAGGTGAGCTTTTCTTGTCTCCTCACTTACATTGAAACTAATTTCATTCTCCTAGTAGAGAAGAAGCAGCAAAAATAAGAATTGGAAAAAAAAAAGAATTGGGCACCTGCCTTCTCTCTGGTCTACATTATATTCAAAGATACTAGTGGTTTGCCATTTCCTTCTCCAGCTCATTTTAACTCATGAGGAAACTGAGGCAAACAGGAATAAGTGACTTGCCCAGGTCACACAGCTAGTAAGTGTCTGAGGCCAGATTCAAATTGAGGAAGATGAGTCTTCCTGACTCCAAGCCTGGCACTCTATCTACCGTGCCACCTCGCTGCATGTATTCATGCTCAGTTCTATTTGCTGTGTATCTTTTAAAATTCATATATATACATATATATATCATGGGCTCCTCTGAGGAGCCAGAGGATTTTTTTTAAGGCAGTTGGGATTAAGTGGCTTGCCCAGGGTCACACGGCTAGTAAGTATCAAGTGTTTGGTCTGAGGCTGGATTTGAACTCAGGTCCTCCTGACTTCGGGGCAGTGCTCTGTCCACTGCACCACTTAGCTGCCCCAGAGCCAGACGATTTTGAACATGGTTCTGGTGACAGACTTAAGTTTGTTGTCTATGGACCAGCCTGGTATGGAGCTGCTCAGCTGCAGCAGGGTGGCTATTTGATGACCAAGGAAACCAGTAAATACAGAGAAAACCTGAGTCTGGCTCATCTCTGTTCATACCGTGTGCCAATGGTAGGGTAGGGAAAGAAGTTGGCAAGAATCGGAGTTCTCGGGACATCTGCTGTTGGGACTCTGTGTGAGATGTTTAGATTACATTAGTGAAAGACCTAAACCACACCCGTATACAGATTCTTGCTGTAACTGAAATCAGAAGGCAAAGAAGTCGCAGCTGAATGGAAGGGTGGCTCAAAGGTTCTCCTCAGAAAGAGAAATAAAAGGATTCATGGGGTCATAGATTTAGAGCTAGAAGGGCCTTAATGTCCATCAAGCGCAAGCCTCGCATGAGGAGCCTGAGTCCCAGGGAAGTTAACTGGCTTGTCCACAGTCATTCAGGAGGTGACAGTTAGAGTTTGAACCTAGCTCCTGTGACTCCAGATCCGGCGCTTTTTCCACTATGATGCTTCTGTGAATTGGCAGAGCTGCTTTCATTGTGAACCGATAGGCAGCAGTAAACGTGGAACACTTGTTCAACTAGCTTGTTCATGAGAAGCCTGACAAGCCAAGTTACCAGCTTGTGACAGCTGTTTTGATGGTAAAGTAGAGAAGTTCTCTGAGGAACCTGATGAGAGCCTTCAAACAAATTAATGTGTTTAGTATTCAGTGTAGTCAATACATTGATGATGTGGTACATTTAGCAAAAATTTGGGCAGGGGAGGGCAGCGAGGTGGCGCAGTGGATAGAGCACCAGCCCTGGCGTCAGGAGGACCTGAGTTCAAATCTGGCCTCAGACACTTGACACTTACTAGCTGTGTGACCCTGGGCAAGTCACTTAGCCCCCCAAAAAAAGGATGGGGAGGATGGCAAAAAATTCTGGAAAATACCGTTCAAAATCAAGAAATGAAGGTGAGGGGCAGCTAGGTGGCACAGCAGATAGAGCTGCGGCCCTGGAACCAGGAGGATTCAAATCCGGTCTCAGACCACCACTTGACACTTACTAGCTGTGTGACAGTGGGCAGGTCACTTAACCCTGATTGCCTCACCAAAAAAAAAGAAAAAAAAGAAATGAAGGTGATCAAAATTTAACTGATCAAAAGGTTTTCACTTGTACATCATGAATCTTTTCTTTAAGAAGAGTTAAAAATTACTGGAGGAAACAAGCAGCAAAAATTACGTCTCACACACAAGATTCTCTTAAAGGACAGGAAATAACATTAACCACATGGAAGTCATTTCTGAACCAGCTGTGTGTGTGTCTTCAGGTCACTATTGCTCCAGCCTTACTTGTTTAAACAAGTGTCAACTCCAAAAACTGGGCCAAGTGACAAAAGTAAATTTGAACTCTGAATGCCACAGTTTATTAGAGAAGTGTGACTCAGGCAAAAGCAACAAGGAGGCTAAAAAAGAGCCCCAGCATTTCGGCAAACACCAGGCTGACCGACGTGGCAGTCTTAGGCCTCGGTGGTTTAGAGGACAGCTCGTCGGCAAAACATTATGGCAGAGAATAGAAAGTGACGAGTAATAGTACTGGACAAGACCGAGTAAAGAACCTAAGGGAAAAACAAGCTTTCAGAGAGCTCAGCATGAGAGCCAGTGAAGCTAGGTCCTCCTAAAAGCATTGTAGATGAACCTGGGAAGAGGACAACAGACTAGGAAAGGAGCACATCTATCCCCATTTTAATTATGATCTGTTCTTAGCAATGATGACCATGTAACCACATGTTGTTTCATTATAGTGCTTTATGTACTGTAACAACAATAATAATCATAACCAGCATGTAACCCTTTAAGGTTTTTAAAGTGCTTTACAAATATTGACTCATTTTTATCTTCACAAAAATTCTGGAATGTTAGGTGCTGTTATTACAGATAAATGGGGTGGAGAGCTTAAGTGACTTGCTTGAGTCACAAAGCTAATAAGTGTCTAAGAATGGATTTGAACTCAGGTTTTTCTGACCCCAAGTCCAGGAGGTCCAGTTCTATCCACTACACTGCTGGTTTGTGAGGAAGTAGCAGGGATATACGATGAAGTTGGCAAGGGAGAACCTAACTTCATACATACAGTGGACCTGACCACATACCTAAAACAAAAAACATTTGTACTGGAAGTGATACAATTTTTTAAAAGCATTCAGAATAATGAAAATGGTGTTGTGCTGTAAGAAATGATGAAAGGGATGCTTTCAGAAGAAAAAACCAGGAAGACTCATATAAACTGATGCAAGGTGAAGTAAGCAGAACCAGGAAAACAATTTATGCAACAACAGTGTTGTAAAGACAAACGAGTTTGAAAGACTTAGGATCTCTCATCAGTACAGTCAGTAACCACAGTTACTAGAACAGCCCACAGAGGATGGATTCCATGAAGATTGAAGCTTTTTTGTTTTAACCTAGCCAATGTAGGTATCTTTTTCTTGCTTTCTTAATGCAGGGGCAGAAAAGGGAGGCAGGGCGGGGGGACAGGAGAGAGGAGTTGGAGGAAGAGAATTTAAACCTGGGGGGGAAAGGTAATAAGAGACTTAATGTTCAAGGTGTGCTGAAGAAAGGAATATTGGAAGGGAAGTTACAAGATCAGGGCTTTTTTTTTTTAAGGCTACCCATTAGACATCAGCAACAATCTACCCATATTTTCACATGCTGCCTCTGTACCTCTCAGCAGACAGCCATCTACCACCATGACACTTCTTCCTGAGTCCAGTAGCAAATGGCTTTGATCTTGATGTCATCTGTGAATCCCTCTTCAACTTCTGTGAAGTTATAAATGTGCTCTGTAAAAAGTGCAGCCCATTCTATGGAAGGAACTTGTTACATCTCTTCAAAGGTCAGAGTCATAGAATTTGAGGGATCATAGCTGTCAGCTGATCGAAGCCCAAGTGCTAGAAATAGTCAGCATCTGCTTGAAGAGCTCTGAGAAGAAGCCCATCACCTTCAACTTTGGAACAGCCTTGTGATTACCTCTTTCATCTTTTCCTCTTATCAAAGACTGTTATTCATTGGATACCTTTGACCACCACTTTTTTGAGGGTGGTTTATTGGTTCATGTGAACTCTTCTCTGAGCCCTGTGCTACCCTCAAAGTCTCATCCTTGAGACTAGGGTTCAGAGTCCACTCCCAGATGGCAAGAAGATTCTCACTTTATCTTATCCCCCCTCTGATTCTCACCTTCCTCCTTTTGCGTTACAATGAGAGCTGACAAGAGTTAACACAGGTTCTAATGGTAGCTAGCATGTCCTTACTCTTCTCTATCCTTACCCGCTTTTAAGGATTAGGATATGGAACAGGACCAGTGGTTCAGGTGGGGCATTTTGAGGATGCTGGAAATTAAAATAATTGTCTGGTATGCTGGGCTGAAGACCTTAGTGTGGGATTGATTATGAAGAGGGCCTACCTGCAATAGTTTTTCTAGATAGAAAAGTATTCAGTCATAACTTGTTATTAGCTCCTCCTCCAGCCTTTCCTTATCACTGTTTATTTCAGTCTCCAGATTTGCCAGAGGACCTGAAATACCTGGAAGACAGCCTCAGTCCTGGTGAGTCCTGGGATTAGGGGTTAGAAGGAAAGGGGAAAAATTGATTCTCTTATCCTTCATGCTATTGGATTCTTCTTCCTGCCACCACCACCCCAATCCCAAAAGGCCATGGGATTGCCCAGACCTGCCTTGACCCACACTTCCTTCTCAGGCCTCCAGGAAGAGGATGGAGAGGTAGAGCAAGTGTTGCTGGGGCCCCCTGGACCCAATCCTACAGCCCTGGAGGAAGTAACTCTCTGCAGTACCCGTCGAAAACTTCGGCATGAACGACGTGGCCTGGACCCTGTGCCCTCCTAGGCCCCCTAAAGGGGAGAAGGAATGGGGGAGGGCCTTGGACCCTGTGTCCTCTTAGGCTCTCCAAAAAGGGGAGAGGAACCTGAAGCCACGCCCTCCTAAAACCCCAAGAGGTTTGAGGGGAGTGGCGGGGACCTCTTGGCCCCATAAACTCAACTGGAGTAGGGGGGAAGAAAAGGGTCTAGATCCCATGCTCTCCTAGACTCCCAGGGCACATTTTCTTCCCCCATCCCCACCGAAGGAGCTTATGGATGTTGGGAAGTTTGTAAATTGTGTCTAGGGAATGAGAGAGCAAAAGTCTGTACCCTAACACCAGCCACACTGTGCTGGCCCCTTCCTCAGTGTCTGATCTGGTGTGTAAGGGAACCAGCCAATGGTAGGGTCACAGTGGATGCTGCTTTGTCTGGGCTCCATGTTTGACCCCCTGGGGTAGGGATGAGCAGGTTCAGCCCTCGGCCTCAGACCTTTCCCCCCAGCTGTGGCTATTCCTTTGAGCTGAATCAATGGTGACCTCCTATCCCCACGAAACTGGATCATTTTAATAGGATTTTGGTTTCCCTTTGATTGGGGGTGGTGGTGGGGCAGGCATTTATCACAAATCATTGTTCATTGCTCCCCCTCCCCATTCCCCGCATCCCTGGGAGTTTTTTCTAACTCGGTTTTAGCATTTTAACTCAAACTGTTGGGAGCCCCCTGGCTCAGCTTCAGTAACTAACTTGTGTCTTCCCTTACCACCCCCCCCTCACTTCCCCTCTCCCCCCAAAAAAAACCTGGTACTGGGCGTGTCACACGCCAGGGAAGCTAGCATCAAGACTGTAACTAGTGACATTTGTACAACCAAAGAAATCTATTTTGTGGTTTAAGGATAATAAAGTTTACTTTACATTTTATTGCATCTGTCTTCTCTGTCCCCTGCTACTATATAGTGTTGAAGAGCTCCAGGTCTTCCCAATCAGAACTAGGTTAGGGTTAGTGTAAGTCAAGAAATCTCCCTGGAGAATCACCTGGAGCAGTGGGAAGAGATGAGTCTTGCCAGGAGGTGCTGGAGTGAGCAAAGAGTAAAAGAAGTGGTAGCTATCTTGAGCCTTCAGTACCAAGCCTCACTTTTCCTCAGCTCTTGGGACTACAGGTACATGAGTAATGTTTAACTGACCCACTGGTTCCTCCAGGCCTGGTGGCCATTGGCTCTTTGTAGGCATCAACATCATCAGTGGCCCCAAGATACATATATTTTATTAAAATGATACCACCATAGGATAAAAATAATTGGATCTTTGTTCTCATCAGCATAGTTACTCTTTCCAAAGGTGCCAATAAAAGCACCTGTCTTCCTTGTGTTTTTCTTGACCATATACTTTCATAAATACTTCACAAAGAATCCACACAACGTACTGAAGGCCTTTTTCTGGTACTTTTAATCTCCACCCAGTGGAGGTCCAGGAGTACAGAAAACAAAATACATGGTGTGGTGAGGGACAGCTGAAAGAGGGTTGATTATGCATTGTCAGATAATGTCAGTATAGGATGTATTGCTTGTTTTCTTTCATCACTGGGGAAGGAGCTTGTTGGGAGAGGGAATGTTTGAAATGACAGGTGTAAAGACAAAAGGCATCAAAAATGTAAAGAGTACCGAGGTAGCCCTTGGTCTCCCTGCCTCCTTTACTAAGCACCCTGTGCCAGCCACTGTTCTCAGTGCTGAGGATTCAGACTAAATGAAAGCAATTCTTGTCTTCAAGGAGCTCACATTCTACTTATAGAAACATCATGTACACAGGTGAGTAAAAATGTCAGTCTGCTTGGCCAAATTTTTCCTTTTAGCTCTGCAGTTCCAATCCTGAGGGGTACCAAAAAAAGTTGGGCAGTGTAGGGCATTTTATTATAAAAGAAGTCGCCTAAAGTCGTATGTGGAATGTTTTAAAATAGAATTGCCTGCTTTCAGAAAAACATCCTAGAAATACCACATGGAACATGAATTTGCAGTTCCACCTTGTCAGGTATTTGCTTGATCCGATTGCTCTTGGACCTTGAGCCTGTGAACAACATTAGGTGATACTGGAAACTGCAGTGAGATTCTTTAGTGTCCTACTGGTAGGTGGAAGGAATAGGAGTCCAGTAGGGTATAAAGCAACAGACCTTGGGAAAAGACTGAAATGGCTTTTAACCTTGGAAACTTCAGTGACCTGTCTGCAGGGACAGGTATTGGTGAGATGATTCCTTCCAATTCCCCTTGAGGCATTGATAACAATTATTAAAACATTTCATAATAAAAGTATTTAGGGGGCATGGCCACAGGTCAGATAATTCGATGAGAGAAATAGAACCACATCTCTGTAGGAGTAACTGGGCTCAGCCACTGGAGAGTTTTAATATTGTATGATCTTATCCCCTGGTATGTGGTATAAATGTGTGACATGCATAAGGCTAGCAAATAACTACAGTATTCATTTGGCTTTTAGGTAATATTTTGGCTTTCCTCAAAGGTGCCTTTCAGCTATGACCTAGCACATTATCCGTAGTGTTTGTGTGCCAAGAACTATCTGCTGATGGACTAACTCATGGAATGTCTGTCCGTCAACAGCATATTATCATTTGGACAATGTATACTTCTCATCCGTCTTGTCTTTTTAGTGTGGGTGGCTAAATTAATCTCTCTTGAATAATTAATGGATTTCACTGAGGGGGTTCTGCAGTGTTCTTGGGGTTAATGCAATTACCACCATGTCATCTGCAAATAGTATTTGAAGAATCTCACATAAATAGGTAATTCTGTGTGGATTTTGTGCAGGACATCCTCAACACTGGCAACCATCTTTGGTGAGCCTGTCTTCTGTTGTTTATCTTAAATTTGTTTAGAATCTTGTGTATGATTTTAACATTCATGGGAAATACCTTGTTTGAAGAGAATCTTAAAACCCTTTTTTCTACTTAAATGCTTTTTAAAAAGTCAACAACAAAAAACAGGATTTGTATACCTCTTGTTTACATAACTGTGAAGATATGATCAGCTATAAAAATCATTTGTGGAACCTGCCTTTTCCCTCATGTTTTTATCAAGCGTGTAACCTCAAGGCATGTATAAACTATTTTCTTAAAGTCTGTAGAAAGAAAAAAAGTATATGGGTTGACAGGGTTGATGTCTTGTCAGTCACCTTTTTTTTTTTTTGTAATAGTAACCACATGTGAACTTTGCTAGTCTTTAAAAATCTCCTTTTTGAGACATCTTTAAAATTAATCCTTGGTAAAATTGGATCACTTCCAGCACAGATTTCTTCAGGACACCTGTGTTCAGATCTAGCCTCTTTATTAAAAACCAAAAACACTTTTACTAAAAGTAATAACCATTAACAAAACAAATAAATATGCAAAATAAGCAATAAAAGAATAGAAAATGCTTAGCATTTAACCAAAGGAATTGACTGAATTGACAAACAAGCAAAAAGTGTTTTTGTTCCGTCTTCCCTTCCCAAGTCAACCTGAAATCCTCTTTGGCTTTTTTATCCTACGTTGTTGTATTAAATGTATATCCAGTTCTGGTTCTGCTAAGCCCACTTTGGATGACTTCATATATGTTTCTCCATATTACCTTTATTTGTTTTAAAAATAATTTTTGTGATTACCATAAAATTCCACTATATTAATATATAATAATTGATCCTGACAACTCAATCATTGCATATAGTACTTGTTGCATTGTAGACTTTCTGTCTGTGCTCAAGGCCAAGTATAGTGGGCATGCCCTGGAATATACATACAAATTACCAAAAAATGAAAACTCTGTATTGTTGACTTATGCCCCATTTTCATCCATGGGTTGCCTTCCCCCTCTTAATCCCACATCTCCAAACTAATTGGATGAAACTAGAGTTGTATGACGGGCCGTGTAATTTATTGGTAATGTCAAATAGTGTAGAATAGCATAGAAATTAGGATAGCTACTAAAACAACATATTAGGTTGCATCCAGAATCAAGTCTCTTTTCTCTTTCTCTCATTTCTAGCCAGTCTAAGAGCCATCCTGAAGTAGTACACATATAACCAAATGATTTTATTAACTTATTAACTTAGCTTACCCATATAATGTATATCTTACATGCAATTGCTGTTATTGTGCTATCGTGTTATTAATAACGTGCTAATTATTACATTTGAGCTTTGTACTTTTCTACTAATTATAATTAACCATAATTTAATTTAATTAATTAATTATAACCAGTGAAAAATTTACAGCTCAGGATGGCAATATCAATAGGCCTATATAGGAGCAATACATACATAAGCTTAGTGTATATGTAAATAGCTAAACAATATAAATCTATATATCTGTATATGATAGATAGCTATAGATATATACAGATACGTGTAGCTATAGTACGTGCATGACACTAACACAAGGAAATAAACAGGAAAATAAAACATAACTCAGAAATGTTATAATTAACACATATATCAACATGCAATTGCATGTTTCTCCTACAACATCCTAACTTAAACTGGTTGCAGATCAATTGGTTCAGTCTTCTTAATCAACCACTCTCCTTTCAGCATCTATATCTGAGCTGCCTAATGATATGGGTCAGAGGTTCCCAAACTTATTTGGCCTACTTTCCCCCTTAAAAAAAATTAGTCAGCACCCCACCCCCGGAAATCTACTTTCTTTAAGCCTTTAATGCTTTTTTTTTAATTTGTGTCATTTCAAAAAAATAATATTTTTTAAAAATCTTAAATTTAGTAATTGATTGTAAATGTGGGGGGGGTTCCTCCATTGAAATTTTGATGATGCAATATTGTATCAAGTAACTGTATAGTATGATATTGTAAAGAAGTCATTACATGCACATATTCCTGCCGATGCATGCTGGGCTTTCCTGCAATGCCTGACAAGGTCGCCTGCCAACACTTACTTGTTAAGACCTGTCAGCAGACATGACCACTGATGGGTTATAACTTGCATTTTATGTGTTTATTTGGAAAATAATGTGATCACTATGACTTTAACTATGTTACACAACAGATAAAACATGTACAAATGGTTTTTCAAATTTTTCTTATCTTCTTTCCTTGTGCTTCCATTGCCTCCTTATTTTTATTCAATACCCCCAATTGCACCTGAAACTACTACCCCTTCCAATCGTTCCAGCATTCCCCAGGGGACAGTATCGTTTGGGAACCTATGAATGTGTGGACTGTTATTATCCTCAGATTAGTAGGCCTGCATTCCCCAACCTGAGCTTGTTGAGGGCCAAAGCTGGCCATCAGCACTTCCAAACTTTAGGAATAGTTCTTGTGTTCTAAGGGCTTCTATAGCTAATGTCAGGAAAGTTGTCTCTGGGTTCAGCCCTTCTCCATCCCCTGTCTAAACTGAAGTCCCCTCAGTCTAAGGTAAGGTTGTTGCTACAATTACACATCCTCTTAAACATCACTTTCTTAGCTATTAAACTAGGCTATAAAGCTATTAGCTAGGCAGCACAATGGACAGAAGGCTTGGTCTGGAGTCAGGAAGACCTGAATTCAACCCAACCTCAGACACTTACTAGCTGTGTAACCCTGGGCAAGTCACTTAATCTCTGTCTGCCTCAGTTTCCTCAATTGTTAAATGGGGATAATAACAGCACCTAAGTCCCAGGGTGGTTGTTATTTGTAAAGCCTTTAGCACATTGCCTGGCACCTAACAGGAACTAGATATATAATATATGTCAATTCTTTTCCTCTTTTATCTGGCTCAGCCTTTCTGTAAGGATGAGTAGTTGCTTTTCCTTATAGTCTACTTATCTAATTACCTATCCTTTTTTTTCCTCCTCATCAGGAATCCTGACTAACTCTTAAGAGCAATTGTCTTGAGAGGGACCTCACTGATAGGGATGGGATCTGAACCCCTAAAAGGAAAAGACCAT